CTCTGTTGGCCAATCCATCTACAGCAAGTATGTAGAGAGGCGTGAGGAGCCGGAGTCCTCCGTTGGTCAAGCTATCTACAGCAAGTACGTGGAGAAGGGTGAGGAGCCCGAGTCCTCCGTTGGCCAGGCTATCTACAGCAAGTACAACGAAGGACGCAAGTTCCGGGCTTAATCAAACGAGTTCAATGATATAAATGAGCCGTTATCTATGGATATGTTGTGATTCAGAGTTGTGAGTGAGATTGGTATATGGATATTTTGTTATGCGCGACGCTTGCGTTAGGATGCCGGTTTGAGATGGGAAAGCTTTGAACTGTGCCTAGTTACGATAGTCAGAAGTGGTAGAAGCCAATGAATACTTCCCTGAATAGCTTACCGAGCCCAAAATTTCAGCACCGAGAATAGTAACCACCTGATATGCTTGGTAGATTCCAATGAATATCTCTAAACGAAATTCCAACATTAGGCTCCTTTAAGACCATTCTGAAATTTTTGATCAGGAGCTGACCGCCGTCTCGATTGCAGGCCATTGACGAGCCATACGATTTATAAATTGGCTAGTCTGTCCACACGTATCACATCATTAATGGTTTTAGGACTTTCGGTCAACGGGAATACTATCTCGGAAGAACTCCTTGTTATAGACCGTTGTCTGCCATACCTACGGCGTATCGGAAAGTGGACACATGAGCCAAAGTCCATAAGAGGGTAATTCTTGGGAGCATCCAGGTGCTCCATAGTATCCTTACTACATAGAAACAAAAGCGCGCAAAGAAGCAACGCAATCGGCAAGCGGGCGGGCCGCGCAGTGGAGCGGATAGGGTCAGAAATTAAGCAGTGCGACTGCGACTGGCGGGGGAAAGAAGAAGGTCAGCCCCGATTATTTCCGAAACGTGCACGTGATTCCCAGCGACCTGTGCCTACGCACGTGACATTTTCATCAAATACACTCGCTATCCTCCGTACGCAACTCTGCCATAAGAAAACCACACATATTCCCGGAAAACCTCGATATAGGGACATTTAGGCCTCGCCAAAACCCGCGGGCACTGTCCGCGGGCAGTACCCACGGGTACACGGGTACCCGTTTATTGACAAAACACATCAAACACGGAACATATATGTTGCAGCTTAACTAGGTTAGTACTGTCTCTGGCCACCAATATTTTGAAAACTCCACCGGCCTGTGTTACGTTCTGCCGTTACCCCCCGTTTTGAATATGAGCTTTCTATTGGTTATTCAAGTGCTATGCAGTGAGGTGACCAAACGAAAGCCCTCGATGCATAGCGGTAGGAAATGACAACACAACAAAACAGCTGTACATGGACCCACTATTTTCAAAATATTGGTGGTGAGGTCTAGGGAAATTCCAAGAATCTGTCCAATTCTCTATACAATACTACTACTACTAGTATTCTATAAAAACAAATCCGGTGGGCCTTTCCAACCAATTACATGTCTTTAATAACGTATAATACTCACATGTCTTACTATCCGCATCTACGTCGTTTTCAAATCTTCCCTGTATAACACAATAACAACGAAATTATATACATTTCGCCACGGACACCAACACGCCCATTTCGTCATTACCGTACCCTTGAGTCTAGAAACAAAAAAAAAAAAAAAAAAATGCAACTACATAAAATAAATTATATACGCCTTTGAAATGCAAGTTGCAACTAGTCTATATAGAAAGTTTACTACAAGCAATTCCTTGGTCTAGGCAATTTGAATCACTTGCTCAGTTCAATGTTGCTTACCGCCTACGCGATAGGCAGCTGAGCTGACCTACCAGCATTCTTCAAGCGGTTTAATAAGCTATAAAGACATAACTAAACTATAGAGGCCTCATTGACCGAGAAATCAAACTAACTTGTCTAATCCAGTGACTAGTCACAGCTAGTATCACAGAATTCCGGGGCGGAGAGCTCCGGAAAGCTCCGACAGGCTCAAGGACAAGAACAGTGGCCCCGCCAGCCCGGATTTTGGTGGGAGGTCAAGCTCACTAGCGTGAGGCGTTAGAGCATTGGAGCTAAAGACGGGGTATAATACTACTTACTACTACAAGTACTAGGCACGTACTCTGCCGTAGCGCAACTGCCATTGCTTGGGATTACAAAGTACTCCTATCGTACCCGTACCGATTGCCAATAAGTGATGTACTATTGTTCAAGGGCCAGGGTGTCATGTAACCCTTGGATATAACTCTGGAAGAAAAGCCATTTTCTCTAAGTCCAGTACTAGCTACCAGTGTCTTTTCCCTCCTTCACGTTCATCAATGGAAAGTGCAGGAGCCCTGCTACTTCCCCCCGTCTCAGGTACTTTGCTGGTGAGGAAATCCCGATCTGGCGGCAGACAATAGTGGGGTCTTTGCCATGCGACAATGAAATCCACTTCTCCGGTTACAATGCTGTCAAGATCCAGGACGCACGATAGAAAGAATTCAGGAACTAGGAGAGCAGTATTGGCATGGTCGAACGCTATCCAAAAAGCCAATCTCAAGCTCGGATAAGTCATTGGTACGGTTCCACAGTTCCATGATGCGACATGGCAGACCGAGATAAGATAGAGTTTAGACGCTGATAAGTGGGTTGGGAGCGCGAAATCGGCGCTACTGAGGCCACAACTGATAAGCCCCCTTTCATTGTGTTAATGTATGAAACATTCAGTAATTATAAATGCTTGTACTCGAGAAGTGGATATGTCCTATGGCCAAGCGCCCTTTTCATTTGACACATTGCTTAATCCCCAACGTAAATGCTGACCTGTCAGCGCTTCACAACCTCACAGCCCCAGAACACAGGCGAGCCCAATCCCCATTCCTATGACTCTTAGGACTCATCCATAGTACGTACATACATCCATCGAAGGGGGTGATCGATAGGCCACCAAATTCTTCGGCCAAGGGCAATCATGTCCTCCCCATCTATGACAGTTCTATGCAGCGACGACTCATTTGGCCCTTTCGTTACAACGTTCTGTCGCGGAGGTTTTGACTTCACCGTCCTCTTCGAAGCAAGCATTTTGACGATCCTTCCTGCCGCCTGTTTCCTGCTGTTGGCGCCATTTCGGTTACTTCAGCTGTCCAGAGAGTTACCCAAAGTAGTTTCATCTACAACACGTGTAGCGATAATCGTACGTGTTCCAAACTCTTTCCCAATCTCCAGATAACAGGACGGGATTTTGAGAGATATTTCATATAGGTTCTTGCCGTATGCCTGGTAGTAGTTCAGATCGCTCTGGTTGCCCTTGGCGCTACACAGCCTACGATCCGGGGGCGCGAGTCACTTGCTGGCGCCATCCTCGAGCTCGTAGCGGGGCTTGCCGTTGTAATTCTCATTGACCTGGAGCACATCCGCTCCATTCGACCGTCATTCCTTGTCTCTGCCTACTTGTTTACCACGATACTTTGTGACCTTGTACGGGTGCGCACCGCTTGGCTATTATCAGACAGTCAAGCCTACGCAGCCTGCCTTTCTTTGTCTCTCACCATCAAATTACTCCTCTTGACCTTGGAGAATGTTGAGAAGCGAAAATGGCTGAAACCTAGTCAGGAGGTGAGGTCTGGTGAGAGTCTCAGCGGACTATTCAGTCGCGGCCTGTTCGTTTGGTTGAACGGCTTGTTGTGGAAAGGACACTCCATGCTGCTGTCCGAGAACTCATTGCCTACAATCCATGAAAAGCTCGCGTCCCGCGACTTATCTGCTCAATTCGCGGAGTCCTGGGCCTCTTCTAATAAGAACCGCCAGAATGCGCTACTTCTGACCGTTATCAGCTGTCTACGGTGGGAGATACTGAAGGTCAGCTTCCCTCGAATCTGTGTTGTGGGGTTTAGTATCGCCCAGCCGTTCCTGGTGGGCAAAGTTGTCACCATCCTAGATCAGAATGATTCGCTTTCGCTAGATAAGGGATACGGTCTGATCGGAGCCACCGCCATTGTATTTATCGGAGTTGCTGTAAGCTACATATCCCCGGATACTCATTTCTAGCTTCATTGCGTCTGCAAACACTGTGCTGACCTTGATCATCAAGGTGTGTACAGCCTGTTACCAGCATTTGGGGTATCGTGTTACAACGATGCTCCGGGGTGGACTTATGGCGATTGTCTTTCAGCACATGATGCATCTACCGTCGGGTAGTGTTGACGAGTCTGGTGCTATTTCCCTCATGGGTGCTGATATAGAGATGCTTGCCGAATACTTCCAGTCAACGGCTTGTGAGATTTGGGCCAATATTCTGCAGCTGGGACTGGCTACCTGGCTTCTTCAAACCCAGGTAGGCGCTGTCTGTATTGCACCCATTGTGGTAGTAATAAGTAAGTCTACTTATCTACGCAGTCCATATATTTATCATCTGACGACTCTTGCTTAGTCTTCACCGTGGCATCGCTGGGCATGGGCAATGCCGTGTCGGCACGGCAGAAATCATGGCTCCAAGCTACCGAGAAACGTATCAACTTCACCACTGGCATCCTCGGGTCTATCCAAAATATCAAATTCCTTGGATTGACCGAAATCATGGGGGCTATGATTAATGCCTTGCGTGTTGACGAGCTCAGGGTCTCCAAAAGATTCCGTCGAATCCAGACGGTTCGTGTCTGCATGGGTGCGTTATGTTTTTAACCTTCACTTACATATAGGTACCTTAACACATCGCAATTAAACTAATAAGGAGTTTTAGTCAACCTTCCCACTATTGTTGGGCAGCTCGCAACATTCGCTGGCTACGCTATAGTAGCTATGGTGCAAGGGTCTGGGGGTCTAAAGGTCTCGCAAGCCATCACGTCACTCTCACTGGTCAATCTTCTGGTTACTCCGCTCTCCAATCTCTTGCTCGCTATTCCGGATACCTTCGCGTCGATAGGCTGTCTCACCCGAATACAGGACTTCCTCAGGCAACCGAATCGCACTGGTAAGTTGTCTAGCCATTACTCTCCTCTGGCTGGCTCTATAAATATATCCCTCAACCAAATAACTAAGCCAGTGCTTTGAACAGAAAGGAGGCAGATAGCCCAGATGGCAGGCAGTCCATCTCCTTCATCCCCATGTTCCTCCGCTATCGAGCTACCTACCCTTGAACAGCATGTGGCCAGCCCTGTTCTAGAAAAGCAATCGGATCTGGTTCTGTCCCTCAACAATGTCCACTTTGGATGGAAGAACTCTCTACCAGATAAACCTCGCATCTCACTTACTTTGAGATCCTCTCCTAATGGTAACCTTGTTATGATTGTCGGTGCAGTCGGTAGTGGTAAGTCTACCTTCCTTAGAGGGCTTGCTGGAGAAACACCCGTGCTGGAGGGGGAGCTCTTTATTAAGTACCCGGATCTGGCTTTCTGTGAGCAAACTTCATGGTTGACAAATACATCAATCCAAGAAAGCATTGTTGGAGAAAGCCTATCATCTGTGTTCGATGCTGAGTGGTATCACACCGTGGTGAGAGCATGTGGACTGGAGCCGGATCTCAAGAGATTGCCAGCAGGCGATCAAACCCTTGTAGGCAGCAAGGGTGCTAAACTGAGCGGTGGGCAGAAGCAAAGAATTGTGAGTCACGAATAATTATATGTTATCCAGCTTTGAGCGGAGCACTTACACCTTGATTTCTACCCTAGGCTATAGCACGAGCCGTTTATGCTCGTAAGCGTATTGCCTGCTTCGATGATGTCCTTAGTGGCCTAGACAATGCAACAGCTCAGCTGGTATTTAACAATGTTTTTGGTCCGGCTGGATTGCTGCGCCAACTGGGCTGCACCGCGTTCCTGGCTACCCACAGCAGTATGCATTCATTTCCCACTTCCTCAAATACCTAAGTTCACATAGCATGACGCCCACACTGATCTTACCATCTAGTCCACCACTCACCACAGGCCGATTTCATCATTGTCTTGGGCGACAATGGCCTGGTCCTGGAACAAGGCAGTTATGCCCAGCTCCGCGGCCACGCTGGAGGCTATATTAACAAACTCGGCGTGCAATCACTACAGGCGGATGGGTTAGCTGAAACGATTGACATTAGTGAGAGGGAAAACCAGTCGAAAAGCGCTCCAACAGGCTCTCCGAGTGTTTCCTCAACTACTACTACTACTACTACTACTACTACTACTACTACTACTACTACTGATGGTACTCGACAGACCAATGATCTAGCTGTGTATAGGTACTACTTCTCTAGTTTGGGAGGTCTGCGCGTCGCCGTGCTACTTTTCTTCCTGATCGTCAATGCTGGAATTGATGGATTCCGCTGTACGTCATAACCCTCTATTAACTGGTGTAGCATGAAGCTTAGCGTTCTACAGATGTCTGGGTGGATATGTGGTCCTCCAGTAGTGACAGCGCCTCGAGTTCACGCTTGGGCTACTGGCTTGGACTGTATGCAGCATTGGCTGTCATTGAAGCCAGCGCCCTTATCTTTTCTGTATTGTAGGTTTAGACTCCCTCTGTGGCTATACATCATGCGCTAACTTGGTTTGGGATTTAATAGCTGGACATGGGTTGTCATTGTCCCTGCTGCCTCTAAGAATCTACATTCTCTAGTGCTCCGGGCTTGTATGAGGTTAGTTTGGGCCCTCGCATAGCTAGAAGAGCACGCTGTTAACCAAACTGCTCTAGTGCCCCTCTATCCTTCTTGTCGAACACCGAGACTGGTGTTCTTGTAACACGCTTCAGCCAAGATATGAGACTGGTCGACATGATCCTGCCCCGTGGCTTTATATCTACAGGATTCCGTAAGCACAAGCGGTATGACCAACATGAAATCAACTCCATGCTGACTTGTCTGGCTTGTAGAGCTTTTTGGGGCTCTTTCTCAAGGCGCCGTCGTTATAGCTTCACTGCCCTACATGGCAGCGGCACTACCGGTTCTCATTGGCGTGCTGGTCCTTGTCCAGCGGTTCTACCTGCGCACATCTCGTCAACTGCGGCTATTAGAGTGAGTGTCAACCTGTACCCATGTCATGTTACCTTCGGTGGTGGGCTGATCAATTTAACCCAATTAATTGCAGAATCGAGCTTAAAAGCCCTCTATATACCCACTTTATTGAATCGCTCGCCGGAGTGGTTACTATCCGCGCTTTTTCGTGGACCCGCGCCTCCATATCCCGAATGCTCTCCATGCTTGACACAGCTCAGAAGCCTTTCTATCTCTTACTGAGCATCCAACGCTGGCTTAGCTTGGTACTTAATCTCATCGTAGCTGCTCTAACAGTGCTCCTTGTTGGAGCAGCCTTGGCTCTCCGCGAACATGTCGACCCCGGTCTACTAGGTGTCGCCCTAGTAATGATGATTGATCTGGGTCAGACTCTGTCAGAGCTGATTCAAAACTGGACACTACTCGAGACATCCCTAGGGGCGATTGCGCGGATCAAGGACTTTGCCGAAAATACGCCCAGTGAGGACAGAGGCATGGACGTTCAGACTCAGGAACCACACCCGGAATGGCCCTGCCATGGGGAGATCATGTTTGTTGATGCGAGCATCGCATATAATTGCTCAGAAGGGGCTCCGCCCGTACTAGATGGCATTCGTCTTCATCTACGTGCGGGTGAAAAGGTTGGGCTGTGCGGAAAGTCTGGAAGGTAAGTTAGTGCCCCACGTATATACACTGGTCGTGAACGCAGGGGGAGGCCTGTTCCTAACGGTGACAAAGCTAACAAACAACTGCGCTGGTAGTGGAAAAAGCTCCCTCGCACTATCTCTCCTCCGCCTCAACGAGATACTATCAGGGCAGATCCTCATTGATGGACAAGATATCTCAGTCATGTCCCGATCCACGATCCGACAGCGCATTAGCTGTCTCAGTCAAGAGCCATTTCTTTTCCCAGGCACCATCCGACAGAACGCCGATCCGCTGAGTATGCTGATGGGTCAGGACATTATCAATGCGCTGCGGTGTGTTGGCCTCTGGACCGCTCTCGTTACCCACCATGGTGACGATGATGAGACGGTCCTAGATACCAAACTCAATGAGGCAATCTTATCCCAGGGACAGAAGCAGCTGTTCTGTCTAGCGAGGGCGCTGTTGAAGAAGAGTAAAATTCTACTTCTTGATGAGCCAACTAGCAGGTATGTTCTTGCCTTCGACTGCTTCATCCACAGCGTGTGGTATTCTGACTATAGCCTCATCGTAGTCTGGACGGCGAAACCGACGCTAGAGTACAAAAGGTCATACGCAAGTCCTTCGCAGACTGCACCGTGATTATGGTGGCCCACCGGATTCATACTCTCTTGGACTTCGACCGGGTCGTTGTCCTAGATAGTGGTCGAATTGTCGAAACAGGCCATCCGCGCGAGTTGTTGGACAGGCCTGATGGGGCATTTGCGAAGCTGTTAGAACTGGAGTCGTGAACCATCTGTAAAACAGTTGATCGTGCGGGATCTGGTGGTTGTTGGCGCGATTGTCATCAGAAGCGGTGTCTCGCTGTGACGACGATTCATTATAGTGTTAGCGATATAGCCAATTTACACAGACGACTACTGATTTACGAGATAGACCATCATGCTTTGCTGGCCAGATGCAATGGAGTATCTACTATAACGGCCAGATACTCTGTTAACTAGGTAACGATACGTAGCAAACAGAAGAAACATTTTGTATTAACGGGATAGTAGAATGAGGACTAAGGATATGAGTCTTGTCTCCTGTACTTTCCTCTCACCCCCTTAAATAGCCAGGGGACCTCTCCTATCCGGTCAGATATCGACAACAAAAGCTGGACTGATTGCTCAGGTAATCCCTCGACTAGACCGGTTTAAGAATGTACGAGAAACCAGGTCTAATGCATGTACCAATGGCTGGGGTATTTGGGTGATCCGTGCGGCCTACAGACCGATTCCATATCGGCCCCATAACACCAAAGGGGATACTTCTGTGCCAATTACGCTCAGAGCGTCCACGCATTAATTGAGTAGCATCTAGGAGAGATAAGGCAGGTCTCCAATCCAGATGTGCTGTATATTGCAGGGATTTCTGATTATCAAACCCCTTCGCCCACATGGCTGTTCACGCTATAAACTCACATCAGCGACACAGGAAGCATACTTCCAGTGGGCCTTGTAAGATAGCAATGCTGTACTGCTGCCCAGATAGTAGGGCCACTGAAGCATTGACAGGGTAATCAGTGGACAGAGGACCCTCCATCCGCTTAGACTAGATACAACCAAGGCATCCTTTCCTTTTACCGATCATGTATGCTACATAGCCCCAGGACCTAGGGTAAATTAATAGATAGTACAGAAGAGAGGACAATTGCCCAGTTACCATAGATCCGTAGAACTTTGTCAGATGCAAGCGAAAACAATAACGGAGGGTAAAAAAGGAATGACGTCTACCGGACTGCAGTGAAGGGCTACCCATGGGTTTGATGAAGATCCGAAGTAGTTTAAAAATAGATTGCTGCCTGAAGGCTACACGAGACAAAACGTTCTCTACCTCGTAGATTGGTTAACTCTTGCGTCGCATCAGTGGTATTCTGCTGGGTGGGCCGTCATTGCAGATATGATCCGGCAGCTCTGTCCTATCGCATGACTGAGCAAGTGACTATAAGCATATATCGCGCACGGCGCTTGGAGAGGAGAGTTGGAATGAGAGTTGTCCCCACCCATGTATCTATAGCATAGACCATTTGGTGTATACTTTGCCTCTTGGGTATCTCAATGCAATTGCGAAGTACTTCTATGGATCTAAAAATACACACCACCGTTGAGGTCACGCGAAGGAATTTATTATCGACAACAGTCTCTGTCTATGCAACCAAGAGCCAAGATACATGACAACTACTATCTCCTTACTAAGAAAATACCTAGCCTTTCGCCCAGAAACCCCAAGACCGGAATTAGGGTTTTGACAAGCGAGACACTTGGACCCTGACGACGATTGGCGCGCCGATATATGCACTGCCACCGTCCCGCTCCCAATGTATCACTTGCACAGGGAAATGCAAAGTAATTTCCGATTTCCACATCTCCCCCAAGCCTAGCCAACACAGCAGAGACATGACATTCAATTACTCTACCCTGCACAATACGGGCTCTTGGCTCTTAGCCATTCCCCGTAGTACCACAACATCAGCGGCGCCACAATGCCAAGTGCCAGACTGACGAAGGCGAGCAGGCTATTGCCCCACCCCAGACCCAGGGCTCGATAGAGGCTCTCCGCAAACAATGGGAAGGCAAACCCGGCCAATGTTCGTACGAATGCGGCGGCGCCAGTAGCACTGGCCGCATAGCGGCTATAGGCATCGACAACATATGTCTGAGCACATTGGAAGGAAATGATCAGCCCGATCGCGAAAATTGCGGCACCGATGTTGGGTATGATCCAGTGCGTGTGGTATTCAGCACTCCATCCATAGATGAATAGTCCAATAGGGACGAGGAGCCCCCCTGGGAGCATCAGCGGAATGCGGAACTCGGGCCGTCCTGGATGATCATAACGTCTCTGAAGGTGCACATATATCTGGGAGCTCGGCGGTTAGCATGGTTTGTATGGAGAATGGACATCGTCACTGGCGGATAGAAGCCTCACTATGTCAACAACACGACCACAGAATTGAAGCCCGATCACAAAGCCTACGCCAAGCGAGATGTAGTTCAAGCTGGCTATGTCCTTTGCTTGGCTGTACACGCCCTCCCACACTAGAGGGAATGATGCTAGCCTGCTGGGTATGAGTAATAGAAACCTGGGGATCATAGAAGTTGGAGATCTGCTCACACAAGATACATCAGTCCATACTGGTAGCCTCTGTAAAGGGACAGGGCTTGGATAGCAGGCTGAGTAAAAAGCATCCGGAACGGGCGAATAAGGTTCTTCCGAAGGACTTGGCCAAATGTCCGATCGGGCCTATCATACTCGGTATGGAGCTGGTGGTTACCCGTCAATTCCTGCAGCTTTCTTTTTCTAGTTGCGAGAATCTTGGGGGCATAGGTTTCGCGCAGAAACAGGAACGCTAGTAGCTGCACCAGGCATCGGCCATGGATACAACCCAAAAGATCCATCGCCATGACAGATACTTCGTCAAGTATCCACCCGCTGCATCCAAGGCTCGTATTAGGTCTTGGGTTTCTTTCTATCGTGGGGCATTACGGAGTGGTCCTCTCGGCACTTACCAATAGGGCCAATAGCGGGCCCGATAAACGGCATCAAGCTATACAGTGCCGTGGCTGCTCCTCGCTCCTCTTTGCGCCAACAGTCGCTGAGGACACCGCCACCAATCTAAAAGGAAATTAGCAACTGTCACCGTCAAAGACGTCAATCTGGGTACATGCCGCTTGCGGGGCACTGCCACCGAATCCGCTGAGGAAACGAAAAGCGAGCATCTGGTTCCCAGAGGTAGCAAACCCGCATACGGTGTTGAAAACCAAATAAAACATGTTTGCGGACTGCAGTACGACCACACGGCCGTACATCTCAGAGAGTGGTGCGATTATAAACGGACCTAGTGCATACGCTAGTAGGAAGATGGACATGAGGAGGTATTGCTTGATATCCGACTGGATCTCAAACTCATCCGCCATGGTTGATAAAGCAGGTGCTACCATGGTGGAGGACACAGGGGAGATGAAGGTAAAACAGGAGACTAGGAGTGTTGAGATCCATTTCCTCGGACGACTCCAATTGAGAGGGTTCGATGGATCGTCTGGGCCGGACCATGTCACCTATTCTATATCAGTACCTCGCATAGACCCGGACCAAAAATAAACTTGAGAGGACAAATACCAATGAATCCTGATCTGCAAATAGGAGACGGCTCTGTTGGCTATCATGAGAGTCTGGATTCGGTTCACCACCGCTTTTGCCGCGGTCTTGGTCCGATTCAAAATCGACCTGTGTGCCATTTGACGGTGAACCGTGCCTCTGGTAAGAGTCAGAACTCAAACGAACTGCGGGAACCGGGATATCATATCGAGAGTCGTATTCCGTATAGAATTGAACTGAAGGGAGGGGAATCATTCGATCCTCTTCGTCACGACTATGTCTCGGGACGAAATGTGACATGGTGTGAGGAATGTCCGTTTAAAACGAGCGGCAATACAAATAGAGATAGAACGAAAAGAAAGTGTATGTGAGGTGCTTTTTGTGTGGTACCATTGGACCTCGAGTACAGTTTTATGTTCATCTTCGAGTCTTGCTGGCATCCGAGGTGGTCAACGTGCGTGCACTCCGCACGGACTCTGCGTACCCAATATTCTATTTTTGATCCTATACACAGCACGTTTCAACCCTGGTACAATGTACCATGGCTGTGCAGAAGAGAAGACAGTGACAAATTGAGTGGCGTTCGAATTTTGTTTGGCCAAGGAGAAAGGCAGCAGTTTAACGGGCATGGGCTAGTGGCTTTGCTATGTGCGCAAGCTTCAAGTAGAATCGGGAAATTGCCCTCGTGGACCCATAGAATTGAATCTTGCCTAGTAGCCCAGTCTCCCCAGTGAGCGCTTAGACGTCATTCTTGGAGATATTCTAATGTAGACCACAGCATTGCTTAGGACTTTCTCCGCCAAGCAGGTCTACCATGGCACGCGGGAGCGGTATATACCTTATGCCCAGGCAACCATATTAAACAATTTTAGAAACTATGCGTGCTTGTCACCTCTGTGGTTTCTATCTCAGGCCCAAGGGCGTGGCTTGTGGCCGTGCCTCATCGGTTAGGTGATATCGATGGCATTCTAGTGGTGACCCGCGCCCAGTCAAGGGACAGTACAGTGGGCTGAAGAGACCGGAAGACATGGACACATGATTTTCTGTGGCTTCACTCTGCTACGCCTTCCTTGATTTCGATATTTCATATAATGGCGTTGCGGCCTCACTGGCATCTCTGTTCCCGTTGGGAAGTATCCACAACATTCGTTCAGATTCATACTCTCGTTCACCATCACAAAAGCTTCACCGGCAACATTCGTTTCTCTATATTCATTTTTTAGTTTCACGATCCACAATGAACGTATTGGTGTGTCCGTCTGGATTCAAGGGGAGTATTGACCCTCAAACCGCGGCCAACTGCATCGAGGCGGGTATCATGCGCGCTTTGCCGTCTGCCAAGATACGCAAAGTACCACTCGCAGATGGCGGCGAGGGTTTTGCACACGCCCTAGTTGCTGCTACTGGTGGGCACATGCGAGAAGTCATTGTCACTGGTCCTGTTGGTACCCTGACTTCCTCGTTCTATGGCATCCTCGACCAGGGCCAGTCCAAGACAGCGGTTATTGAGATTGCTGCTGCTGCTGGACTGAGCCTAGTGCCTCGCGACTGCCGCAATCCATGTGTTACAACCACATTCGGCGTCGGGGAACTGATTGCCTCCGCGCTGGATGAAGGGGTGCAGCGTATCATTGTGGGTTGCGGAGACTCTGGCACCAGTGACGGTGGGGCCGGGATGCTTCAGGCTCTTGGAGCGCGGCTGATCGGTGGTGATGGTGCTGAGATCCCTTGTGCTGGAGGAGGCCAGTCCCTGATCCCCCTAGCGAACATCGATCTTTCCGGATTACATCCTCGTCTGAAGGAAGTCGAGATCGAGGTTGCCTGTAACTGGAAGAACGTCCTCTGCGGGCCGAACGGAGTGGCGTGTATATATGGTCCGCAGAAAGGCGCATCTCCCAAAGAGACAGAGGTGTTGGAAGCTGCTTTGGATATATACGCTTCCGTTTGTAAGCGCATTTTGGGCCGTGACGTGTCTGAGATGCCCGGCAGTGGAGCGTCCGGCGGGTTGGGCACCGGCTTGCTACTCTTAGGTGCGATGCTTCGTCCACGATACGAAGCCATCATGGAGTATTTTAATCTTGAAGGATTGTTTGAAGATTGCGATCTGGTATTCACTGCTGAAGGGGGTATTGACTACCAGACTCCGAGAGGAAAGATTCCAGCGGAGGTTGCGATACGGGCAAAGAAGTATCAGATCCCGGTCATTGTGCTGGCCGGTACTATTGGAGACGAAGCAGAGGTGAATTATGATGTTGGGATCAATGCCTATGCATCAATCCTGCAGCGTCCATCCACTCTGGAAGAGGCTATTGCGGAGGCTGAACGACTTTTGACGGAGAGTGCAGAGGGAGTGATGCGTATGGTGGTCATTGGCCGCAAGTTGGCTAGATGGTGATAATCAGGGGGCATGGCACGGACAATTTATGACATTTATATACCAGATTCAGAATTGAGATTGTTGTTTTATAGGATGCTCAAGCTGTAGCTACAGCATACAAACGTAGTTCTCTTTGTTATGGAAGTTCTATTTTTATCAGTCATATTTTGTCAAGACCTCGACATAATGATCAATCGCCCCAGATTGGGAGATTATCACGACAATTTCCGGCTGGTGTAGCATGTCGTCGTCACGTATATGGAGATCACCAGCCTTGGCGCTGGAGAAATAGCGAATCCTTTCCAGCAGAGCATAGGCAACAAGACAAGCCTCCAGTAAATTCGTAAGCCCCCTTGTTGAAGTCATGAGAACAGTTCAGTCCTGTCATAGCACTCTGGCTTAATGCAATAATCCATTTAAATTTAGAAATTTGCATTGGTTGTTTCATGAATTCCAGTAATTGCCGGGCGATTGAGGCTTCGGGAGTGCATAGGCATGAGGCAGTGGAAAACATGCATACGTTTGAATGTCTATTTCTGTTTACTTCCTCCTCCATAGAACAGTGCCACCACCGAATAATCAGCAAGCACGCTGGTTCTATTCTCTGAAACTCGCACTCCTTCCATCCCAGGAAGATTAACATCACCGGCTGTGTCATCAGGAGTGCTCAATATTAAATACGAGCATCCTTTCTCCAATTTTCTGACGCCGTGGCAAGGGCACGAAGGTAGAGAAAACCATGCGGGGATCCTCAAGCACAAATCCCCACTGAGGACGCATCATCTCTAGCGCTTTCTTTACCTGGCCAGATATGTAGTGTGCCTCGGGCTCGAAGCCGCCAGCGAATAGCCAAGAGTTTACAGTCAGAGTCCCTGTTCTATTAAGACAAGTGAAAATGTCCTGCGGCGAGAGGTACTGTTCTTATATGGTATTTCTTCGCTGCAGCCTGGACGGATCCAGATAGCAAGACAAGGCAGTCTATCAAAATAGGTATCTACGACACGTGGTGCATCCAAAACTGGATAGGGTAGAAGGAAGAATTACAAGTAACGCAGACTGTGCCTACCTCGGTGGATACCTGCAGATACTAACTGGTCATGAGCCGTATCAATTGCAAAACCTTTGGCAACGCCCGTGGATAACCTGTGTATGGCTAGATTTAAAGGCCAGATTAAACACTATATTCTCCACTCCACTTCATGGGCAGAGGTAGCCGCTTGACATGCTGTCTATTTGGCTTTACAGAACTACAGTGTCAAGAATGAATCAAGCAATGTCACACCATCGTTCTACTTAATTCGGTACAGGAGTGAAAAACAATGTGCGGGGGATACATGTGCCCCAAGTAGATAGGACATGGAGCCTCTCTGTAACGACGCGCTTGAATATCCCAACGTACAATCCAAGCTCCCATACTATCCCCGGCAGTTGCAGCCGAGGTACTTGTTCGTGCAACGACCCGCCACGCCATTGCAATCGTTTGCATCGCATGGTCCCACATCATCGCCGCAGTTGTATCCGCAAGGACAGCCTTTCCACGGACCCTGTGTGCCGCCAAGTTAGCCAACGGAGAGGGGTGCGGCTTGGATAGGATCCTACCGAAGTACAGGTGATCTTGTCGTTGCTGAGCTGTCCATTGCAATCGTTATCGTAGCAGTTGCCATTGGGATAGCCGCACTCAGCAGCCGAAACCGCTAAGGCGCTCAGAGCGAAGAGGGCAATGGTTGTGAAACGCATGGCTTCGAATTGGAAGGTTCTGATAATGTCACAAGGGTTGGAAAAGTGAACTGGAAGACTGTTGGAAGTGGGAATTACAATCTTTCACAACGCAGGGGAAGGAGCCCTTATTTATACCTTTGTAGTCTAACTTCTGCTCACAGCTTGTCAAGAACCACGGACGATATTTCCAGATTTGTCCCGACCCTCCACATCCATACATCTCATCTAGGGTAGCCTAGCAGGTTCTGTTCAGCCAATACGGCCGGGGGCTACAACCTATGGCTCTATCCCAGGCAACGGAGTATAGAATATACTCCCTACGTTCCTACCACAATCTGCAAGACATGGAAGTACCCATTCCATGTGATCTTGGCGAGGACACCGACAGTAACCCCGTACAATGGTGAACTTGGACTCTATGCAATATTCTACTGCGGAGGCCCTTGCCAAGCGACTAGAGAAGCAGTACAATTCCTGGGAGGTTATGGCATGGAGGAGGCTGTTTACGTAAAGTCTGCATGTTTGGGCCATCCCGGTATACATGCATGGGCCTAGTTGCTCACGTCTCCTCACCAGGTAGACTAGTTTTAAGACAAGTTCTATTCGATATCAGTCGTCTTTAATCTGCATACATGACACCACCTTTCCCTGGCGTATATCTTACTCCGCACTTTTGACACGGGTCCTCACCCATTAACATCCAAGTCCTGTTACTCACTTGATATATCAATCTTAGACCGGGAGTTGCCCTCGCGTCTCCATGGCTATGGATACTTTCCTTATTTCGGTATATGGTTTGCAGCCTTTACGGTGCCTGAAAGCTCCTCACGGGCCATGAAACACCAGTAGTAGCTGATTGTGTAGTAGTATCGAGCTAGCTGTAGTTAGCTAGAAAGACGCATCCCCCCTTGCTAGTTGCAGATTATGGGTTCTTCATCTGGGGCGAAAGATCAGTGCACGACCGGTGAAGCTCCGTACAAATTAAACGCGAAGTAGTTAATCAAGGCTTCATATTCGCTCACTCAGGTCATCCTTGGCCAGGTGTGCTAGCAGGGTTGATCGGCCATCCGAATTCTAAGGTTGCAACGGTTTCATAGACGTGTTCTTGGTGCAGTGGATCCCCGATGCTGGGCGAACTGGGACATGTGGAGTCTCCGCATGGACAACTCCACAGGAGAACCAATAATTTTACAACATCGCCAAGTGTGGCAGGGCAGCTTGATATGGGGCGGAAATTAATTTCCTTCCGATATAGCGTGTAGAGCCTGGGCTGCATGATTTGATCCTTGTTCAATGGTGAACTACTGTCTATTTCCCATGGACGAAGACCTTACTGCGGCTTATTCCTAATTTACGAAGAGGGGGAACACTCTGATGGAATCAAACTTGCAAACCCCTAACCCTGTACTGCGATCTTGGCAATTTCGTAATATAAACAACACGTTCAAAGCCTTTTCCAGATTTTATCTTTGCTGGCATATGTAGTCGTCGTTTGATGTTTACTCAGAACTGCCGATAGTATCCGGACAATGGTTGAGCGCCCCACTTAGTGCAATGTCACATTTAGATAATAGAAATCTCCAGCACCGATTTTCTCCTTTGTATATAAAAGCCCCTTGGTAAGACCGTATTTGCAGTTAGTCCATATTCCTTTCTCACATGTGGAGTGTTGACTAAACGGGGTTTGACTGGACTTATATCCTGAGGACAGACGGAACGTCTCAACCATGAATTTTCACTTAGGCACATACGTTGATATGGACATGAGTAGGTAGGAGAAGGAATTATCAATAATAACTTGCTACCTGGTCAGGCAAAGGACGGGTAAAGCGCAGATATTGCACGAGCTACCATGACCAGCGCTACTGTTGTCTACGAAGAAAATCTAGATACTCGGGAATGACCATACGGGGAACCAGACGTGCCAGGCATTCCTGAACTCTGGGTGATTCCAATGACATCTAACCTCCGCATTCTACATTTGAACATCATAAAATCCAGGCCGAGAATGGAGGAACCTATTAATAATGATCAAAGGCTAAATCTAGACATGCTCCTGGTCCAAGAATCGTCAAAGACAGCATATCACATGCAGATAAAGCACAGCACAGCATATGACAATTGTACTGACCTACATACACTGATAGATCAATCCAACTCTGCAGCCTTCTCTATGTAGACCGCAAGATCTCAATATCTTCTTACTGCGAAATCCACAGTAACTACTCCGATCTCATGGCTATCAAGATCTGAATCCCAACATTACACAATCTCCTATTCTTAATCTATAATTCACTGCCACAATATGTAATACAATTAAGACTAGCAGCGCTTTACAGATCCTACAAGAAACTACCCTCAGCGCACACTTCACGTTGCTTAGGTGACAATAAAAGATGAAGGTAGGTCTGGTAATCTGGCTACTACTGTTGAAATATCTCGGACGGGCGTGCATGTGGAGGAGTTAGGTTGTTACGGCTGGGAATACGGGCCAAGGAGATAGTAGGGTCGGACCGACCCAGGGGACCATCCGACAAAAAGTGATGCTTTCAAGAGGAAAGATTCTCCACTAGATGATCCCTTCCAATAACAAGCCATATGATTCCTAGCAAATTGTGATTTGATATTTTGGCAACTTACCTTTCTTCATCTCCAGCAATGAGACATTCTTGTTGATACGCAGTTCACAAAGCTGTGTAATGATTCCAAACTACAAACACAATTTCCATATTTCATGTTATTGTTGTCTGGCAATGCCAGGGTCTCTTTTCTTGTTGCCCTGGTGTGCTTGTGCTTAGTTGTAGAAAGATTGCTCAGGGGACTTTGCCTCTGTTCCTTAGAACCTCAGCCTAAATATGTAATGTTGAATATATACAGAGGTCGTTAGAATAAGAGTTAAAAAAAATTAACTAACTGCCCTCATCCGTCCTGTCCTTGTTTGAGGCCTCCTGGTATTATGAGAAAATATGAGGAATCTAAAAAGAATGCACGTTCTGTTATGCAAAAATGTCCCTGTAGAAAATATATAAACTGAAAAATTATGAGTCGCTAGTTTATCTATTGGCTTGCAATACAGTGAGTTAGCTAAATGCTAGCTTTTGACTAACCCTATAGTCTTTCTAGATTAATTTTATTATATAAGTCTATCAGAATTCAAGAGTATATTATAGCTCCATCACAAATCTCTTAAAATAGGGTGCTTATGGTGCCGCCAGGTCTATAAAGAGGGTTGTCAAGTAATTGGAATACCTTTCTAAGATGACTTATTTCCTGCTACAGGCTTAGAGAGAATGTTGTTCTTGGTTCTTTAGCGTTTTAATTATATGCCCCAAAAATCCTCACAATACTTCCTGTCGGGTAGAAGACAGCAATAATACTTGCCGCACAGGAGAGGCGGTATAGTGTATGAGAGACCTAGTAGGTACTTGCGTGCAACTACGATTATAATTACTTCTATAACTGAGAGCGTCAGTGAGATGGAAATTAATACTAGGCCAACCGGAGGCATAGTTCCCGGGGCGTAAAAAGGTTCGGTGCATCGTGGAGGACGAAATAGAGGATGGTGTTTTACCTTTGATCCTCGGCATTTGCTACCTTCACTGACTATATGTGCCATATAATTCTAGTCCTTAGTATCAGCTAGTACATACGACCATAGGGTGTGGAGAACAGGGCTTCCCGTCCGCTCAGCCGTACTTAAGCCACACGCCGGGAGGTTAGTAGTTGGGTGGGTGACCACCAGCGAATCCCTCCTGTTGTATGTTTTCTCCTTTTCTTTTTTCTGTTTTGCCAACCAAATCTTACTACCCTTTGATATTTTTCACCAGTGCTGGTCTAATCTACTGGGGGGTACAGCCCTTCACAAAGCGTGGTAGTGAAGTATGCGCCTATCATCCAAAGCTCTGTCGCTTTGCGGCAGGAAAATAGTCTTCCTGGGATTAGGCGAAATATAGTACACAATTCGTTGTGTAGATCTGTAGTTCTGGGTCTGAGCTACCATGTATATATATCACTTACTTGAATTAAATACTCGTTCATCATTCAATTGTAGTCCATTTGCATGAGTGGGTTAGGTGCTCACTAAATGGAATTACATATATATAGCACCACATTCAGAATATATATTCACACATCGTTAGTGTCGCAGCAGACTGAAGTTCCAGCTAGATAGCCTCTTGCTTGTCGGTATGTATGATAAGGATACCTTGCACAACTATTACTATCTTTTCGTCTTTGTGCTTCCTTTGGGTACAGCTGTTTCGATAGTATATGTGCTCACTCGTGTACTAGCCTCGACAAGCCTTGCTACATGAGCAAGGAACACACCACTAGATCTGCTACGACGAAGGGCTCAGAAGCAACGGAGTTCTTTTACATGACAGCGAGTAGCATTATAGCTGCCGATTATATTTGACAAAGAATTGCGAGAGTGGCCGGCACCGGATTGTTTTGGCTATGAATCCATTCCCATGAATGATCTGTCGCGCTGTAACGACCTGTTCGAGGCGATCGTCCTTCGTCCCTTTTGATTCACTTCGGATTTCGTGGTCAGTGGCCTGGGTGCCCCGCTCGTTGTTGCTTTTGGCCCCATGTGGCGGCGCTTTTGTGTCCACATCTCGTGTCTGATTGCCTATAGCGCATCGTCGGACTCCATAGATATAGCGACAGGACAGGGGTACTGTGGGTACCTGACTTTAGGCCGGTCAAGCTTCTGACTCCATGCACCTGAACTTGCGGCGACTGGTTGAGATTCTTATGTAGCCCATGTACTATGGGTTCCACTCCAACGGTAGTCTTGAGGTTCCAGATTGTTGCCTAGACTGGAGTACCCAGCTGGTAAGATTAGGATATATTGTATACGAATGGTCGTATTGAGTATATTTATATTAACCTCCATCCCCTTCACTATGTTACTCCGGCCTACCTGGCTATTTAATCGACCCTTAACCCTAATTTGACTGGCCATACAGTGTTGGCACCATCTTGTATGCTACCTATCCACATTGAAGCGATTCCCAATTTACCTCACGAGACAGAAGTCGGTTAGACAATTTGCAAGCTCACTACCCAGCATTCCATTTACGGCAACTAAACCACACAGAGAGTCTGAGACGATGGCATCCGCACCACCCTCGTACACCAAGGCCACTCACTCTGCCACATATGCCGGCATCAATCCAACTCAGCCCGGTCTCTCCACGGCCGGTAAGGTTGTGCTGATCACTGGGGCATCTGGTGGGATCGGCCAGGCGACAGCGCTATCCTTTGCTGCATCGGGTCCCAGAGCCCTCATTTTACTCGGTCGACGCGCCGACGCCCTGGCCGAAACCACCAGGATTGTCCGCGATAGCCATGCAGAGATAACAATTCAAACTCGCAAGGCTGAGCTATGCGATGCTTTAGTCGTACGCGATGCTATGAACCAGGTGGCTGCCGAGTTTGGCGAAATCGACATCCTTGTCCACTGTGCCGGTGTCCTGGCCCCCGTTGCCCCCCTTCTAGAAGCTGATCCGGCTACCTTCCTGGACGGCTACCGGACTACCGTTATCGGTACATTAGTGACGGCACAGGCAGTCGTCCTGGCAAACCAGACAGTCAACGCCAACGAGGACAAGCCAGTTACCATTCTCAATCTAACGACGGCCGGCATCCTGTTCCCCCCATTCGCCGGTATGGGTGCCTACGTGAGTAGCAAGATGGCCGCCGTCAAGCTCTTAGAGGCCTTTGCAGCCGAGAACCCGCAAGTTCGGCTTCACAATGTACATCCCGGATTCCTCAAAACGGCCATGTCTGCCAAGCTGGCAGAGACGATAAAACTACCATATGCCTATGACGACAGTAAGTAGCAACTGACCCCGTCCTTTGTGGCCAATCCCTCTTCGTGTCCAAGTAACTAACTATTCTACTTTCTTTTTTCTTCTTCGCAGCCTCTCTTCCCGCAGACTTCCTTGTCTGGATTGCCTCCCCGGAAGCAGAGTTTCTCAAAAACAAGATCGTCTTCGCATCTTGGGATGTTGACGAGCTCAAGGATCGGAAGATGGAAATTGTCGGTGACCCCCCGGGAACCGGTGAGCTCTGGCTCGGCTACCAAGGATTCCCACGATTTGTCGATGGCCAGCCTTTGCCAGGCACCCAGTAGCGCTGTCGGAGTAAAAAAGTACATGCACTATTCAAACCATGGAGTGCTAGGGCCAAGACCCTAATGAATGGAATGGGACATTTTTGTTGCTCCGTTAGACATGGAATTTGAGGTAACGAATAAACGAAAAATAAATAACCAGTAGTCATCATCAATTTCCAAACAGGTGAAGAAGGCAATGTGAGCAGGATGAACCACCAGACATCGCATAATATGGCAACATATTGGTATAATAGATGGAGTGGTTGTTATCGATTGTACTGATGCCCTCTGTGGCTTGCTACCTATGTGATTGTCGTTGTCTTAATTATCACTAGCTAGACCCGCTCCCAATCTAAATGCTGACGGGCTAGGACAATTACATACATTCAGCTTCTGTGGTTATTCTAATCCGGCAATCCGATACGCCGGTAGGTAGTACTTATCCAATCCGGAATCAATCTTATGGTGGAAAGGACAGGAGGTGACTCGCCAGGAAGCCATATATCCCTTCGTCAGCTCCGATCACAGGTTGAAAAGCCATAAATGGGGGGTTTGTCGGAGTCAGAATCATCTGCTTTCTTCACAGTCCTAGCTACCTTGCCTTCGACACTGTCTGCTCAGGAAGATGCAACCCTACTACGCAAGGTAAGCAGCCTGCGCCACCATTTCCTTTTCTTCCTGTGGCAATACTTGTCGGGTGATGTGGAAACGGTCGATTCGCTATAACCTGTCCCTCTGGTATCTGGATTTGCCCCGTGCTGCAGCAACACTTCAACAATTCCCTGCCTGGCCGTGTCAATAGCCTGACCACACTCTCCTGGCTATATAAGCATACAGTGAATGTAGTGACAGGTCTTGCTCTCACGAGTCTGGTACTCTGCTTCCATCCTGGCTATTGCGACATCCCCTAAGCAGATGTCGCGCGTGTCATTATCATCGTAGTGAGGTATTACGAACAACATGTCTGTTGCTACAACGGCTGCAGAGCTAGCGGCCAGTTCATCCCTCGGTAAGCAAACAATCACAACATTGAATCCACGCATCGATCCCAGGAGATATGTGTTGTGATCAGCCTCCTGTGGAGGCGTCTGCAGATTCCCATGCTCTTCATCTAGCATCCCCTTTGCTGCAGCCATTTCAATAGGGGCAGCTGAGACCCAACCTATCGTGTATTCTTCATTGGCATCCGGGGAGTTGCCGGTCTCCGGCCCCGAGACCACATCCTTCTTTCTTTTGTTCGTGTCATTTTCAGTCTGCCCGACATCAATTAAGTCCAGGTCCCTTTTTCCCATTATAATTAGTATGGAAGGCAAGAGCTATTGTGTCGAGGGATTAATGAGTCAGTCTGATCTTGGTCATGGCTCCAAAGCCACAGTAAAGCTGTATGATACCCAGAGCAATAGGCAAAGCAAGGCTGTGCGCATACACGCTGTCAGCCTCGTCGGGTGGTTTTGAGAGGGGTTGTTTGTTTGATGCCCAATCATATGCAATGAAATCGTGTCTTGTCCATATTCTAGATAGGGTGGTATGTCAGTTCGGCGGCTGCACACGGTCTTGTGGTAGGATTCCCTACTATTATTGTTTACACCCGGCAGTTATCAGCACACTCCATTCGAGGCGTACAGATTTTGGAGCCTAGCGATCATAGACGATACATACGTTCCGTTCTTTGGAAAGCATTTTCTTCAATCTACTCTAGTATAGCAATATAATTGTTTAATCTATCTATATGTTTGCCTTATCCCGATCAAATGGTATCCAGGAGGTCTGTCGAGCAAGTACTTATATATCCTCTCTGCTCCTTTTAGTTTCCCTTCGACTCCTAACGAGAGACTGTACAATCACATCGCGTATCCTTTCACCCTCATAAGCAACGACCATGCACACGCCGACAATGAACAGCGTAAGAGGAGCAGCAATTGCCCAGAACAGCCACTGATCTCGGTCCATATCCCTTATGTCACGAGTATTCATACCGAGATAGCTCGTCATGAATGACAACGGTAGGAATACAACGGTGACAATAGTAAAGACAAGGATCGCCTTGCTATTATTATCTTGTTGGAGATCAACTTGACGTACCACCTAATGTAGCGGGTTAGCTCGGGTGCGAATGGGACATGGAATAACTGGAGCGAAAATAGGTGCCGGTAGCTGAATTGTCTATACATACTCTTCTCCTTAGCTGTTCAATGCTGAAGTTCATCTCACTGTACAGAGCTGCCTTGTCATCTAGTTCCCGGATACAGTTCTGGAGTACATCTTTCGGGCCTCTTTTGGACTTGGACATATGGTCGTCGACGAAGGACGTGAAACTTCGCAGTAGCGTCTTCTGCTTCTCAATTACCGCGAGAATGCTTTCCAACTCCTCCTCAAGAAGGTCCAGGTCATCTAGCAAGGTTCGAGTAGGCTTGTCTCTCACTTTGATTCTCTTTCCACGTATATCCATTAGAAACTGAAAGGGACAGCGCAAAAGATGGGATTGACTTTTACGTACCAGCTGGGAAGAATATTGCCGATAGACTTCCTCAAGACGAAAAGACCCTGCGCCTTCCAGGTCACTCAGTCCAAAGCAGATGTGTTCAAAAATCGAAGATGCAATACGGGACGGTCCGACACCGAAATAATCATCAATATCTAAAGGGTTTGTTTCTATTAGCGTGCAGATGATCGAATACTTAGATTCAATCAGTAGATCTTCGGCTCTTTTAAGCGCTTGGCATCCGTCAACCCAGGGATTCCTTGTATTTTCAGGCTCTGTATCGCTCTCAGTGTCATCCGGAGCCCAGTTTCGAGGAACCTTTCTCCACCTTCGTGGGGAGGTTGTAGTTCCAATACTACGCTCGCTTAGGACAGAAGCAGCACGACTCGGCGGTCCATGAGATGGGGCAGGAATGTCACCCTCCCAAGATCCTGTACCTCCTGACTGAGGGGATGTACTCCGATAGAGCTTTTGGTCCTCTATTTTGGATACTGCCATGGAAATGTTGTCTGTGCGGATATCCAAGTCTGAAGTTTTGTGTAGGCTATCTGGATTTGGGTGACTTGTTTCTGGTCGGGTCCCCATATAATCTGGTTCGGGCGACAATGATTGTTGGATAGAACAACATAGCTGGCTAATGGCCCTACATAACTCCTTTAAACAGTCTATATGAGCTGTAAGAAGAAGTAGGCGGCTCGTATCGGTCTGGATACCTGCACGGATTTCACCAGAAAGCTTTAACAGCTTCAAAGACCGGTCGGTAAAGTCCTTGAGGAGCGGTAGCCTGATGAGCTTTGTACCCTCAGAGGCTTTAAAACACTCCTGTTACTAAATGTCAGTCTATTTAGAGGCTCTCATGTATTGACACAGACAAAACAAACTTTGAGAATCGTATGAAGCCCTCCGTAGATCTTATCTTTCAGCAAACATTCCATCCCGTCTGGGAGAAAGTGATCGACCACATCGCAGAGAGTGTTACATAATGCAATTTCCGGATGGTAACTCGCAGTTGGCATCCCACCGAAGAATGACATTTGCAATTCAACTAGATCTGCTTTCTTGGACCTTGGAAGCTCTTTAAAGGCTTCTTCTTCTTGAAGCACTGCGTACAGAAATTTGACAGGGACCAAAGGGGAATCACGCTTCGAATGACGTGCTTTCTGTGATTCGGGTACCCGCGTCACTGCTTTCTGACCTTGACTGCGGGACGGCGCAGATACGTCCGAAGCTAGTGGCCACGATAGGTACGGCGGGATAGTTGTTTGAGGTCGGCTATCCGTAGACAGCCTAGAGGAATTGATCGACGCACCCGAAGGATCATGGGTTGAATCAGGACTCTCGCAGTTGTCAACCTCTGCACTCAAGCCATCCAGCCAAGATGATTTTGGAGCCCAAAACATTTCTCCTTCGGCCCTTCTCAACTCGTCGGCGGGGTCCTTTTCATAGCAGCCAGGCCAATGCCAGGCAGGACCAGTTTGATGTCTATCTTTGTGGTCGCGAACAGATTTACCATCCTCAGGTTCATTCACTGGCAAGTCACGTACTTCATCTTCTTCTCTCATCCTTCGGGATCTCCGGGTATGCTCAAACAGAATCTCCGTGAAATCGACATCTAAGTAGGTCTTGATTATGATCATTGTCGAGTCCTAGTACGCGATTAGAGCACACAATGCGAGTAAGGTAATAGGACGGTTTACATTCTTGTCCTCCTCCCACGGTAGATTAAACGCTGCCAATGTTTCCACGTCTATAAACCTTTTTGAAACCCTCACCCATGTCCTTGTATCGGTGTCCGGTTCGATAAAGTATGCCTCATTTTCGTGGTCCAGTTCAGGAGGGACTATCTGTTGTGTATTGAGTACAACAATAACGGTGACGCAAACACCGTATGCCCTTGCTTTATACAAAAGAGAAGGCCAGGAGGCAGCGGTCAGGGCCTCGCCTGTCTCTGCATCGCAGAACCTGCATTTCTCGGCGTCGATATGCCTCTTTAGCCAACATGAGTAAATGTGATGAATCCGGATCACGAAATCCTAATTACGGTCAGCACATACTCCAAACCTCCCGATTCCACCGTTTGTCCGGTTCAACCTCACTCACAAACCATGTGGGGCATTCCATTAGATTGAGATAAAAGGTGCTGCCATCCTCATGTACCAGACGCATCGTTGGAGGAAATTTCTCCAGGGGAAGAGGGAGGATTGGACTCTGTCGATGGGTATGAAGCTGACTTGCAGCGCAGGTTACTAAGTAATCTAGCAACATGTCAGCTGTCTACCAGGTTTTAAGATGGAGGATTCAACGCCAAACAAAAGAATGAAATAGAGAGATGGGGGTGTGGATACAATCTCCGATGATCAAGCCCCATAGCTGAGGGACGTAGACCAGGGCATTCCCCTCTAAATCTAGCACTTTGCGGACCGCCTGCGATTTTTCACGAGTGAATGAAGAGTCGGTCCGATACGCTGATTGGACCAATGCTCGGATAGGATGCAAATCCGTATTGGCCTTTTTATCCGCTACAGACTGACAGTTTTCGCTGAGGAGCAGGTAGGGAACGGCGAAGAACGCACAAACAAGAGACTGTCCACTTACAGAAGACAGCCTTTGTTTTTGGAAACATGAATCCAGAGCTTTTCCGCCAAATATCCGCTGCGCTTGAAGCGAATAAATATCTGAAATCCAGCTTTTTATCATATTCTTTGCATTCAGCGGAAGGTCTATTCCGTCCAATGCAGTAGACTTGCAGGAAACATGGTCAATTAGTCTTCCCTAGTCGGAGACCACGCAATATCTAAATCTCGTACCTTGAATGTATCGAATTCAATTCCTTTACAATGTTGCATGTGTCTAGCCGGCCCTATTAGTTTAATTGGCACATTTTACACTTGTGTCTCCTTACACCCAATGAAGAGTTCGGCTTCCTAGGCCGGGGCTTCCCAACTGTGAGTTTTCATCCATGGCTAGGAACAGGGTGTCTTTTTCACCACCAATGGGAATGCGACTCCATGCAATTGGTATTCGCATCCTATGTACACGCAGGTCGGAATGCTTGAGAAGGTGTGAGCTTCACGTGTTGGGATCTAGTCGACGTTGATGGGGAGTAAACAAACCTCATCAGACTGCTTGCTCAGCTTACCCCTCGGGCGCTCTTCGTCCTCAGTGGTACGACTAAAGCACGGAATCCATGAAGGGCGTTTTCGCTCATTATATGGCTTGGTATGGACACCTTTCCCATTAAAAAGTGGACCTTTACTCGTCCGTGCCTCGTTCCGACGCCTGGTTGCTTCACGAGCAAATGCGTCTCGAAAGTCTCCGGTTTTAACCCGGTGTGTCGGATCCAAGAACTTGGGATTGGCACCAGTGATATTGTAATCCATATGGAAACGTTCTCAGCCGTCGATCGCCACTACCGCGGGGACACAATTTGATGTCGGTGTCTGACTTTGATGCAAAGTGGTGGCGGGGAAGAAAAGACGCCAGAGCGCCTTCTCCGCACAGAGATCACCATCACGTGCAGGAACCAACTAATCCCAATTGACAATAATAATAGTATCCCCCTTCATCGACCTGATTCTCCATGATTCCATGTTGTATTGGTATTTCCAATTGTTTGGCAGTTGAAGGAATTGCAGGCCGGCTTGGCTGTGAGAGAATGAAAGTGTGGGGTGGGAGGATCCAGGATATATTTTGATGGCAGCACGTGGTGACTCGTCCAACCCTGTCGTCCCGCATATAGTTACTAGTAGACAGTCGAGCAACGTTTGATTTTCTCCCTAAGAGTTGCACCTTTGTCATCAGAATTGAAAATGGCTACCTTAGGACGCGCTAACATTGCAAATTACTGCTACCCTATATGGTAACTCAAGCCTCATTTTCTCCGACTGCTTGGATTGAACTAGGGCGCTACATTCGGTTGCCCTTGAAAGGCTACATAAAGTAGTCCTGGGATTGCATCGCGCCCTAAAGGATCTTCTAAGTACGTCACATCCATCTTAGACTTACAGGACCCCGACATGCATTCAAGGCATATATAAGTTGATTGTTTTTTGATGACCTACAGGGTCCCCGGAGATTTGGGTTGGCGATGCTTACAATATGAAATGCATAGAGGGGAATTTCCCAAGATATCAGCAGAGTATCACACCATCAAGCATCTCTAACCCCAAGCCGGACGACATGGCATAAAAAACACGGAAATAACCTCGTTGGGGGACACGGTCGAAATCATTTAGTACTTGAGACCCTGTGCATGACGAGCAGGTTTCGAATGTTTTGTATCTCACGCCGTAGCACAAGGAGGAGACAAAGCAATGGATCTATACGGCCTGGACGTGTCATGTAAAAGCGAATGGTGAACCTAACTCGTATTTCCCACGTAACTCGCGCTAGCCTTGACCACTATCCCTTTTACCCTTAATCATAGACCCGGGAAATACCATGATTGAAGGGCAGTATTGATACTGAAGAGCAGAGGAGTGCCAAAGTGACCTTCCTACACAGAATAGCAGAAGGTAGATATTTTTAGAAGCCAGCAAGGGAACATTCTTTCCTCGCGGGCTGATGTCGATCCTCCCTGTTTCAGTTGTTCTCGTTGGTCTCACCATGCACAAGGTGGGTCGGCCCTTTCGTATCTGCATCTTCAGGAGGCGCAAGCCACTACCTATGGTTGTCGCCAAGAGAATGTCTTGTTTAAACTAAGCTAATCTTGGCAGAAACCCTGATGCTTAGTTCTCATTCGTTGGTTCGTGGTCTGATGTTCTTCTTCGGAATATCTAGTAAGGTAAGCGCTCTGCAGATCTACCTTGAATTTCCCCGCTGGCTGTTCCTCACGACGGAATTTACCCGAGCAATACGACTCATATGGACTGATCAGCAATTGGGGTCGACAATGCGCATCGTATGTACTGATATCGATCCGCAGGATAGCACTACATACAGGGTGATCTCTTCCACCTTCCCTTTGACCGGCAGTGAAAGGCCTTGCACAATTCTGCTTGAGCCGATATTCGACAGTAAAGACAACTGAGCAGGTACGGTCCTAGCCTATTGAATTCAATCAATGATTAATTCTATGGCTTTTGTCGACTATTACTAAAACGCAGATCACGTAACTATAGCTCCACCCAGACACGAGATGCTAGCTTGCCCTCCGCTAAGTATAATCAAGTCCAACTACACTGATGAATATGAAGTGTGTCTAAGTGTACCCCAGATGCATATTTGATGGACACCTCATTGTAACCCCAGTCTCCAGTATCTGACTATACTTGGAGAGCTTGACTCCACCCGGCCAGATCCCTCAGCTGTATGATGTAGATGGACACCGTATTGATGAAGATCTCTCGTGTAGCAGCATGCCTCTCGTATTACTATACTTCGTCGTTCTCGAAATAGAAGTGGATTTGAGACGAAGTATGCGATCGCCATGGAGCGTCACAACAAGGTATCATCTCAATACGAGATGGAGTCAGTCACACGCGGTAGATTGCGCATACAAGCCCGAACGCCGTCTATATAAAGGCTTCACTCACCCTGCCTAGACTTCTTAATTCATCAACACAGAGATCACGAAATCTAAAATCCCATCAGCATAACCAAACAAGCCTTTGCCCTTTCAATCCACAATGCGTTTCTTCCTTGCCATCTCGACTCTTCTGGCTGTTGCCATTGCAGCGCCAGCCTCGACTGCGCAAAACCTTCAAGACGTGCAGAACAACGCCGCTGCTTTTACCGAAGCCAAGAAGGCTGCAGGATGTGACTGGCTTGGTAGGTGGTTGGCGACGGATGCTCGCTATGCAATTCACTGACATTATTGAATAGCCTGTGTCTCCTCTCTTGCTGGGGAGAGCGCTGCATGTGCAGCAGCTGCAGCAGAGCTTGGTGCTAGTATGTTTGCCTCCATCCATGGTCAATGTGCTGGATGTCTTGCTGATTTGGCCTTTTAGATCCTATCGCCGATGCAGCCTGTATCGCTTCTGTCGGTACCTCTACTGTGAGCTTCATACTCTGTCATTCTATTGTATGATATAATTCTAATTATTGAAATAGGCTTCCTGCAGGAAGTGTGGCTAAATAGCTACCCTGAAATCTCTCGCCAATACAATTGACAGGAATCGATGACGCTATAGAGTGCTGCGTGGATGGGCTTTCTGGACATCTTGCATCCAAGTACCTGTATATGCCTCAGTGATACGCTTGGAGGAGTGAATTGCCTATTGTGACTTAGTGATGAATGAATGCATACTGTAACGGCGGTATACTATATAGGTGCCCTGGCTCTATCTCTTACACATACCTCGAATTGGTTTCTACTTACGAATTAGTATTGAGTCCTCTGTTCCGTAGCGATCCTAATATAACATAACAAGAAAGAACACGTGTACAAGACAAGATAGAAATCTGAAGACCGTGGCCATTCAACTCGGCATACATCAACTGCCCGCACACTCTCCGACCCAAATGTCTTACAAGCAAGATATGATGGTCCAGGTGTCATCCTCACTGCGTCCTGAGTGGGTAGCAAGCACGTTTATCTACGCCTAAAATGCGATACAACTCTCAGATAGATGTCTTCCGCTGCTAAAACCAATGGAACTTGCGGAACCCAGCCAAGAGTCCACACCCGCACCTGATCGATGTCTGATGCGCATGGAGTCCATGGACCTTAAGCTACCTGGGCTATAGAACAGGTCTCACATTCTTGATGCCCAGTGAGATGTGATCACGGATGCATTAGACTCAAGCCCAATTCGTGCTGGGGACTATCACATGATCGGGCAATATCAACCAGCGTGCGAGTCATTGAGCATTTTAGTGCTTAATTTGTACAGGATAGTACCTAGTATTAATATAAAACTCCCTCGCACAGCTCGCTGCTCACTGTCTACGCCGTCAGTGGTTCTGACTCTCACCAAAGTGCCTCGTTCAAGAACAGGCGCCGATCATTTCCCACGCGCATTGCCCCGCCAATTCAGCTCATCCACGATTACTCGATGCGCAACGACTTGTAGGCGTTAACTCTGGATTCTGAAGTGATGCTGCAATCATAGCACCAATGGGCCCGCTCGACCTGACACAGGCTTCCATTTTACGAGTGGCACATATTGCTTCGGAGCTGGGTGCGCAGTGCAAGCGCCCAGTATGCAGTCGCCTCGGCGTGGAGTTGCTCCTCCTCGCCAACTATTTCGACACGGCTGTGTGGGACCAAGAGAAGCACCTGCGTCTGTGCATATCAACGCTATTGAGGGATATTGAGATCATTTGCAATGTGAGTAATCGAGATTGAATATTTATGGTAATTTCTCTCTTGTGGTTTGAGTATATGCTGATTCGATCGCCACTGGCCGCACCAGGTATGCCGAACCAATTATCCGCTCCTCGAGACTATCTGCCAACTACCCTCAGGTACACAATATGAAAAGGCACGCGTAAGAATCCAACAGGGGATCGGCAATATTACAGGAAACCCAGACACGGCAGAAGGTGCCCTTCGACACATCCAGAAATTGACGGCCCGCAGCAAGAAAGAGTATCGGCAGACCAAGGAGGACACAACGACAAGAAAAGTCAGGCCAGTGGAACATCCAACTGATGTCAATATACGGAATTATGCAGAAAGCACGATGTAGCCACCTGGTGCGCCTGCTGCTCCGACCGCCGAGTCGAAATTGCGCAGATCCCTGTTTGGCACAGTTTGATATCTTGTTTTCTTCTTCGCCATGGTGGTACAGTTCTCAGTTCAGGCGTTGGCAAGATGTTCAAATCGTCATGCCGTGGTAGGTTCTTTCTGAATCCAGGATGCAAAATCGATATCTACTAAATCACTCGGGGCTCGGAAAACGTCCAGGAAGTATGCTCGATTCGCTGACGGCTGTGAGGGGAGAATGGAAGCTCCAACACGAGTCACGAGAATTGATCATGGTGAATTATACCGACTGATTAGTTTGGAAGCCAACTCACGGTTGTGCCTTATACTTCAGAACAGACGATTACAGATGTCTGGCTTTGAGCCATTAAAGCAACTGGTTGAGCATGCTCCTGAGATCTCGTTGGCTGAGATTTTGAACACCTATCACCTGACGCCGAAAATGAATTTTGCTCTGGGCTATATCCTTGCTTACAGTGTCTGGCAGTATTATGACTGACTGAATGAGGACTGGATGGACAAGCCAAACGATATAGTTTATGAAAGAGTGTGGGGGCAATAGCCGTGGCGAACGAGGTAAAGTATTTGCCTGGAGGCCATACCTGTCTGTTCGCTTCGGTGAAGAAGACTCCGACTCAGGAGAATTCAGTCATCTCGACGGCCAGATACACCCTTACTCCAGGATTCGATCGCTAGGTATTATACTGGTTGAAATTGGAGTTGGGTTTCCGCTACCTGTGGTGCAGCCGGGGATCAATGAATATTACCTCCTAGCATCGCAAGTGCTCTACTAGGATATATGAATGCAAATCAGGATATACGTGAGAAACCACGAACTCGTCAAGGAATGTACGCTGTCTTTAGAGCCTTTGCCTCCACAACACTCAACGACCACTGTTTATATTTAACCCCATGAGCCATCAGGCGGCCCTCGCTAATATGCCATGACGTTTTCAGCATAGTAGCATGATTCCACTCAGCCGAACAACCCAAACCTATGCGTGATTGGCTATAGCTAGAATTGACTCAATTTGAACACGACATGAACACGAATGTATATCCTAGACATCAGCTACACATATACAAGTAATTCCAGACTCACTCACTCTCTCCCAACTCAACTGCCGGAAGTTTACCTATATTTCGCAAAGTATGGAGATTGTCCGGACTTTCAAACTGGCTGTACCTTCTCCCACATCTCCTTCGTCCTCCTCATAATATTCCTCTCCGTCATCATTACTAAGGTACGCCGCCTTAGGCCTGACTTCATCGTATTCGATCCTCGTTCAGTCCCACACTTTTACTTCAATAATAAGCAATTGATACGCAAAGACAATGTCCTCGCCTGCTGTCCACCCCTCGCTTTCCTCTAAAGATTTTGTTCAAGCCACATTGATGCTGACACCAGCTAACCCGCAGGCGTGGGAGCGGGCCCTCCGACCCCAATGTCCCCTGCTCTAGTTTTGCCTATTTCCTGGGTCACGGCGAATCTCTTGGCTATCATTAACCCAGTCACCATATACACCAGGTGCCTGAAGCCTGGCATACGGCTTGCCTTAAGCACAACCTGCACCTGGGGCGCCTCCACGCGAGGAGTTTGCACTAGGGCTTTCAACAGACGCTTGTAGGTATGTCGTTCATTTCGCCTAATGGGCAGCTAATTCCATAATTCCGTAGTTGCAGTGCCGCCATTACACAGCTTTCACGAATCTAGATCAGGCATAACTTGTATAGAGCTTAAAACGTCTGCCTCACCTCTCAACGCATGTCGGACGTTACATTCAGAGTCTACATACATCGTTTATGATCCTGCTTATTCTCTTCAAAGTAGCTTCATATCGTTTATTCTAATCTATCTACGTACTTGACTAGAACAGTGCTATCATATCCGGCGCCCGTAATCAAGCATCCCAGCTACGTCTAGATAAGATGCAACTGTTGATTCTTCTCATCGTTATCTGTGATTGCTATTTGCATGGAACATGCGGACTGTTACCTGGGTGTCATTCCCACTGTTTCTTCCTGTGATTCTGCCGTGTATGAATTGGCCGGCATTAGTTGCGGTCAGCGTCGTCGTAATTAGCTGCTCTTCTTACATTCTGTTTCATCGATACAGGACTAATGAGATGAAGAAGCCAAGTGCAACGATGGTCCTTACTTTGTTGCAGTGCTGCTTAGTTTCCGAATGCATCTTTCCTAAAATACGGAGTACCCACAGACATTTCAAGTCCTGATGGATCCTTAAAATAATAACTACACACCGCTGTAAGGCTCCTGAGACCATTCTCTTCACTATCTAGATCACACGACTCACCCTTCCCAAAACGAATCCAAGGTACTCCACGAGCGGATAGGGTTCCTCTTCCTACCCTACCTTGCCTGTTAGATTTTGCTGTAGTAGGTATAACACGCGGCTGTTCGTCTTGCTGTTCTAGATCAACCCTCGACCACACAAGGTGGCGGCATCCACCTCCAGAAAAATAGCCAAATAGGATTGCCAAGAGGGTCCTAAAAGCTAACACGGCTAGCCAAGCTATTCGTACAATGTGGGCCTTATTGGCAGGTGGGTCACCAAGTAATGCTTATCACCTGCGGCCATCCGAGGTAAACTTGCCAATCGGAAATGGAGTAGATCGAATATACAAGTATAGTCACCTAGAAACCTAATCGACCGAGGTAAAGGTGGAGCCAAGTTGAACCCTATGTCAAAGCGTATCCAGGCGCCACCAATCTTATTGGATAGTATAAGATTTAGCACCTGGAAACTTCGGGGGGCCGAAACAAGTTGAGTTGATCAAGTTTCATCCACTTCATTTATTTCGTATTGAGAAGACGTAGACACGTAGGCAAATCTGGGGAGAGCAAGCCTATGCTCAGGCCTCCATTATCACCTCTTTTGATTCCTGTGCCAATGTTCAGTGCTAATCTATTTGCGGGTAAACATACGCCGTACGTAGTACTAGTGGCTCTTACTTCTTCCTCATAGCCATGGTTTGAATTCGATAAAGTTTTCGGCAGGGAAACTGGGTCTAGTATCAGGGTTTTAACCTGTCACCATTGAACTATATGAAGTTATTGGTTTCCTTGTATTATTTGTTGAAGTTCAATGTTAGCCCTAACATGGACACTTTCATACTCCAGAATTACTGAATTACGGTAACCTTACCATGCACTACGCCATCTTAGGCTAGTAAGGAATCTAGATCAATAAGCATATTTCATTACAAGTGTGCTAGCAGCGTACGGTGGCGGAGCTAAACCAACATTCTCGACTTTTGTGATTTCAAAGCCGACCCACGCAGCCCCGTTTCCCTACTAGAGCTCGCGAATCAATATGGCTATAAGCCACAAGAATAAAACACCAACGCAGTATGTTCTTCGCTGTGGCGGGGATATAAATGACGCAACCTTATTTGGGGCGCGACATTTGCCTAATTTAGACACGAAAGAAGGAACCTACAGTATGAAACTTTCAGGGCAACAACTACATGGCTTTAGACTGTTTCCACATTATAATTGATGCGGCTAATCAAATCCAGAGCCAAGAAGTATGTATCGCTACATTCTATGGAAGATGATATTATGGTGTAGATGGTGACTGCGCATTTAACTCGCTCCCACCCAGAGTTTTGACAAGTGCGTCACTGTTACGAGCAATCTCTCTCAACGCTTTTCTACCATAGCCTCTGTGAATCTATCCGAGACCCTATCCGTATTGTGCCTATTATAGCGAATTGATCTTGCGCTAAAAATGCCTTTCAACACCGCGTTGACACGAAAGTTAGGGATTGCAGGTGATCCATCCTCCCATACCCACTCACACAGTTGCTCACTATCTCACAGTCCCGATCATCCAAGGGGGTATGCAATGGGTTGCGTATGCGGAGCTGGCTTCTGCAGTCAGCAACGCCGGTGGATTGGGTATAGTACGTGCCACTTGCTTCCGAATACCATTCCTGATATGTACTCATATTCTAACACTTCCATGTGTTCTTCCTTGTCCAGCTCAGTGCACTCACGCACAACACCCCTGATGATTTACGAAAGGAGATCCGAAAATGCCAGTCCATGACCAACAAACCGTTCGGGGTAAACCTAACTTTACTCCCGGCTCTCAATCCCCCTGACTACGCGGCCTACGCACGCGTGATAGCAGAAGAGGGAGTGAAAATCGTCGAAACAGCAGGCCACAATCCAGGCCCAATCATTGCCCAGCTGAAGAAAGCAAACATAGTTATCTTACACAAATGTACTACTATCAGACATGCGAAGTCCGCTATCAAGCTGGGTGTGGATTTCCTCTCCATCGACGGCTTCGAGTGTGCGGGACACGTCGGCGAGCATGATCTGACAAGTTTCATCCTCCTTGGGCGGGCACGCCAAGAGCTCAAGGTGCCATTCATTGCGTCAGGTGGGTTTGCGGAGGGGCGAGGGCTAGCTGCTGCTCTGGCGCTTGGCGCAGAGGGCATAAATATGGGGACTCGGTTCTTATGCACGGTCGAAGCTCCTATCCACCAGAAGATTAAGGAAGCTATTGTCGATGCCCAGGAAACGGATACTACATTGGTTATGCGACGATGGAGGAACACCAGTCGTTACTTTGCGAATACTGTGACTCAGGCTGCGCTCAAGATCGAAAAGGAATCATCATCGGGCGAGTTCTCTGAGATTGCCCCATTCGTTAGCGGCCAACGTGGTCGGCAGGTGTTCTTGAATGGGAATATTAATCATGGGGTAAGTTAACGGACCACCCGAATCAATAGGAAACGAATCGAAGCTTATAACGTGGTGTTCTAGGTATGGACGGTCGGCCAGTCTATTGGATTGATCCAGGACATTCCTACATGTAAAGAGCTAGTTCGTCGTGTCGAACGGGATTCAGCGAGGGCAATTGAAGGGATTCACAAGCTTTACCATGGTGGCAACTTGCAGAGCAAGTTATGATTCATGTCACAGTATTTGTCGATAGTTTTTAAATGACATTTCCACGCATGACATGAGCTATAACTATATTACATGTATACAATAAACAAGATCTATGTTTTCACGTCTTAGAGAAGCCGATCTAGGATATAATATGGTCTCGTGACCCAATATTGCCCATCTTGGCCTTCTAGGCAATGTTAGTAACTATACTATACTAGTTCCCCATGACATCGTTAAAGCCTCAACAAGCCCTAGGGAACTCTTAAGCTCAATCTGTCCCTTCGAGCCAGCAGAAGGAGGTAGATACTTAAGTTGGAAAGGCTTTAATCCTGTGAAGTTAGGGCTGGAACGGCCCTTACGGGTTCCAGGGCCATATCCATATGAGGACAATCGAGCTTCTCTGGGGACACGCTAACCGTTTACAGACAGTATCGATTCCGTTCTTGGCGAGCTATTCCAGACTCGGCACAGGGCTAGACCCAACAAGGAAACCCTTACCTCGGTAGTCGGTACCCGCGGGCTACGAATACCAAACTCGCCATTAGCCTCGTCAGATCCCACATAGATCCCACATAGACTACTGATACATTAACGCAAGACTATCAATAGACCATTGTACTGTGTAATTGCTTAGAAGCTATAAACCTTAAATTGTTGATAAGTTGCCAAGACGACCTCAATTGGTTCTTCGTTTTAGGTTCCGCGGTTCCGTGGCGTCTTACAAAATCTTAACGCAAGTCTGGAAGACAAAAGATTAAGCCCACACTTTATTTAACTTCTCAATACAGCTGAGCAGGCTCTGCGATTACGACTTGGCTTTAGCGTTAACCACAATGACCATACGCTTCTATTCCCCAGACTATCTTCCCCACATTACACGTCCTCGGAAACGGAGTAGATACGGGGTAGCTCTGCGCGCTTCCTCGGAAACGTCGGCTGGTTGATCTCTCCGTGTTGACAAATCAAGTCTCCTGCCTCACGACGGCAAGGATCTAGCATGGATGAAGCAGGGGTTCTTTTATCCCACGTAAGCTTTCTCATGGTATATTTCTCAACCAACTCCAAGCACTTTGCTCCCATAGCTACAGGCGACACAGATTATGTTATGAGCCCATCTTCCCTCATTGGGTTGGCGCGCGTAAAGCGAGGCTATCGATATATCTTTTTAATTCATTGACTTGCCACGAAGGCTACTCCTTCTAAGCTGCCCTGCCGGCCTCCAAATCGCTCAGATCTCTCTCGTCGAAGATGGAGATGTTACTTGATTATCTAGAGGAGGATTCCAGGAACGTGTTCATGGACTTGACTCCTCAGACACTGGCGTCTTCTCCTGAGACATGCTTGGCAAGCGATTTTCCAGATTTTATTAGGCCAATTTCTACAGCTATAGGTGAAGATAGTTATGAGCGTCTTTTACTACAGGGGGCATTGGCCCTACCAAGCTTTCCACTTCAACAAGCCCTATTACAAACATTCTTTGAGTGTGTTTTACCTACTATGCCACTCATAAACTGGCAGACGTTTATCAATAGTGTGAGCAACAAAGAAGGTGGTCAAGGCAAGATCAGCTTGCTCCTGTTCCAAGCTGTCATGTTTTCGGCAACCACGTTTGTCAATCTTGACCACCTTCAAAAGGCTGGCTACTCGAGCCGTGAGGAAGCTCATGAAGCTTTCTTCCAAAAAGCACATGTTTGTAACCCACAACGTTCTTCACCAAGGTTTCTTCGAGCTAACCACATTCTAGCTTTTATATCAATCACAATACGAATCGGATCCACTCACCAACCTCCAAGCCCTGCTTCTCATGACACACCGTTCCAAAGCCACGGACGGGAAAGACAGCCGATATTGGATTGAGGTTGCCATTTCGCTGGCGTTAATGATGGGGCTCTTTCGAGACCTTCCCACCGGTTATGCAAGACACTACAATCAGAAACTTCACAGAAGAATTGCCTGGACGTGTTATATGGCGGACTCCTTGATCTCCCTTAGGTTAAGGTGCCTGCCGCTGATTCGCAGTGTTGATTTCAACGTTTCCATGTTAACTGAAGATGACTTTGACGTTGGTAATATAAGCATGGAAAGCCAACTCCTGCTTCCTCGATGTACTTTTATTCGATGTTTAGAATCTCAGAAATGCCTGGCCGATATCTGTGTTTCTCAAGCGCAGTTATGCTTGTGTATCAGAAGAGTGCTGAACGTGCAGGCCAGGTGCAACTCAACGGGAATATCTGCCGATGCCATCGCCACACCACCAGATTCTCCGAACAAACATCACTCAGACTACCTCACCAGTATTTGGATGTCTCAAAAGGCATTAACTGACTGGGAATATTCCTTACCACCCATATGTCAACGTCCTCCCACAGCGTTTTGGATCGGCAGCAATGAAAGCCCGATAGTTACACTCCACCGCAACGTCTTGCACATGGTCTATCAGGGGGTGGTTTGCGTGCTGTATCAGTCGCAAATATTCCAATCGTCGACGTCCCGCATGCAGCATGCTGCTAGGCAGATCACTGAGATTGCCACCGAATTAGATGACATGAATCTTCTTCATTCGCTCCCGATTATCGGTTCTACAACTATTATGATTGCGATGATAATCCACCTGGCAGAGGTTCAGATCTCTTCCCCGGTAAAGCAACGGGAAACCATCACAGACATTGAATCATGCATTGAATTAATGAAGAGGCTACAAGACGTCCATTCATGTATGAACATTGTCACTCATCTTATATTAGCAGCCCTCCAGAAGTGCTCCCCGGTATGATATCGCGGTAACGAGGACTTGGTTCAAACAATCGAATGCCGACATTAGGAATCTGCGAGCACAGACATAGGGTGAATCTGCTGCCCTGACACTCGCGGGTCTTGACCGCTAGGTTATCCAAGACCGGCTAGCATCCCGGGAATTATTTACCTTCTTCCTCTAGGCCATCTTGGACGGGACACGGAGTACATTCTACGAAGTTATGCTCCGGTTTTGATCAAATCATCACCGCCAACGCCAGGAATCCACGCAACTATGAGCCTCTGGGAAGCCAGTTCGTAGCATGAAGCTGGAACTAAAAGCACACCCGCCCATGGCCGTTTATTGTGGAGATAGCACGGATCTCGACCCATATGTGCGGACCTTAACATTCCATGGAGTCATTTCACCGACATTCTTTATCTCCGCCAATGTTTGCTTGACATGTCGGCTGCCTTGAATTAAAGGCACTGCCATTCACGTGCTCAATCGGTGTTTGGAGCTTTTAGAGCTAGATAGCGAGGATTCTGAAGATGCTAGCAACGTGACCTCATTGTCAAGCTTCCTCTCATCAGAAAGATCATTTTGATGAAGAAATTGAGTTTAGATGGGCGAATGTCCAACCGACATAGAAAGTCTAATGAAGTGCTTGAGTAGCCCATATCCAGAAGGCTCAATCTCCATAGGATGGTCTGTCATTCTTTATCAACACGCAGTCTTCGCGTTGTTGACATGAAAGTTCAAGACGGAGCGCACATGCGTACTTTCTGGAGCCAAATAATGTCTCGGTTCATTTAAAACAGTTGCCAGATATCTACCAACGTCACGGGTGCAAGTTTAGTTAACCCACGCCTTTATATTCGTTACCTTCGGCTACCGCCCATTCATATGGTATGGGGTACTACAAATATTAGTGGCTTTCATCTATGATGCATTGTCTGTTCCTTAAGGCCAGCAGCAATTGTTCTCTGAAATACCATTTGGCCAACTTCAAACCCGCGCAGCCCATACATTTAGAGCCACTATCTCGCTTATGTATCTCGTCTTCGGCCCAGATCCCTATTTGGGGGCAGCAGACCCTCATTCATAGTCCTCCAAATACAGTCCTCGGCACTTTCTCCGACCCACTCTGCAGTCAATTCCTCCAGTGTGCGATCCCTAACAGCGGCTCGCAGCAGGGGATGGTTAACGTTCCAGTCTCTCCAGAAGCCATCGATGGAAATTGGCCGACACTGCCTATCATGCGGGAGGTTGTCGATCGGATACCACGACAGTGTGAATATGTCGTGTCTAACATGGCTGTGTGCGGATCTCAATATGGCTCTCTCGGTCGTGAATGTAGGGCTGAAGGAATAGGTAATGTAGATGGTGACCATACTGTTGGGCTCTTAATCTGGTTAAGCCGGGTTGAAGAAGATGTTGAGGGGATGGGTCTTTGGTAGTGGTGTTGGATCTTGAGCAGTGTATGATAGATGTCAAGGCATTGTAAAACTCGACTCAGCAAGCTTTCGATGGAATTCTTATATGTTGCAAGCGGGCTCCAAGTACAATCTATTTCTTTTTGCATAGCGCAGCTTTCCGTATGTCAAGGCACTTTCACTACATATGTTGGCTCTAGCCAGCTGAAACATGCCATTGAGGGGGACATTACGATGGTTACAGTGTCTATCGGAGTAAAGGATTGCGAAACCTTGCAAAACAATCAACATTATTACTGGACAAGTTATAGGGCTTTCCAAATCAGAGGTGCAGATTCAGGAAATAACATGAATTATTACTACTTGCCTCTAAGTACGTATCTCACGGACGAATAGAAACAGTCTTAAACAAAGGGCTTTTCTCCGCGGCCTCTTTGTTAGTTCTTTGTAATTACGGTTTTGTTTGCATCTTCATTGAAAAGAGATAACTAGAATCAGTGTATATTACATCCAGCATTGGGCAAAATGAAACTGCTGGCAAAGTGATGGACACCCAGCCGGTAAATGTTGTTTTCGGTAGGGTCACATCTCACTACGGAACTAGAATATATGTCGTGGCGGCACCACAAAGGAATCGATGAATCCTCCTGTGTCCGGCTATAGTTTCACCCGACAATCCTAGGTGAGGATAGAGAGTGATTTTAGACTATATAAAGCCACTGATTTAGTGGTATCAGAATCCCAAGGGCAAGGAAGGGAAACACTTTGGATTTCTCAGGTATCAAACGATCACGTGATTATAACGGAATTAATAACCGAGGCGAGTATGATCCTAGACACAATCAGGTATATTACACGGTCGCTAATTGTTTGATCAATAGTTAGTATAGTACTAGCCAGGAAAAAGGGTAGTGTGTATCGTAAATCAGCATTTCGGCCGAAGGGAAAACGGTTTGCAGGGGAGATGTGGGGGTAGTCACTCCGTACTCAACGGCGAACAACTTCAGTATAAATCTCGGGAGAATCGACGTCATCGGGCCCACAAGCGAGAGCCACGTATGTCAGGTGATTGGGTGGCTTCCCAGCCCGACACGTTTTTCTTGGATTCTATGTTTCCAGACGAGTCTAGACCCAGTCTCGGCCAATCAGACCAAGGGAAATCAGGAGTACCTCAGGACTCGGTATTCCGGCCTCAGGCAGTGAGGTTCCTGAATCAGCTTCCCTTCCTTTCCCTTTCTCTTTCTTTCCTCTACAATCGTAACAACACTCCCTTGGAAGATATGTGAAGGATGGCAGCTTCCTTTCCGCGGCCTCCCCCCACAGATGCAGAACGCGAAAGGATCAGAGAGTTATCTAGGTGAGTCACAACAAGGACTGAAGAAAGTACTGGTCCATAGTTACTCTGTAAGGTTGTTGATCCGCTGATCATTTCCGTCGTCGGCAACTACACAGGTATTACTGCACCCTCGATCGCATCCCCTCCCTTCCGCAGCCCAACAACGAGGAACAGACAACAGCAGGGCAAGAAGATGCCGACGAGGATTCGCCTCGCTTGTCCTCGGACATCACCCTTACTGCCCTGAGCCAATTGGCAGTGTTGCGCTTCGGATGCAATCGAGCCTTTATCTCCATTATCGATGATGGGAACCAGCATATTATCGCAGAGGCTACCGGCTCCATCTCGCTACGTGACAAGGATCGGCATATCCCAGATGATGCAATTTACCTTGGTGTGCGAACGATCGATCTGGCCTGGGGGGTGTGTCCGCATACTATCTCCCTGTTTACCGGCCAGGACATGTCTAACGCGGTCGAGACGCCTAATATGATCGCCAATAGCTCCCGCTTTGTTGTCAATGACTTTACCCAAGAGGACTTTTTCAAAGATCGCCCATATGTAGTGGGATGGCCCTACTTCCGCTTTTACGCCGAGGTGCCCCTTTTTAGCCCTTCTGGGGTCGTACTGGGGTCCTTTTGTGTTGTGGATAACAAACCACGAGAGCACTTTGCGGAAGAAGAGGTGGATGCCCTGAAAGAGATCGCTGATGCAGTAGCGTTACATCTTGACAAAGTCCGCATCTCGATCGATCATCATCGGGCCGAGAAGCTGATTAAAGGCCTCACGAATTTCGTCAAGGACCATGGGGAGTTCGATCCGGCCGAGGTGCCCCTCCCTATCAGCAGACAATCAACGCTCAACACACTCAACTCTCCTAGAGATCGATCGTCACCGAGTCTTCCCACCACAGGTGCTAGGGGATCTGGAAACATAGAGGGTCCGCTTAACAGTGGTTCGACGGCATCGGAGGTGGAGTTGTCGTCGCTGTTTTCAGGAGTGACGTCTTCCGAACAAACCAAGACGTCGTCTTTTCTTTACAATTCACCCCAGCCCGCGGTACCAACGCCAGCCTCAGAGACGCTTAGCCTCCAGGAGACTGCCTCAGAGCGCCATGAGCCGCTCACGGTGTCGGTGAAACGCTGCGTTAGAAATGCGGACCAAATCGCTCAGGTCTTTACTCGAGCTAGTATCTCCCTGCGGGATTCCCTGGATCTAGATGGTGTGCTCTTCCTTGATGCGAGTCGATGTAACTCGGGCGTGTTAGTGTATTTATTGTATGTCGCACTGGATTGATCGCTAACTAAAGAGGTAGGGTGTTATCGGCTGACGAGGCTCGAAGTTGGGAACCGCTCCCCACCACGGCAAATCCAGAATTCCTTGCCGACCCATCCCCTAGTCCACTTGATCTACCGGGGGTAGGATCGTTATCCAAAATTGCGGAAAAGCCATGTGAAGTGCTGGGTTGGTCTCAAAATACACCGTCACCCACCGGTTCTGATGCCTTAGCGATCACTGAGAGACTTCTCAGCCAATTGATTGCGGCTTTCCCACAGGGTCAATTCTTTAATCTCCATGAACGGGTGGATGAGGATGGATGTGAATCAGATGGAGGAATACGACAGGATGATGGCCCCGAAGCGAACTCCAAAAGCCTGCGTGACCTTGTCCGACAGCTCCGTCACCACCTTCCGGATGCCTACAGTGTTCTTTGGTCGCCCCTGTGGTGCTGGAGGCAATCACGATGGGTCGCTGGCACCCTGGTATGGTCTCGTGGTAGCGACCGTGCATTAGGTGTGTACGACTTGCCGTACTTGAGAGTACTCGGAGATTCCATTATCTCCGAATTGGCTCGGATCGATTGGTCCACCACACAACAGGCCAAATCCGATTTCATCTCGTCGGTTAGCCATGAGCTCCGCTCGCCACTGCATGGCATCCTAGCTAGCGCAGAAGTGCTCGAAGGGACCCCTCTTCAACCGACCCAGCTTCACTGGATGGACATGCTAAAAACATGTGGCTTGGCCTTGTTTGATACATTGAATCATTTGTGAGTGAAAATACCTGTGCTACACGACCTCCGCTTCAACTTGCTTATTGTTCCTACAGGCTAGATTTTGCCAAGATCAACAATCTGACTAGTACTGAGGACGCCGCACGAGAGGACCGCATCAGAGCATCCGACGGCAGTCTGACGACGACATTTGACCTGGCTAATCTGATTGAGGAGGTCACAAGGGTTCAATATGTTGGTCAGCGGGCACCTAGAGCAACTGTGCCTTTTGTGGACCCCTTAGCCACTCCCAAGAATGATGGTTCCAGCGGCGAAACGACGGTTGTTGTTCGCATTGAGGAGCGACATGCGTGGAAAGTGCAATCCCTGGCGGGGGCTTGGAAACGAATTGTCATGAACCTCCTCGGCAACTCGCTGAAATTCACCAGTGCAGGATTTGTAGAGGTCTCTCTCTCTAAAGTCATGAAGCAGTCGGACCCCAACTCAGTTTATGCTCATCTTTGTGTGACAGACACAGGTAGAGGTATTGACCCGATGTTCCTCAGAAACAAGCTTTTTTCCCCATTCGCACAAGAGAATACTTTGTCGGAAGGCCTGGGACTAGGCTTTAGCATCGTGCGTCAGTTAGTCGACGCCATGGACGGCCATATCAATGTTAGAAGTGAGGTTGGTGTTGGTACACAGGTTGACCTATACATCCCTGTTCGACGCTTCATTAGTGATTATCCCTCTTCAGCTTCCATGCCTAGTGCTCCGGTGAGGGCCTGCCTGGTTGGATTCGAAGGATACCCACATATAAAGGAAACTCCCACAGGGATATTGGCTGTCGAAGCCAAGAGGAAACTCGCTATTCGGAGCTCATTGGCCCCCATGCTGATGGCGCAATGCGGTTGGAGTCTTTCGATAGCGGAGTCTCTAGAAAATGCTCGCGGTGATGTGGCCATCATTGAAGAGGAGGAATACGCCAAGGCGACAAGCGACGGTCAGTTACCGCGTGAACTTCGCGAGAAAACCGGAATCAACCTTTTCATCATTCTTAGTGGTACGGAGTCTCATCTACACGACCTACCACCGAATGCGATACGTGTATCTCAGCCGTTTGGACCGGCAAAATTCGAAGAGGTGCTTCAAAGGACACAGGAACTCTATTTAAAGTCACCCGAAAATCCCAGTCCTCCTCTTCCCACTCGCGACGAGTCAGTGATGCCAAAGCGTTCCTCGCCGGAGGTCATATTACCAGCCAGTCCAGGCGCTCCACAAAATGAGGGAGTAGCACTACCTCTTCGTGCTCCTCCCCAGTCGCCTCAGATTCCCGATGTGATGCATTGTCTCGTCGTTGATGATAACGACATCAATCTAAAAGTAAGTAGTTTTAGCTACGATGTATGTGACCATTGCGTGTGTACTGACGGTTCCCTCGGTAGATTCTATCTACCTTCCTCCGCAAACTTGGTTGCAGCTACGACACTGCCTCAGATGGGTTAATCGCCCTCAATAAATACAAAGACTCCCACCGAAGATACGACTACGTCCTTATGGGTATGTTGTGACTTCTGTGCTAGGATCGCCCCTGTCTGACAAATCTAGATATATCAATGCCCGTGATGGATGGGATTCAATCGACAAGCCACATCCGACGTTATGAGAAGGAAAGGAAGCTTAAGCCATCGCGGATCATGGCTGTCACTGGGTTGGGCTCAGCGGAGACCCTGCGAGAGGCGCTGGCCGCCGGCGTGGATGACTACATGGTCAAACCTATCTCGCTGAAAGCTTTGAAGAAGGTTATGAACCTTGCCTGATGTGGTTCCGTCCATCCTTTGCGGCTTGTAACAGACGCTGGTCAACGATTTACCACTGTAAATAATGCCCTGGTATTCATTGTACATATTCTTCCTGGTTTGCAGCGACAACTATATTTTTCGTATGGGGACAGGCAGCTCTGTGTTACTCTTACTAGAGCTCAAATCATTTATTTATAGCGTTTTACGCATTTATAGACCCTACCTATATATTCAATATGCTTGAACCTTTTGGGCGTTGGTCTGAAGATATAGCTTCAAATGACCAAAAATGGGCCGGCTGGGCATGGTTAAGATCGTCTCTCTGGACATTTAATCTAGGCACAGAGGGCCTGGCAAAAAGGACCCCACTATGCGCGTCCTCAGCTGGCTGCCAGTGATCATCTATCGCAAACTTGAGATGTACTCGTCACATCACCCTTTATGGAGCCGCTATATCGTACCCTAGACTCGGCCAAGTCGCAAATCCGTTTGATGACGGTAGAGCACCTCAACAGTGAAGTGCAATGCTCCATGACTGGCCATGTTGGAGAAGAAACAATTAATACTGCCATTTTTGGTAATACTTGTCCGGTGTTAGTGTACTAGATGTGCTGAAGGGCTTCCATCTTAGCGGTGGACAAATGGGTGTTGATACTGATGTTTCTTGTCAAGCAGTTCCGCACTGTAATCCTCTGCATATGACCCTATCTGTGCATTAGCTAACGTGAACGGTCGTAGTGGCGATGGTCCGTAAGCTAGTAATATTATATGGTTCTTATGTATGTATCTATGTCTGTCTATCTATTTATAAATTTACTTTCTTTAGCCATAAGCTCTTAGCGTTTCACTCACGTATCCCGTCTGCTCGTCAGAGCTTTGGTGCGATACAGCACGTCACAATCAGCCAGCAGCATACGTACTCATCTTCCTCAGCTTCTCGCCATAGAGCCACAAGAAGATAGGCGCCGGTAACCCAAGCCCAATCGAAACAAATGCCAAAAGACTGTTCCCCCAACCATAATCCAGCGCTTGGTACATATACGGCGCGAAAAGCGGAAACCCGAAACCAGCGAGCGAACGTAAACAAGCCACCGCAGCGAGCGCACTGGCCGCATATCTCGTGTAGGCATCTACGATGTAAGTCTGCATGCATTGATAAGCAGTGATGATACCGATGGAAAAGACGCAGGCGCCAATATCCGGCCCAATCCAGTGCGTGTGGGCCTGGGCGGTCCAGCCATATATGAAAAGCCCGATGGGCGTGAAGACGACGGCGACCACGAGCAGAGGAACCCGGAACTCGGGCTTCCCTTGTCCGGCCCGCTGCTTGAGTCTGCGGTAGATGCGGTCGTTCAGCAGAGCGCAGATCTGGGAGCCGCCCCAATAGCCCAGACCTAAGGCGATGTAATTTAAGGACCCGATGCCGATGCTCTCGTTGTAGGGGCCAGTCCAGAGAGTGGGGAATGTGGACATCACGAGATACATTAGGCCGTACATGAAGGCCATATAGACGGCAATGAATTGGACGATGGGTTGCGTGGTTAATAGTTTGAAGGGACGGACCAGGGAAGCACGCAGTGTACGGAGGACAGTTTGATCGTGCGACATCTCGGCCTCTGTTTGGTATCCGGGGTCTCCAGTTTCCTTTCGAAGCTTTTTGGCTTTGCGCTTGAGCAGCACGGGGGTGTATGTCTCCCGAAGACAGACGAGGCCGACCAGCTGGATCACGCCATCGGCAATTGACGTGGCGTAGAAAATCCAGCTCCAGGAGGTATTCTCCGTTATGAAGCCACCCACGATAGGTCCTATGGCTGGGCCGAGCAACGGTGCAAGACTGTAGATAGCCATGGCTTTTCCACGTTGGTCGGACGTAAATACATCGCTCAATACGCCGCCTCCGATCTAGATACGCATTGAGAGTTAGTTAGCCATGTCTCTAAATGGGGAGGAAGAATAGCTTACGGCTAAAGGAGCACTGCCCCCTAGTCCTGCAAGAAATCGAAACGCGATCATTTGGCCTTTGGACTTTGCTACTCCCCCGACAACGTTGAACACCAGGTAGAATAGGTTAGCCAGCTGGAGGACGGGCACTCTCCCATAAATCTCCGAGAGAGGGCCGAGAAAGAGTGGTCCGACCGCATATGCTAGAACGAAGACTGAGAGCATAATTTGAGACTCGATCTCATCGTGGATGTGAAATTCCTTCGCCATGGTACTGAGGGCAGGCGCTACCATGGAGGATGAGGCTGGGGATATGAATGTAAAGCACGACACGGTTATCACTGCCATCCACTTTTTACTTGTCGTCCAGTTTTTTGGATTTTCCGGATCGTCCGGACCTTCCCATTTCACCTGAACCTGTCAGCGCACTACACGGGAGTAAGGGGCGTCCGGCGTCTGGGATAGTACGTACAAGTTTCGATGATGGCTCTGGGCCTCCCTTTTCATGGTCGGGCTGTGCTTGCTCGAGGTCTCGGTCCTCCCTTTCTCTGGCAGCATTCTGATCAGAGCGTGGATCCATTGCATGAACGAGTGGGTCAATCTCTGTCCAAAAAGACTGTCGTGCTTATATAGTTAGTAAAGGTTGACTAGTAGTAGATGTATATGTGAGAACTAACCGGTCTAACTGGCTTAGGAGCCTAGTGTTAAGAGACAACAAGAGAACCATGAGCTCGAGACAGTCCCTCGAGTGCCCCATTTTCGATTTGCATGTTTATATGCCACGTTCCAGGAGGCAGCAACGTGAAGTTTCGATCAAAATCCAGCAACGGAGTGGAGCCTTTCGATGTCCGGGAGTATCAGGATGGGCGTCCGAATCAGGCAATTTTACTCCGGATCCTCCGACCGGACTTCCGTCTCTCTGATTCTTCCCAACAACCACAATTCCTACTAACTATGCTGTCATACGCTTATGCCTAGTATTATCCTGGACTAACTCACTATTCCAACCTGCCTGGAACGAAGGGCATGCATAATTTGGGCTTGTCTTCTTACCCGTCTCCATTTATTTTTCCTTCCCCCAATTTTCTATGTCTATGGACGCCCCTTCACAAAGCTTGTTTCGTCGCAACGGCAGCCGACGTTCATGCGAAACGTGTCGCAAGTTGAAAACCAAATGCGACCATGCATTGCCTAAATGCGGTCGATGTGCTCAAAGGAATGCTGTATGTATTTATGCTCCGGCGCCGATGACAAGAGCTTTTCGACCTCTATCAGAAACCAAGAGCCGAGGACGGCGGAAGCCAAGAATATCCGGATCACCCGCATCGTGGGTCTTTCCGCTTCTCTGAATGACCATGAACGTGCTGCTCATTCTTTTACTTTTTCGATAGTCATGATGTACACCAACCGGGATCGTTGGAGCTAATTCCATCCCATGGGCAGGCGGTCGTGGTGAGTACGCCGCCACTGGAGAGTGCGGGCTTCCTCGGCCCAACCAGCTATCGCTCCCTGATGAGTGAGGGCGTTAGTGATAGTGACCCTGGCGTGGCAGACACCGACCGTACCACATATACTATCGACCCCCGGCAATTAGATCTGGGACTCAAGGTCTTGGATTTCCTGGTCGAGAATGCACAGCTCCTGAGAGGTTTAGTCAGGAAGGTGTACGTGCTTGGTCGCTCGCCTATTATCCCGGAAGTGCTTATGTTTCCCGCGCTTGATATGCTATGGGATCTCTTTGGGGACTATATCGCCCAAGATGAACCATCAAGACTACGCACAGTTGTTCGCGTTTTCGAAAACTCCTACCAACAAGTCCCGGCCAAATTAGCCATGCATGCCGGTGAGCTGAGCCACTGGATCAGCGGTAAGAAGGTCAGGTGGGAAACCATTGGCAGCGTGATACAAATTGCCATCATGGGCTTGATCCATATGCCCGAGCGTGATGCTACCCGGATTGACCCCCAACAGAGAAGCAAGGATGAGGCTCTCGCCCAGATGCTGGAGGTCATTGATCAGCTATTACCACTGAGCAATGCACTGCCGGTTGTCAATGAGCTCATGGTCTGCCTGAAGTATTATCAGTTGATGCTTGCCTCCCAGAGATTTGGTGACTCAAGTAGGGAGCTGTCATAGTCCTGTTTCGTGTCAGAGCAGTATTGACCTTCCACGTCTAGGTCGCTGGCTATACTCCTCGCTTGGGGTACTCTCTTCATGTATTTATGCTACCGGAATTCACCAGTACGACATACCTACAGGACGGCACCCGGGGTTTATCGACCTGTGGCAGAGGAGATGCTTCGCCGTAGTGTATAGCATGGATAAAACGATTGCCACAATACTTGGTCGGCCACCCTCCATGACTCGGCATTATTGTGTCTTAAAGCCGCCACTGGACATTGATGATGACGTAGATCCTCCAAACTACGAGCGAAGTCTTCAAATGCTAGATAGCAATGGGTGGAATACTGACGGAAAGCGACGTCCCTCTACTATCGTTCGTCTTCGGTTCCTTCTGGCGACAGTCCGAGAGGAGATTCTTGAGCTACACTTGGGGGTTAATTATGTCGACATCGAGGGAAAAACAAGGTATGAGGTATCTGAAGCGCCCGCAACATTACTGGAGCTAATATGTCTATAGCAATATCTTGCAAAGTCTGCAATCAATTTGGGATACGTGCCCTAGCCATATGAAATATTCACCCGAGATGTGGAATGAACAGATGCCTTGCCAGGATATTGTTGCTCTTCTTTCCGTCTACCTGGATTACCTCCACTCAATCTTCCTGTTGCATCGGTTCGCGACGCAAGAATGCCAAAATGAAATACCCAAGGAGCTTCTTCTTGTGGCAAAGACTATCCTCTCCACCGTCCTCGTGATCAATGAACATCGGGAAAGAGCAAAAGAGGTCAGAAGCGACTTTTCCAGCATTGTAAGCTGCAACTAGAAGCATGAATGGTTTATGAATAAGCTAATATACGCTACAGTTCCTACCATACGGACTCCCCAGTGCCGAACTGCTTGCGACAGAGTTACTCCAATCCTCCAATCCTCTACTGAGTCGCCCCACCTATCCTGGGTTGCCACGGGCGGAGATAATACGGGAGCTCACCCTCTACATATCCTGCCTAAGCTGGGTAGCTCGGCCGGGGAGTGGTAATTTGGGATTTTGCAAGAAGGTCAAGGCGAAACTGACCCGCATCCTGGATCAAATCCTGGACCCCTCGTATGTTGCTCCTGACTCGAGTGGTAACCATGGTGGAAGTAGCAGCGATGTTTCGTGGGCTTTCCCAGAGCTCCTCGATTCTGACTTTACAATCAACAGTTTACTTCACTCAGATGATGGGAGTAACTGGGACCCTGGATTTGATCTGTTTTGTGGGCCTGTCTTCTAAGTACTCAGTCGTATATCCAGGGTTCAAACTTTCCACACAGCTCGCTATCCACGTATAAAGTTAAGATGTTACTTGAGAAACCATTAAACTGAGTGGCTGTTGCATTCGTATACGCTGCAATCTCTATTAGCTTTGTTGATACTCAATTAAACTCAACTTACCTCCCATATCCTTATACACCAACCAATCCCCGACCTTCGCCTCACAAGGAAGAGTAGTATCCCGAACAACATAGTCACATCCATCACAAGTCGGCCCCCAGATAGTATACCTGTGAGGCCCAACCTCTCTCTCCCCAAACGCACTCTGATCCGGTATGAGAAGGGGATGGAAAATCTCTTTCTCCATCAAACAATTCATGAAATTCCCGTACAGCCCATCGTTCTGGTATAACATGTCCGGTTGATCCTTGCATACTTCTCCCACCTGCCGCCGCCGGGATATCACCCTGCAAACCAGTGTATACGCAGCTCGACTGTAAAACCGACCCGGTTCTGCGATGAATCTGGTCGTGCTGGGGAAACTGTCGACTAAGGAGTCACAGATTGTGCACGCTATTTCTCCGAAGTTTTTGTCTTGGAATCCGCCCCCGACGTCAACTATCCTCATCCTGAAGCCTAGCGCTTCGGCCTGGGTAAAGACTAGTCCGACATCTTTGATCGCCTTTCGGAAGGAGTTTAGGTCGTTGGCGCCGGTGCCTACTCGTCGGTTAGATCTCAATCATATTATCCAGAGAAAAGAGCTGGATCTTCTCACCAACATGAAAACTAACCCCAACAACATCAAGACCAAGTTCCTTTGCCCGCTTCAGCAAAGCCCGAGTCATACTTGCCGGCGCTCCGAACTTGTCTCCAAAATTGATGAGAGCACTGGCATCATTGGCGTAAATACGCAGCAAGAGCTGCGCATGGGGCATATAAGATTGGATTGTCTGCAGCTCGTCTATATTATCAAAGACCGTGGTCACAATGCCAGCCTCTCTGGCATAGTTGAGCGCCGCAGCCGGTTTGCACGGATTGGCGAATATAATCCGGGATGGATCGACCCCCAGCGCCAGTACGGCTCGCATTTCTTCTATCGAGGCACAGTCAAAGCCGGTGCCGAGTTCTGCGAGGGTACGAAGTAAGAGTGGATCCGAGTTGCATTTTACCGCTGTTTGAGCACTTAGAACCTGCACTTGTTCAGTTGACAAACGAAAACTTACCATAGAATGGTTGCACATTGGGAAGGTTGAGCTTCCAGCGTCTGTGCTGACGAGTGACCTGTCCCAGGTCTGCAATGAAAAATGGATTATCTTCCACATCTGGCACGCCGCTGTTGATTCTTTGAGTTTGGAACTCAATGGCGAGGTTGACCAACTGTTGGGACCTCAGGTCATTTGCTGTTGTTTGCATGCCGATCACATAAAGAAAGGAGCAGATGGGGGCGATATATGGTGAACTCGAGGACTCATGATCCAGGTGTCAGAATACTCTGCAACGAGGGATGCATGACGCTCTCTCTCTTATATTTTACATTGTACAGCTCAGCCGATATAGCAATTGTCGTACCCCGGTCCAAAATGTATGACACCTGCAAATCCAGACACATCACAGTTGCGTCTGGCTCTAGTCAGTCGTCGAGAACATCATTTGTGGAGCCCTGAAAGAACAATTCAGGATGACAGGTTTCCCCATCGCCGCATCCGTCGATGACCTAATGAGACGCCTGTCTTCTTCACCTCCAACCCTGCCTCATCCCTTGCATGAGGGACTTTTTGAGACAGAGCTATAAGTATACATATCCGCAAGGGTGCGTGTACCCTGTCCCAGAACACGTACATGTAGGGCATACTGTTGCATCTATGATCCCTGACATTTCATTCCTTGAGTATAGCGTGCTTGCAATATGTATATTTTGTTCGCATGTACTCCGTTCTTGGACTTTTACTGAAGTAGTAGCTGTGGCTATGATGGCCAGACCGCCATTCCAGGTCACAACGGATATTGAAGATAGTTTAGAACGATTTATTGCTTGTTCCAGCCTTGCAGGCAGGGGAATCAATTAAAATGACGCGCACGGATTGAAACATGCCGCAGGTTCTAAAATGCCTCATATTTATTGCGACACCGCAAGGCCTGGCGGAAATGGACCTTGACCCCTTCCGCTACCGGAACTTGTAATGCGCATGTCAAGGGGAAATATCATAGACAACTGATCATGTAACGAATACTTGATGCTTACCTATCCAAATACGACATGATGTTAAACAGGACTGACGGAAGAAACAATAATAGATATTGGATTCAGCAAGGCTTTATGGTTAGCCCACAAGCAATTGAGTGTAATATTATAGAATGATTAGAGAACCAGACAAGGCTGACATTCCACAAAGTACAGTCCATTATGTAGAAAGAATGTTATTTTACGCTTGTGGTGCAGGCACCTGCTGGGTAACACAGTGGATAACACCTCCGCTAAGTGGAATCGTACGAAGAGGAACTTGTCGTACTTTGCGGTCTGGCAGAAGCGACTGCCATATCTCCAGAGCTTTCCCATCGTGAAGCTCCAATCCAAACGCGGGGATGATAGGCCCACCGTTGCAGAAGTAGCTATTCAGGTACGACGACACAAACTCATCCTTCGGCAAGATCCCCAGACTTTTCGGATCAGGCTCGTCGATGAAATGGATCTCAAACTGCCGGCCTTTGGCATCAGTCTCGTTCCGCAAGGTCTCCAAGATCTCCTCGCCGCATTTTATCCATTCCGGGCTATCCACTGCCTCAGGGCTATGGCGCGTCATGGCAACTACGCCCGGTCGTACGAACCGCACCTCGGCGTCCAAGTGGCAGTCGGTAATGTCGAGATTCTTGCGCCCAGGGACCCAGATCACTTTCTCAACCCCCAGGAGGCGTTGTAGTTCCTCTTCAATTTCATCTTTACTTTTCCCCGGGTTCCACAGCTGACAGACCATGTAGCTTTCCGCGACAATCAGCGTGCCCTCTCCATCAACGACCAAACCATCACCCTCGGCTCGGATCTTAGGCACGATCCGCTGCACAGGGGATGGTGATTGATCAGCTGAGATGACCTTGCGGGCGAAGTCAGTATTCTCCTGCAGTTCCTTCTTGGTCATCGCGGGGTTGCCATAGCGGTAATGGCCATGTGTCCCCTCCCACCCGTTCTTATTGCCCCATTCATTAAATTTGAAGTTGATAGCAAGCCGCCGCCCTGCACCTAGGCTTCCTGTAGCATCGTGGACATAGACTGGGCCTGTATCGCGAACCTAGCAGTGGTTGGTTGCAATGGGAATAATGTGCACCTTTGCGGGGATGCGCACTCGCCGGTTGATGAGATCCGGGGCATATTCAATATCTTCGGGGCGAGTATACAGTCGCACCGGCTCGAACTCCGCGATTGCTGCAGCAAGGTCAACGATTTCCTCGCAGTTCTTTGACCACAGGGATTCCAGACAAGACGCTCTGGAAGGGATGCCCATCATGGTCGCAAGATGAGGATGCCATTCGGGGGGGAAGGTGAAACGGCCCGTTTCGAAGGGAGCGTCATCCTTAGGTGGTTTGTGTTGTTCGTGGTTATTAGTCGACGAAGGTGTCCGGTTGGTGCTCAGGTAGGCACCCATGATGGATTTTGGTCAGTGTTCAATCGAGTAGGTGTTATGTCCTCGGCCAAGACTCCCTTCTGGTGAGAATTAATGGCATTCGGGACTGAGGCATGCATGCATTGCCTGTAGAAGGTGTTGGTGGTTGTTTCTAGTCCTCTTTAGCTGCTTTCAGTAGTAGCCAATGCAGCCATAGACCGGCAGCTGAATGCACTTCATCCTCTGTCGGGTGGAGTGAAGGATCCCTGCATTCCATTGCAAGATTGACGGAAATAAAAAAATAAAAAAAAAGAACATGATTCGTGAATGATATTTAAGACCTATTATGATTCTGGTGAATTGTCTTTCCTCCATACATTCTTGTTCCTTGTTCACCACCATCCCTTGCGTTGCCAGTGAGTACCTGCCGCCATGGCCATTCGCACGAAGTTCTACATGCCCCATGAAGGGCATCCTTGCTGCCATGGGAAGATAATCATGGCTTGGCCGGGGCCTGACAACCCAAATTACAAGAAATGCCAGATCGCTCGCATGAGGAACGAACTCATCGCAATTGCGAAGGCAATTTGCCAGTTTCAAACGGTAATTCTCCTAGTTCATTCCACCGAGGTACCGGACGCGAAACGAGCGTTCCAAGACTGTGGCAGCCATGGGGTCGAAATACAGCCCACTGACATGAGCGACTTGTAATTTTGGATGCGTGACGTAGCGCCGACATTGGTGATCAGTCAAGGCACGGCCCGGTCGAGCCTGCACGGGGTCGACTTTAACTTCAATGGCTGGGGCGGCCGATATCCCTCCACTAACAATACACGTCTGGCGAAGGAGTTCCTAACGGAAAGGCACATTCCCCGCGTGAAGACATCAATCGTTCTAGAAGGCGGCGCGTTGGAAACGGACGGAGAAGGAACCTTACTAGCGACAGAAAGCTCCATTCAGAACCCTAACCGCAATCCGAGCGTGAGCCGCGTTACGATCGAACAAGAGCTTCATAGGCTCTTAGGTGTATCTAAGATTATTTGGCTGCCTGGCCTCAAGGGATACGAGGTGACGGATGGGCATATTGACATCTGGGCCCGCTTTGTGGCTCCCGGTAAAGTCGTCCTGAATAAGCCAAGTTCAGATAACGATGTGTTAAGAGCGGTCTATGACACAAATAAGCGGGTCCTAGGCCAGGCTGCAGATGCTAACGGAAGGAACTTGGAACTATTTGAGATCCAAGAAGCTCGCATGGATGGACCTATTCCCTCCGATGCGGATTTATGCCTGAGCTACGTGAACTATGTCCTCGTAAAGGGTGCAGTTATTGCTTCACGGTTTGGAGATGAGAAGGCTGATACCATGGCCTTACGCACACTTCAAAAGCTATTTCCAAACCGAGAGGTGGTCCAGGTTTATCTCGAAGAGATCGCATTGAATGGCGGCGGCATCCACTGTGTCACGCAACAGATTCCTACCCCCTAAGATTAGCCACTCCTCTGCGCTTGGGTATGGTTGCTACCAGAGGCAATCATCGATACTTTCCGCGGTTAGGCGAATAGCAGATCTACAGCAGGAAGGATTAGATCGAAAAGCCACATCATCACCAGGACGGTGTGGATGCCATTCACTCAGATAACAATGCAAAAGAAATGACTTAAGGAAAATAGTACAAGAGAGTCCCCAATGCCCAACCGTTCCAAATACCATCCCGGTCCAGTCATTACCATCTAAAGCAACAGCGCGACAACAAACACAGAGGTCAACATCCAGACAGGAGCCATCCCAGGCCGCAAATCAGCAGCTCCACCACCCACAACACTCTTCACACCATCTTTGATATCATTGCCAACTTCTCTGACTCCATGGAGCCAGGTGCCATTAGTGTTGGTGCAAGTATCACCTTTGGCACAGCAGCCATATTCTCCGTTATCGTTCTTGTGGCATTCTTCGTTGGCACTGCAGCTGCCTTGGTTGCCACAACATTGCTCATCCTTGGAGATGCACATCCAACCGCACCTCTTGTTGTCATCGGCGCACCACAGGCCATCGGGTGAGCGCACTGCGAGAGAATGGGGAGTGGACTCAAGGCTTCGACGCCACCAATCCCAGCCGCCAGTCTCCTTATTGCACTCCTCGTTCTTGTCAATACACATTAGGCCGCACCGCTTGTTGTCATCAGAGCACCCGTAGTTGGGGTTGCATTTCTCATCTTTCGGAATACACAGTATACCGCATCGCTTGTTATCCTCGGCGCATCCGATGTCTGGTGAGCGCACTGCTAGGGCATGAGAATCGTCCTCAAGGCTCCTTCGCCACCAATCCCAGCCGCCAGTCTCCTCGTTGCACTCCTCATTCTTGTCAATGCACATCCAGCCGCATCGCTTGTTGTCATCGGAGCACCCATAGTTAGGGTCACATTTCTCATCCTTTGGAATACACAGTAGACCACATCGTTTGTTGTCCTCAGCACATCCAATGTCTGGCGAGCGCACCGCCAGAGCATCCGAAGACTCAGGGCTGTGAATGCTCCTGGGCCAAGGATGGGGGCGGTCGTTCCAGCCGCAGTGCTGGTCCTTTGGAATACACCAGAAGGCGCATATCTTCTCGTCACTTTTACAGAGCGAAGTGTCGTCGGGGGCGCGTACTGCCAGCGGATGGGCGGTGTTGACCAATTTCAATGGTTGGATTTGAACGTCATCATGGCGGATGGAATCAACGTTCGAGGTTCCTGAAGTTAGAGGGTTGCAAAGGGTGGGAACGGCAGGAATGAGGAGGCTGAGGTAGATTGAAGCAGATAATGAGGCCCGCATGGTGAGTTGCTGTGTACACCAGTGGACCAGGTAATTCGGTCGTTTGATGGTGCGTTGAGGTCAAGTATGGTATGGTATGTGAGGATTGTTGGTATCGCGAGATGCAGAGTTGAAATTTGTGTGTTCTGATTGAGTGATTTCAGTCAAGAATGATGCGGCAGAGCTTCATATTTATAACGTGTATATCTGTATAGAATATCATCCAAGTGGTAGCACCTATACACCTCCTTGGCGTTCCGCGCAGCCCTGCCAAGAAAAATGCTCACCCTGCATTGAAGGATTATGTTGGTAGTGTCAGCAAAGGGTCTGCTTAGCCAAGCCCTGTGGGGACAGCCATTGCGATACCGACCTATGCAGTCCCCTGCTCGGTCGCGTCTAATTATATTGCACAAAATATTAGAAACTAGGGTGATAATATCCGCCCGTTGGTGAGCTACGCCGATCGTTTCTCACCACATCAATATACCCACCACGCAAGACAAGCGGCAAAAGGCCCTGCATGTAAGGGTCCTGGTCATGCTAATGAGTGATCCTACTGTTCACGACTTTTCGAAAGGCAGTGTAGTAGAGTTTGGGTGTCTTTTCACATTTACCGGATATCGGTTCTACAAGGCCTTACTCAATTATCACCTACCAAGAACAATAAGAGCGTAGCCCCACCCCATTCTACGAAATGATAGCGAAAATTGTTTGTAGCTGCTATAAGAGACACTCGATGAGCGAAGAGCATGCTGAGCTGCGTGGTGATATCATGCGTATGAAACCGTTGAAACAGGGGCAAAGACTTCATGCCATAACAATGCATGGTGAGATAGATCCCAGAAATGTCTGTATGTTCCAATTAGTAACCGACTTGCTTCTCTTGATCATAAGATAGCAGGGTTTACAGCCGGGCTAATGCAAATAGATATCGACATCCCCCGTATCAGCTTGGCTTTTGTGGAGAGCCATTCAAACACAGTTCTTCCATAAACTACGATATATAATCATGTTCCGACGTCTCTAAACAGCGAGGATCTTATGCGAAAAGTGATATATGGGAGACTTCTGTTATCCAAGGGACCAATAGACTCATCTCCTCTACTGACACTGGAAGGCAGTGTCCTCGGGGCGGTACGCCTGAAAAACTCAGATATGAGGCACGGGAAGTTCGACCATTCCCAGTTATACAAAGGAGATGTCCTGAAAAACATGAGGTTTCACTGAATTCACCATGCTCGACGTATGTTACATAGTCCGCAGGATAATTTTTATCATTTTGACATGGCCAATACTGTCGAGCGCGAATTCTCCAGCCAGACCAGCAACTTGTTGCACCTCTTGGCATTCGGATAACTGGAGTCTGTGGGCCCGCGGATCTGCCACTTGGCTGGCTGCAGAAGACTCGTAGGCTCATCTACCAGCTAGAATTACCGAATTGCTAGTTCCCAAATATGTAACCTGAAATGCGCCACCGGTTTAGCATTTCGTTGAAAAGCCTCTAGGTGGCGATGGTTCAGGATTTCCGAAACTTCAACACGGTCACCAAATATACCTTGTACTTACCTCGGTGAAAAATATACCATCGCATGGTACGGTGGTATTAGAGCCAAGTCATTGCCAAAATGCTCCACCAAACAGGAACCGCACATAAATACACAGCAGTGAACAAAATACCCATGGAATCAAGGCATATGGCCGATCAAATCCGGCGCTAGATTGACCCGAAACAGTAAGACCACGACATGAGATGAGGCCACCTTTGGAGGGAGCTAAGCCTTCCTCGGTATCAGTAGTGAAAGCTAGCCCTCAGTTCTGCGTGAATATGCATTCACGTCGCGACTGTTCTCGTCCTGCGGACCCGCGGATCCGCGGTACTATTGGTACTCTTGGTATCGTGGTGAGCTCTGATATGCTGTGGTGGCCCCACAAAGTGCACAATTCTCAACAGCACAGACCCATCTTTCACGGCCTTGACAGCTCTTGCACAGCCTGGGCCATGCCTCGGGCCAGAGGTCTCCCATGTGGGGTTTATTCCCCGCTCAGTGTCGATCCTGTTGAGGCCAATAAATACCGGTGCCCCCAACGCGTGGCAATTTGGTCGGCAGCGCTTCACCATGAGTCGAAAAAATCGCAATCCGCTATCGAATCCGCTGCATTATGCGACGTCGCAGCCACACGCAGGACCACCTGCCACGTACTCCTCCGCCCAGCGCTTGTTGAAGGGATATGACTATGGTGAGCTGAGAAGAAACGCGAACGTTTCCCAAGACTGACGGACCGCTCAGTGATCATCGGCGCGGGTGCGGCTGGCTCTGTGCTTGCCAGTAAGCTCTCCGAGGACCCGAATGTCTCGGTTCTCCTGCTCGAGGCCGGAGGAGATGACACCGGCGTCACGGAGAGCAAAATGCCCTTGGGGTTCCCAAAGCTCCTCCACAGTGAGCATGACTGGAATTATTACACCGTTGAGCAGCCCGGCCTTGCGTCGCGTCGCCTGTACTGGCCTCGAGGTCGCATTATCGGTGGTAGCACGTCGATCAACGCGATGATGTACCATCATTGCTCGAGGTCAGACTTCGATGAATGGGCATCTCATTATGGATGTCAAGGCTGGAGTTATGACGATCTGGCGCCGTATTTCAAGCGCATGGAGCGATTCACTCCCAATCCAAACCGTCCACGCATTGACCTGCAGCACCGGGGCAGTGCGGGCGAGTGGCAAACTGGATATTCATGGCTCTCTGAAATTGGCGAAAAGGGGTTTCTCCCTGCCTGCTACGATGCCGGAATTCCAGCAGTCGAAGATATTAACACGCCCGGTGGGACCCTGGGCGCCACTCGATTCCAGACGTTTATTGATGCCAAAGGACAGCGGTCCTCGTTGGCGACGGCGTACTTGACACCGGAAGTGAGGAAGCGACCGAATCTCTTCATCGCATGCCATGCCCATGTCACAAAGCTGCTCTTTGATCGGCTCAACGGTGACGAGCCAGTGGCGATTGGAGCGGAGTTTCAGAAGCAGCGAGGCGGGGAGCTGTATGAAGTCCATGCACGCAAAGAGGTTATTCTCAGCGGCGGGACAGTCAACACGCCACAGCTGTTGCTTTTGAGTGGTATCGGGCCCAAGGACGAATTGGAAAAGCATGGGATTCCCATTGTGCGTGCCAACGATGCAGTAGGGAAGAATCTCAAAGATCACCTGGTGACAAGCACCGTGATGTGCAAGGCCAAAGCGGGAACCACCCTCGACTACCTTGGAAGTCCTCTCAGGGCCTTGCCGTCCTTAGCGCGATGGATGCTTCTGGGAGGAGGTCCCCTGGCTAACAACGCGGGCGAAACAGCTGCATTCATTCGATCTTGGGAGCACCATCCTTTCCCGGGTTCATCTTCCGAGCGCAGCCCCCCGAAGGACTATACCTCTGGGTCGATTGGACCAGACGTGGAAATCATAGGCGCACCACTCGGATTCATCCATCACGGCGAAGAGCCACCTATGGACGGGGCCAGCGTATTCACCCTCGCCCCGATCAGCCTGCGTCCGCAAAGCAAGGGAACTATCACGCTGCAGAGCCGGGACCCCTTTGATCACCGTAAGTATTCGCTCCTCTTCCCAAATTGCGACAAATGGAAACTGACAACGTGCCTTTGGTGTAGCCTTAATCGACCCTAAATACTTCAGTGATGAAGAGGGTAACGACCGCGCGGTTCTCTTGGCCGGAGTGCGCGTCTGTCTGCGGATCATACGCAGCCCTGCATTTCAGAAGTACCTCGAGCGCGTGCCCGTTAATGACGACCCCTGGTCGTACTGGTGGCCCTACTCCAGCAGCGACATTGATCGCATCACGGATGACCAGATCCTTCGCTGGATGGATGAAAAAGCGTTTACATTGTACCACCCGGTCGGCACCGCGCGTATGGGGACCTCTCCGGAGGACAGCGTGGTCGATGTACAGTGTCGAGTGCATGGTGTCAAACGCCTGAGGGTAATGGATGCTAGTGTGTTCCCGGAGCAAATTAGTGGACACCCCACTGCCCCTATCGGGGCCATGGCCTATAAGCTCAGTGATATGATTAAGAAGGACTCTGCTTCGCAGGCTCCTCTTGCACGTTTGTGATCGCGTACAGGGTGTATGAAGATCTTGTAACTAAATAGCTGCTGATTGATGCTGTCATGATGTAAAGGCTCAACCACTCACGGTTCAACGTGAGTCAATAACATGTTATTTTCCGCCGATTATTCAATGGACAAGCGATATATTCAATGCTGCGCTTGGAGTATTTCGACTATGGTTTATCGCAGGTTGTATCTCGTTTATATTTCAGTCAAAAAAGTGACAAGTACAAAACATAGTACGTTCCATATACCCGACGTGTGCCGGTAGGATAGACTGGATATAATAGTTATCACATCCGGAGCTCCGGCCGCTTTGAACCATTTCCCTCAATAAGGAGCTGGTCATCTATTTATCTCTCAAATGGCTTGCGAAACGTGACCAATAATGAACGCAATGGTGCCTCCTAAAAGTGAGATTTGGCCAGTCACTTGCATTAGTCTTAGCCGCGGGATAGTGGCTGATTATTGACTCCACTCTGCTGCAGCGCAGGTAATCGCAGCCGAGTGGATGCAACCCAGCAGGTTAGAGAGTAGCTTGGCTGCACAAATCCCCACTTTCGACACGAGCAACAACCTGATTTCGAGCGTGGAAGCTCTTTGCCACGTTTCTATTACTATTGGGATAACGATGCGGACTACAAAAGGCCCCGAAAGCACCACCCCTGTCTAACCACGACAGAAAATAGAACGAACCACACTCTCATTTCTCTTCCGCTTCAAGATGCGCTTTCAGTCAGTACTAGCTGCTATACTACTCAGCCTAAGCTTCACCATCCACGCCACTCAAACCTTCAAGAACACGGGCACGACCTCCGGCTGGAGCTCCATCAACCAAGAACACAAGGGCACGGTGCAACAGGTCACAAATGTAGTGTACGGCGGGTCAACCGCGCTGAAAATGACTCAGGTGTACGACCCGAGCTACAGCGGTCGCTATCACTCGGAGGTAGTCCACAACGACATGTACAAGCTGGGCGACGAAGGCTTCTACGGGTTCACATTCCGTCTGCAAGAATCGTGGCAGTTCTCGCCCGCCCAATCGTACAATATCGCACAGTTCATCGCCGATTTCGGCGACACGGGCTGCGATGACTACATGCCGTCCAGCATGGTGTGGCTGATTGGGGACCGGCTCTTTACGCGAGTCAAGACGGGTAGTGTGTGCGCGCAGAAGACGACTACCTTTGGCAATTTGGCCACTGTGAGTCCTGGCGTGTGGCATAAGATTATTATCCAGGCGAAGTGGCGCGCGGACGGTACGGGGTACTATAAGATGTGGTTTGATGGGAAGAAAATCCTCGAGAAGTACAACATTGATACCACCGTTGATGACGCCCGGCCATTCCAGTTCCGCGTTGGTCTTTATGCCAACGGCTGGTATGATGATGGCGGTATGAAGGGATCCCAGGGTACACGCCAGGTGTGGTATGATGAGATCGTTGCTGGCACGACCTTTGCCGATGCGGATCCTGATCAGCAGTAAATGCTTTCCGTTGGGGGAATAGGTGGTATCAATGAAGGCAGTGACTTGCTGGTGAATCGTCGCGATATGCAAATTGTGTTGATAGCAGATCCGCTTTCGATATATTGATCTGGGCCTATCCATCACTGCTTTATTGCTCATTCATGCATCCGCCTCCAATTGACGTCCATGCCTAAATTGGCCAGTTATACAAAGTCCTAGAAGACGAGTAGAGAAGGGTTATTGATAGTCAAGCGAACTGTGTCCTCAGTAAGATGATGTTTCCCGTATTCGGTTGACACGTACTAGGGTAAATAGTACGGAGTCACTTTCAGGACAGATAGACCTTTGACGATTTATAGGCCCAACACCAATGAAGAGCTATATTCAGCCCCACACTTTACGACCAAACCTTGATTCGCAAGTTCCGCAGTGGACCCAAGGTATCAGGAGTGCAGAATACGAAATGAGGCCGCTGATGCCTGTTGGCTCTCCTTATATGACCATTTGACCCCCTATTGTCGTGAACTACTATTACAAACCCTGCTAGCAAAGTCCAACAAACCCGCCAGCACAATGGACCAGCAACTCACGTCAACCCAAAAAGCCAACCTGCACGAGATCGCGGACCTCATGCTAGAAATTTACCAAACTCTGGCAAACATGCGCTTTCTCAACCCAGCCGGAATCATTAAAGGCCCACATAACACCGACAATGCTCTTGAGTTGTATCAGGAACTGGGATTGGACCCTTCAATCATATATCTCTACAGCATCCTGCCGTACATCGAGAGCCCCCTTGCTGGCCAACCCGATTTCTTTAAGGGGGGTATCTTCACAGATTTCCGCCGGCTAGATGACATAGAGGAAGGACGCGACCCGTTCCATATTTGTCCGGGTGACGATGACTATGAAGATGAAGATGGCCCGTATATGCGACCATGGGTAACTCCCTTATCATTATTAGGGAACCATCAAAGCGTGATTCTTTATGATGCGCGGCGGCATCAGATATGGATCATCGATCAGGAGAGTTGGAATACAACTGATCCTGCGTTGCGGAACAGTTCAGACCGTGCGGCTGGTGACGAATATGAGTGTGGGGAGAAAAGCGACAACGAAAACAGCTTTCAGCATATACTGAGTCGCCCTGCTGATGATCTGCTAAAAGATATGATCCGCTGGTATCGTTCATTGGAGATAATGCCTGGTGGTGGGAAAATAGCGGACGCGAATGGGACAGTGACGAGCTTCCTTTGAGAGAGCTTTATTCTAAGCATGGCTGGCCGGATAATTTCAATGGAGACGCGTTTGAGATTGACCAACTTAGGCTGGTCGAGGATGCTCAAAGACAAAATGGCGAGGATGCAACATGAGGTTGAAGTTGTGAAGTTGTGAAGTATTTGACTGCTGCATGATGCCGAACAGGCAAGGAAGCTGCCGGAACACGATATTGAGGACTATGACAGGATTGTCAAAAGGTAGTGAGGGTATCACAAGGAAAATGGGGACAAGCTGCCCAAGTACAGCAATTAGAATTAGGAGTACACATAAAGCTATGCTACTCGATTCAACTATGTAGTGCCGTGGCCGCTGGTTGTATCTCAGAGAAATGCATGAACGATGTGTATGTCGAATCTATCCAGGCAACCGAGGACCGCGCCGATCGGTACCAGGGTGCTATGTTATCATTGAACTGTTACAATGTGAAGGCATTCAGACTTCCCCTGATATTGAAGCCCAGAAAAAGCAAGTCGAGGATGTAAACCCACACTCTCGTGCTACCGTTTAGGGCAGGGCATAAGCTCATCATGTGTGGCAGCCCTAAACCTCACCAAAGGCAGATTCGTGAGCGCCCAGGGCAGGGCTCAAGAATACAAACTACAATCCGTAGAAGAAAGGCCTCACACATGAAAGATTTGGTCATTCACAGAATAGTCATAATCTAACTCCTGCCCACCAGCCCACCATTTTACACGATACCCGACCACAACCGCCAAACAGCACCCACCCGCTCCCCTCATGCAACGCTGATCAGTACACATAACACATCACTAAACCACCAGAATACATCAAAAGCACAATTGCTCCGTGCTATACCACCATTTTTTCACACTGTTGCAGTCGATCCAGCGAACCGCATTACAGGTTGGCAGACAGCTTCCCGGACTTCTTGCCGGTGTATGTGGCAATGAGATCCATCAGCGGCGGAGACAGGGCATCGTAAGTCTGCAAGCCGACCGACTGGAACTTGGAGCGAACTTCATCCATTCCGCTGGGGTTGAAGCCCTGCTCAATGATAGAGGACACGAAACCAGCGAACTGGGGCTCCTGCCAGCCCTTCTTGTCCGAAAGCTCGACGTGGACAAAGTCCAATCCCTTGAAGGGGTGGTCCACTTCAATGCGTCCGAACAAATGAGTGCCGCACTCCTTGCAGGCGTAACGCTGGATGGCGGCGGCCTTGTCGATGATCTCGAGCTTTTCGGCGTTGGCAGCCACGGAGAGGTTCTCCTTGGGGATCACACCGACAACGGAGAAGAGTGCGCCAGCGGGCTTCCAGCACTTAGAGCATCCGCAGGCGTGGTTGTGGGCGACATTGCCCTTGAGGGCGACTGTGACCTTGTTCTGAGGGCAGAGACAGTAGAGGTTTCCGCCGGGGAAATTCTCATTGCCCTTGGTGAGGCCGTTGTCAACGAGAGGGTGGAGGGAGACAGGCATGGCGGCTTTTAATTGGTGTTCAAAAAAAAAGAAGTGGAGATTGAGGTATAGTAAGAACGTCTTTCGCTATGTTGAAGTTTTCTAGAATGCTACAAGTCAGTTTTCCTCCACGGTCCTCACCTTTATAAAGCTATAAAGCCAGTATCGCGCCATGGTTTGTACGACGAGTCCCCTCATGAGGAGAGCGAACTCCAAGAATAATTGGTGAAACATTTGAGGGGTTGCCTATCTGCAGTCTCCACGTCGCGGTTGACAGAGCCGTAGACGGACCGCCTCGGCCACGGTCCGGGGGTTTCCTTACTCAATGCGGTTGTGCTTTCCGGTCCCGTGGCCGGACTACGGAGGACCACATCGACCATCTTGACTCGGACCCCTTCCCGAGATTTCCTCTCGATTGCGTGCTATCGGCAGTTATCACTTCACTTATCTCTCTGGCACGCGGTATCCCCGAAGCACAACCGCTGCCCATGCTTACTCGGCGAAGTATGAGAATGTATACTAGTACTATACCTTTACGACAAACCTATCACCATTATACTACTTAGTTACACACCCAAAACTTCGAAAAGACCAGCGCAGGATATTTAGACGGATTTTCACGTTCATGTCATCATTTTCGTTCTCTATATGTACAATTCATAACTTTGTAGTTGACCCCGTTGCCTCACGATGCCACCGTATCAACAACGCATCGGATGCAATCCCCTTGCTTCATCTGCTCAAAAGCGACGTTGATATCGACCAACTTCTCACGGTGTGTGATAAATTCGTCGATTTTCAAGTCACCCCGCAGGTAATCCTCCACAAGATCTGGAAGCTGAGAACGACCCTTGACGCCGCCAAAAGCGCATCCCCTCCATACGCGACCGGTCACCAGTTGGAATGCTGTTCAAAGTCAGTAAATACCTGGGACGACGAGAGCTTTCAGAAAGGATTGCACATACGCCTAGTTGCGATCTCTTGACCAGCAGCGGCCACGCCGATGACGATGCTCTCACCCCAGCCCTTATGACAGGCTTCCAGAGCCGCGCGCATGACGCTGACGTTGCCCGTACAGTCGAAGGTGTAGTCGCATCCACCGTCGGTCATCTCAATAAGCTCATCCTGTACAGTTTGCCTCAGTCGGGCAGGATTGAGGAAATGAGTCGCTCCGAACTTGTAAGCCCACGCCTCCTTTCCATCATTAATATCCACCACAATAATCTTTCCGGCCTTCTTCTTCACCGCGCCCTGGACAATCGACAAACCGACACAGCCAGCGCCAAAGACCGCAACATTTGCTCCTTCCGTAATATTGGCGGTGACCGTAGCGGCACCGTACCCAGTGGTAATACCGCACCCTAGAAGACAGGAACGGTCCGTCGGACACGACGGTGTGACCGCTACAACTGAAATATCGGCAACGACAGTGTATTCGGAAAAGGTCGAACAGCCCATGAAATGGAGGAGGTCTTTCCCGCGGGCTTTGAAACGGGTCGTGCCATCCGGCATTACACCGCGGCCTTGCGTGGCCCGGATCTTGCCGCACAGATTCGTCTTCCCGGACCGGCAAAATTTGCATTCTCCGCACTCCGGTGTACTGACACGCCCCGTTAGCAGCTGGTTAGACACTTAAAAAAAAGATAACATACTAGAGAGCAATCACATAATCGCCGACTTTAACATTGGTAACACCTTCACCAATGGACTCAACAATACCGGCACCTTCGTGGCCCAGAATCACCGGGAAAGCGCCCTCGGGATCCTTACCGGAAAGCGTGTAGGCATCTGTCAGCGATTAGAATAACGCCGTTACACGCCAATTGAGGACTTTCCAAGGCATCTTAACTCACCAGTATGGCAAACTCCCGTGTGGAGGACCTTAATGCGGACTTCATGGGCTTTTGGTGGCGCGACCTGGACATCCTCGACGGAAAGGGGTTCTGCTGCTGCCCAGGCGATTGCGGCCTGTTGAATATTCAGTAATTGTTCTCTATCCAATACTCGCGGCATCAATTCGTACCTTGCAGGTGATAGTCTATCAACTGTTAGTAAATTTTCCGATGAAGGTCAGGAATTGTTTCTAGCATACCTTTCCAACTGTACTGGCCATTGTGGAAGAAATGCACTCAGCGATTCAATTCTAAAAACTGAGAAATGCACAAGGAGAGAAGAGTTCAAGAAGAAACGACGAAAGAAAAAAACAGCAGCTATTGAAAAAAGCAGGTGCATCGCAATCTAACAAAACTATGAGGCAAGGAGACGGAAATGAGATGAGACCCACGGCGGAAAGGAAATATTTTCTTTAGTGAGGGGTGAGGGGAAACACTATGAGGGGATAGCTCACCGACAAAAGACAGTCGAGATTGTAGTTGTGGGGTTCGAATTGCTTTAAGCAGAGTCTAAGTCGACATCGTAAGAGATTATGGGTACAGAGTCCGTAGCCTGGCGGGAGGAACTATTCTCGGAAGACCTGCCGAGATATGGATACTGACAGCATCCAACAACCCTAAACGGTTATCAATCCCGGACGGTAACAATTTCTTCACTTCCAGTAATACCAGAGTATTTTGACAAGGATTACAATGCACTGGACAACATCCTAGCGGTTAATCTGCAGCATACACAATCGCAGAAATTGCCGTTGTGTGTTTTTGCCAGACAAGTCTTTCACGCGCATCGGAAGCCCAGAGTTCCTTTAGACTACGGACCGTGGTCTACGGTGGGGATAAGGCTAGCCTACCGATACGATCGAAGTCTCTCCAATACTGCGGGCAACCAGAAACGGAAAGGCAATCGGTTCTACCCCGCATGCAAGGCTAGATCCTCCCAGAAAAACACCAGGACATTGATTCCTCCCAGGTACCCAGTTTCCGAGTGACCCAGAAAGGATTATCAACCCGTCTTGCATATATAGAAAATCTTTGTAGACAACAAGACCGCGGTTCATAATTATACGAAAGTCCAACTCGACTATAATTATGGTAGCTTATGTTCTGGTCCTTACAGATTCATGGTATGTTCTCCGGTGGGCTAATCTAGCAACCTTTACGCACTATTCAGTACCATCTGACGAATGATCCACTCCTTTGAAAATACGTAACCTGGAGAGCACGTACCTCAAGATGACCAACAATCAAGGAGACCTGTCAGGATTTTTATGCAATGACGTTGGCACTTCCGTCCAAGCTTCATTGATTGCTTGTGCTGAGGGAGTCATTGCCATTGCGTCCGATCGACTGTACCATGAGTCATACAAATGGCCCTTGGGAGTTGTGCTTCTGGATACTGAATGATGTAGCAGAAGTCTCCGTGAGTCATAGCAAATGTTCTGTTCAGTTTTCAGCCTTAGATGATGGACATTTAGCGTGGTTCAAGCGAAGCGCCTGAGCCACACAAGTGGTGCTTCACTTGTTGTCACAATCAATTGCGGGCTGCAGCACGAAACCATGCGTATTTACCATAGTTGATAGTTTTTCTTTACGTCGAAAACGCTTGAAATTCTGGCCAAATGTAAACCTCCCTTCTAGATCCGCCCAATGAGCTCCTTGGCCCATAGTTCAGCTAGCATTGACCTACGACAACTCACTCGACTGTGCCCAGCCCCATGTAAAGATTAAGTGTCCGCATCGCCTTCTAATAGCTTGACTTCCTTGCTCATGCGACCGGGATGACTGACATAATTTATAAACGAGGATATCGAATTTCCTCTCGGTATGGATTATTGTATAGAACCCCAGAGAGTAATACTATATGAGTACGTTGGGATCATCTGGATCTCTGTAGCTGGGAATTGTTGGAGGATATGTATTTCTCTTGGCATTGCGACGATATCAGATGTGACTCCTCAGCTCGGTGGAAAGAGTAAGCATATCAGGATCGTCAGGAAGTTAGGCTTCTATTTATTATCTGATATTATACGAACCTGGAGGATTGATGGACTACACTTTTCTGGTTAGCTCTTCCATCCTATCGCTATGCAACTTCTTGAGCCTTGTAGAAACACAGACAGTCTAACCTGTTTAGGTATCCCTTATCCTTTCTAGCGTTATTATCTATTCCTATATGGGTATAGCGCTTTCTATTATTCGAAGCCACACGTAGACCGCACCACCTAGTAAATCGTACTACTGGGGAGGACAATTTCCTAGATGATGCTAGTGGATTTTTGCAGTAGAAGTAAAGGATTTTTATTCCTTGCCTTGTTTATGATTCGTTTCAGCTATTCCATGTTCCCTACAGTCTATGTGGTTGTTGTAGTGGCATTTCTATGACATTCGATATATATATATATATATTGGCTCCCATGTTTGTTATAAAATCGCAATGCTCTTGTATGATTAGCTCTAGCCTCCTTTCTTTTTATTATATCAATTATACATTTTTGTCACAAAAGGAAGGTTACGAGAAAAATAAAATGTTGGCAAAAGCTATTGGCGTTGCTCTTATCCGTAGCTGCAGGAATGCTAACTACTGAAGCGGGCTTCGAATGTCCTAGAAGTGTCAGGAAAGTCAAGGAGGGATACATTTGGGACATGTAATACTATTCAAAGACGTTTTGATCTGACATACGGCTATAAGTCGGCTTTACCAGTATGCCATACCATCAATGATATAACAGGTCTCAGCGGTGAAGTATCAAATTGTATTTAAAATGGGCAGAAGCTACAAGGATATCCTTCCACTATGCTGTGTCATTTCTCAGGTTCTTTCTACCATTATAATACCCAGGTACAGCAACAGGGTCATACCATATAATGTACAAGTCGTCATGGAATTACTAGAGTAAGTTAAGAAGCTAGAAATTGTGGCCTCTGCCGCATGGAAACTTAGATCCTCAACTATGTGACGTGACCAACCACTATCTTTATCAGGTGCATGCCAGTATACGAGCATGCTTCATTTAGCGAGAAGTTATTTCTGTGGACTGCTGCTGGCGAGAAAGCACAGCGGAAGGATCTCGGAGAAACTCAGATCACATCCCCATTTGATATGGCCGCATCCTTCGGACCATTGCTTCTTCCTTGCTTTCCCTTGCGAATCCCGCGTGGGATCTTCATCAATGAGTGAAAATAGACTACTCTACGAAGCACGGCTAGGGATACTAGGTCTCTGGACCGCCACTCTCCCATGCCTTGATTTTCAAAGCACATCCATGGATGAACCCAAACAATTTTCTATTTTCGGGATGGTTGGAAATTTCTCTATTTGGCGTGATAGGCGAAATACTAAATAGGGCTTTCTGGGCCATCCATCTTCGATCTATCGAGGGACTTATTATGTGATGTGTTGGTGTGTAGAACAGTCTAGGCTTTATTATTCAGCGGAATACCTGAGCACAGTTCCATGGGTCTATGTACACTGTTGTTTATGGATTGTGCCGCGAATACCGCGTTATTGACTTGGAGTTGCGTATGAGCCGATCGTTTATCAGTGGCGTAGTCATGGGCTAGAACTTATAGAATACTTGAGACATTCCACAGGGATTGGATACCCTGTAGGATCTCTGGTGGTTATCAAGTACTCGGAATGTAAGTGGAGAGTGCTATAACCGTCATCGTTTCAGAATCCTACATATTATCGAGGGGTAGCATCTGCTTGAGACCGATTTAGAGACGGCAGTCTGCACTGAAAGATACATCGGTGTCGTGTGGCTCTAATCTTCAAGAGTTAGGCCCCAGGATTGTGGTCGCATTTAGAATGGTGTTAGATCAGGCATTGCTGACCAGTTTCACGCACGCACACGGAGCATGGACACAAACCATGGCAAGTTGTAGGATAGGGGACCAATTGTCCCTGCTTAGATGCAGGCACATATACTCCCCAACATACATAACTTCAGCACAGAAATAATATGTCATATCAGGCAGAATAATATTCAAAATACAGAGTAAAAGGCTCATGATATAGTAGTATAAAAATAGAACCATCTCAGATCAAACACTGGGCCCGGGTCAACTTCGGTTCTCGATGGTTATTCCCCTAGTCCGAACCCTATTGAGTGGGACTTCAACCCCGAACCACCGACATCGACTAACCAACCACAAGCACCAAGGCAGAAGACTTGTCCTATAATTGGGACCAGACTGATTTACGCTACTGGGAGATCATTATCTTATTTGTGGAATGTAGAAACACAAACTCCTGGGGTGGTTCAAGTAAATTAGGGCTCGGCATCGATCCAGGGGTTCGGGTATTTTACGGTTGATCCACTTCCCGAGGGGGCGACGAACCTCCCCTCGTGTTGGCGATGATACGTTCGTCCCTGCTCCAGATCGGCTTTAGCGGCTGTGGTGGACCCTTTAGAGTTGTTTCGACTTTTGAGACCCCAACAGGGTTGAGCAAAAGGAAACGTTAATAAAAGGGGGGCACCTTTCGAGCTCTAGAGATCAAGCCCCATTAAATGGTCTCAGCGTGGACTAGCCTGTTTCAATCATACGGGTTGTGTTCTCTCAAAATACGGTGTTGACAATGTCGTTGGTTCATGCTAGCCAATGTACATCTACAGGTTTTCAAAGAATACTATGCTGCCGCTAGGAAACTGTTGTAAGAGTAGGCTCTATCTCTTGACCAACACCTCAACTCAATGTCCATAGTATACTTCTCCTATAGAGTGTAAATTCGAATAGATAGACCCATTTCAGCGTGATGGATAGGTCTAGATTACTCGCCCGGCGATATCGGAAGGAAGTTCTAATAATTGAGTTTAAGTCCTTCAGGGCACATCCAGAGCGCTGGCCCCGAAAACTAGCCGGCAATTCCGGCTTACCGATTAGGGTAAAATCACCGTGGGTGGCTCTAGCACAAGAGAAGCGAAGATTCTCCCCGATCGTTTCACCTTGAAGATGCGTTCTCTCTATTGTTCCTTTGCTGCCATATTTCCCCACATCTAGGACTCCATTTACTCTTGTAGCTTGATTCATGCAAACAGAGTTTCTAATTATACTTTAGATCCTTGGTCGATGGCCATGATTCATGGGGAGGTTTTGGAGTGAATCGGCACTAACCCTGACTCCGATCCCAGGCGCCAGGGCTTCCCGTGCGTCGGAATGGGGATAAGGTGTTGGAGTACACTGACTCGGTGCATTCATCAGGTTGGGAGATGTGCTGTTTGGAGTAGTTAAGATGCTGTTGTTTGTCGAGCTCAATTACGAAATGTCGTAATTATTAGTCAATGTGCTTACGTTCTATGTAATAAAGATGGTCGCAAATGTAAGCATTTAAAAAAGCAGATCATCCGAGTACAAGCGGTTATACTGTTCTAGAAGTATAGACCGAGTACCCCAAAAATCCGACTTACCAATCCGGTCTAGTCGAGCACGTTTCCACACTAGGGTTGGGTCTCTAGATGGTGTCTGTCTGTGAAACGCAGATCTATAGACAATCTTGCCCATGCCATGGATAGAATGGTTTCATCGTTAGTTCAGTCAGGAAGTATGGCCCCATCCGAGTCCGAATAGCGACATCAAGTGCACAAAAAGGGAGAAGTCAGAGCTATATAAAGGCCTGCCATCCACTCCCACTATCCTCTCATCCAGCCAGCATCAATATTCTTTCCTTGCACTCACTCAAAAACCGATAAAAAAGTCATTCATCTTTCGTTAAGCTTTTTCTATATTTGTTAATTTTCGATATGCGTTACGCTCTTTATACCCTCGCCCTTGGGGCAACCTCGACCCTGGCGGTCCCGGTGTCTGTGACACCGCACAATGGTACCCTGCCGAAAGTTCCCGGCAGAATTGGTACTCCCCTCAACAACCCGGCCAGAGATCGCGCTGGATTACAGTCTCGTACCTTCCTGCCTCTTCTTGAATGGCTCGGCCACCACGGCTCTGGCACTTCCACTACCTCCTGTGAAGCATGCGAGGCTTCCGGTAGCGCAACTAGCAGCGGCGCTGTTAGTGTGACTACCAGCGTCTGTGAGAAATGTGAGAACGGCCACGGTGTTGGCGTTAGTGTCAGCTTCGGAACCAACCCCAGTGCCTCTGCAGGCGCCAGTGTCAGCGGAAGTGTGAGCGGAGGCGTCAGTGGTAGTGGTAGTGTTGGCGCCAATGTTGGCGGTGGTGCCAATGCTGGTGCGGATGTCAGCGGAGGCGCGAATGCCGGTGTTAGCGGTGACGCTGGAGCTGATGTTGGTGCCAGCGGTAGTGGAGATGTTAGCGGTGGTGCTAATGTTGGAGGAGATGCCAGTGGCGATGCCAGTGGCGATGCCGGAGCTGGCGTAAGTGCCACTGGTAGTGGAGATGTTAGCGGCGGAGCCAACGTTGGTGGTGATGTTGGTGCCAGCGGAGATGCTGGTGCGAGCGCTGGCGGCGACGTAGTGGTGGTGCCAACGCTGGTGCTAGCGGTGATGCTGGTGCCGATGTAGGTGCCTCTGGCAATGGAGATGTTAGTGGTGGCGCCAATGTTGGTGGAGATGTTTCTGGTAATGCCACTGTTGGAGCAGGTGTCAACGCCGGCGGTGACGTTGGCGCTAGTGGTGATGCTGGCGCTGATGTTGGTGGCGATGTCTCCGGAGGAGCTAACGTCGGTGGTGATGTTGGTGCTAACGGTAACGCCGGAGCCGATGTTGGTGTTAGTGGAAGTGGAGACGTCTCTGGCGGTGCTAATGTTGGTGGTGATGTCTCTGGAGGTGCCAATGTTGGAGGTGATGTTGGTGCTAGTGGTGACGCTGGCGCTGACGTCGGTGGAGATGTCTCTGGCGGTGCTAATGTTGGTGGCAATGTCTCTGGTGGCGCCAACGTTGGTGGTGATCTTGGAGCTGGCGGCGATGTCAGCGGAGGAGGCAATATCGGTGCCGGTGTCGGTGCTAATGGGGATGTTAGCGGAAACGCCGGTGCTGACATTGGTGGAGGAGCAAATGTCGGAGGTGATGTCGGCGCTGGTGTTGGTGCTAACGGTGATCTTGGTGCCGGTGTTGGCGCAAATGTTGGCGGCAACCTCGGAGGTAATGTCGGTGCAAACGTTGGAGGCAATCTTGGTGGAAGCGCAGGCATTGGAGCCGACGCCGGTGTTGGTGGAGATGCTGGCGCTGGTGTTGGAGCTAATGCAGGCGTTGGCGGAAATGCTGATGCAGGCGTTGGCGCTAACGTTGGCGGAAATCTCGGAGGCAATGCTGGAGCGAATGTTGGAGGTATCCTCGGTGGCATCGCTGGTCTTGGTGGTAATGCTGGTGCAGGCGTCGGTGCCAATCTCGGCGGAAACCTTGGCGCCAGCCTGGGTGGAAACGTCGGTGCAAACGTCGGCGCCAATGCCGGTGTTGGCGCTGATGCTGGCGCTGGAGAGGACTGCGACGAGTAAGGTAGTCCAAAGTTGCAAAAGGGCATTGCTTACCAGCTGGCGTCTTCGTACATCACTGTGTCTTGAAACCCGTTTGATCTCCGTTTGACTTTTCTTATTGATGCTGCTGGCTCGGGCTAGTCCCTTCATTATGGTCGTTTAAACAACATGCCTCTCCTTTCCATGTCATAATCATAACTAATTCTACCAATTATATCATCCATGCTTTTCCACCTCAAACCACGATAGCCTTTGAAAAGCAACTGGGAAACGCGAGATTTAGACTTGGTCTCAAGATGTATCGTAGAACGTACAACTAAGTAGCAGATATCGGGATAAGATAGGTATGGGTTCGGTCTGTTATGTTTCTCTATGAAGCATAATGCTTCTACAATGCGTATATCGCAGTAGCATTATCCGGTTTGATTGAGACAGTGCAAGACGGTGAACTGGAGACGGGAAACAATAGAGTGGTATCCATTTCACAAACACACGATAACTCTCCAATAGAGACGTAACCTTAAAATGGGCCATCAAAAAGTGACAGTAGAGAAAGGAAACCCGGCCACGGGCTGGTGTATGCTACCGAAACAGTCACGGAATCCTGGTCTTCCTATTTCTGGCCTCACATGTGAACCAGCTCAATACGAGATTGGTGCAAGTGTATTAGCACAAAGCTTGAGGCTGAGAGGGAACCCCCTTACATTGCTTTGTTGAAAGGCCTGTAGGTGCATGCCCTACAACAGCAAGAACCTATCAAAATGCCGCCCGAATATTTAGCTTGGGTTCGTGCCGCCCAGAATGAAGATTCAATACTCCTCACATTGATGCCAGCTACCAATCACAGCCTCTTGGATTGTCCAAAACCAGGGATTAATCCTGAGCCGCGAGAACCTGCTACTCAGACTGGCTAATGCTGGTCAATCCTGGGATAAATTGGGATCGTGTGGCACTGCAAGTGCATCTAGACTGTCCCCTCGTCAGTATATATCGGACAGAAGATTTCATTCAAATCCCCTTCCCATCCCAAGTGATCTCACTTAACGTCTGTTCTCGAGGCACGAGATCATCTTTTGCTCATAGTTACCTCACCACGCTGAGAATAACCCTTTACTTTAATCTGTCTGGAACGAGAGGATTGTCATCATGTCCCGACCCCCAGCAGATAGACTTTTCAGTGATGTTGCTGATATCATCAACCTCCACCCTCGAGACGAGCCTTGGTGTGCTGGATACGCCACCCCATACGGACGTCGATGCCACCAACGTATCCCCGCTTCGGATTGTACCGCTGCCTGTAGTCTCCTTGACCGGGCCACTGAGGAGTTCCATATCCGAAACTCCGTATATCAATTCCTTCGGGATTTGGCACCACTCGTCCTTTGCAAAAGTAGCCATCAGAATCAAGCACCCGATCTAATTGGCACCTGGGGCAGGCAGATACAACACTTCCAGACCGATGTCAGGGCGTTGCTGGATTCACTAATGTGGGAAGAGGAAAATAGCACAGATCTGCTGCAGATGATGGGGCGGACAGCTGCCGCTGTCAAAGACATTCACTCTCAGCTTGCTCAACTGAGGGCCTCAACGGTGAGGCTAAGCACTATTGGCACCCGGTTGACGAGTACCAGGAGAGCTACAAATGCTGCCGTCCAGCGGGGAACGGAAGGATACTCGTCCACACGGGTTGGTAATACCTTACACACACTTGAGTCGCCAGCAATGAGAGCTGAACCTAGAAGGAGCCAGCATCCCGATATCACCGCAATGCCAGGTCCAGGAAGACTTGGATCCACGGGCTCTACAGGGTTTTCGGTAATTCGTGGGCAGATCGAAGGAGAGTGTGCCATTTGCTTAATGCTGTTATCGGAGTCAGAACACTCGAACAACAATAGTGAGGGCCCAAGCGGCGCCAAGGCTGGGAATTATAAGAGAAATCAGACAAAGCATTTGTTAGCCTCTAGCAGATCCTGCCAAGGACCTGATGAGTTACTTGTCTGGTGCAAGAAGCGATGTGGTTCCAATTTCCATAAGTCTTGTATGGACCAGTGGACAAACGCATGCCAGAAGGATGGCCGTCGAGCGAATTGCCCTATGTGCCGATCATCTTGGAATACGTGAATTGCCCCTTGTAGTCAGGCATCTGTGCTCTCTGGATTACTTTGTTTTCACTGCAGGCGTTTGCATTTCCATGCTTGCCGCTGTTGCTCTCTGCTAGTATCTGTTCTTGATGCTGCTCCTTTCCTTTGATGGCTTTATCCTCATCTTATCTAAATGAACACCCTTGGTGAAAGGCTAACTTACGATATGCTAAATAATGAATCCAATGTTGACATCATGATCAAAGAGACTTAGTTCTAGGCCATGTTCCACTGATAAAGAATAGCATTTTAAGCTCAATAGCCTTTGTTGCAAAATTATGAAAGCTTCTTATCTCAGTTATACTTAAAACAAAATAACTTTTATGTGGACTCCTGCAGAGCCATGATTCTCCTGAGTATGTTTTTCCTTTTGCAACAATGTATATTATCAGGATCCAACCGATCCTATATTGGATCGAATGCGGTGCAACTCATTAAGCTACAATACATACTGCGATGTACGAGATCCTTTGTCTTTCTTTATAATTTGCTTCCTTACAGTACAAAGCCTACATTGTCTTTCATCTTAACTATTCAGTGGCCCTTTGTACAAGGCCGATAATGATGGAGAGGACCTACTATGTCGAAGGGCAGTATGCATTTAAAGCCCAGGCTCTTTGCAAGGTGGAGTATATTCATATCAGTTTATACTATCATTCATAGCGGAAAACGCTTATTGCTTAAGCATTCTTAGTCGAATCCCAATACTCCAATCTGTCCTGCTGTGGAATATGGCTGACGAAGCGGAATCTGCCAGCTCAAGCGAAGATATAATGGCGCTGAATTACCTTACTCAACGTATCCCAGTGGAGATACTGACGAGAATCATCGACTACGTGCGTATGACAGACCTATGGGAAATGATCGATGTAACTCCAATGCAGTCAGCTGCCATTCGGGTTCTCAGCCAAGTCCGGCTAAGAGAGGTACTCCTCAGCAACCGTTTCTATGTTTTCACGAACGATCAAGAATGGAGGAATTGGCATAATAACAACTATTTCCGACAGCTTGAAGAGCATGGCCATCTTCGAAGACCAGTTGTTTATCGAGACGATGACCCTGTAACACACTGCGTCGCGCTGGATCGTTACGACCGACTGCAGTTTATGCTGGAGTGCGGATTACCACCTGAGTGCTGGGCAAAGTGTGGTTGGAGTCCCCTCGCTGTGGCGGTTCATTACAGAGCAGACAGGTGCTTCGATCTGCTCTGCGCTGCACAGCCTGACGAAGACGTTCTACGACAGGATACCGGAATCCTGCCTAGGGCTCCTAACTGGCTGATGACCTTTACCGGGGAAAAACGGTACGAATATGGTTTCGCAAGGCTGCTTGATCATTTTGACCAGTATAACCGGACTCAACAGCACAGGATAGAGCTCCCTCCTATCAGTCCACATGCCGTCTACAAAGTGGTCAGGAGATTTCCGGTTCCTCTGATCGAGCGCGCGGCTCGTGCGGGACTGAGGCTCGCTTTAGCCATACATCGGACCTCTCAAGAAGGAGCATGGCACATTGCACCATTCCGCGATGATGCAATGGACCTGATAAACGTACTGTGTCGTGAGTGCGCTGCCAGCCTCAACAGTTACGACGCCGAGGGTCACACCCCGTTATTCCAGGCTGTGGAGTCTGGGAAACCAGAGGTCGTGAAACTCTACATTGAGCGAGGCGTCGATGTGGATCATATCGCCGGGATCGCAGAAACAGCCCTCCACCTCGCCTGTAGACAAAGGCCAGTGAGTCTAGATATTTTACAGCAGCTCCTTGGTCATGTCGATGTCAATTCCGGTACAGGGAGTGCGCAGGGAACACCTTTGCATACACTACTGGTGAGTACATGGGGACATATACACCACGGGAATCCTCCAGCGTCAGTACCTAACCCAGGTGATAATACCCAGCATCAGCAACGGGGGCGCCCCGTCGACTGTCACCCGAGGAGCAAATGATCATGAATGTCGCCTGCGAGGCCTGTAATATGATCCTGGATCGTTATCCAGAACGGCAGGCTGTTAACGCAAGTGGAAAAACTGCCTTGCAATTGGCTCGGGCACTTCGTCTCAAACGGCTAGTTAATAGGATTCTAGGAGCACCTTCGCAAACAGGGCGATGGGGGAGACGGCTAAGGCCTCGGCGGTGAATCAGAGTTTAGATCAGTCCTTTACTTTCTTATATTCTTCATTTTTTCTGGACATTCACTAGATTCGTTGCTTATGTGTCAAGATTAGATCTATGGTTCGGATGTTATGAGCACGGTGTAGCATGGTCGATTGTCTCGTTGGATACCCTTGTTAGAACTGGGCATATTGTTCTCCCCCCACCAACCCTTGAGTTTATCATGGTTTTGTTATATCTCTATTTGTATGTCAGACGTGGCCTGTATAGATATAGATTATCATTTATCACATAAACATGACAGGACTGCGACAAGCACACGGATAGGTCTTGGAAAATAACGTGATCAGCTGATCGATTAGGGCATATGACACCCCAATCCTAGCAGCAGATGACATCCACACCTGATTCTAACCTATACTTATAAATGGGCCCTATTATTCTGGAGCTAGAAAGTAGATTCAATTAACATCTTTGTGTCTCCGTTACCTTGGACCCGCCTAGATACTACCATCCGCGATGAACTTAAAATCCATCACCACAGTGCTCCTCACCGGCTCGGTCGCGAGCGCAGTGCAGCACCAATACACCTGTACTAATTTTTATCTTCTGACAGTGATGAACGGATATGCTAACAAATGCAGCGTTACGAACGATATCAAATGAGGGTCATAGAATCCCAGCTCTGAAGTCGGAGCAAAGTGTTCTCGGGCTCCGGGTTGATGAGAGTCGTAGGTTACTTCATTTACCTCAGTAGTGGAGATAAACTAAACCTTTCTAGGTTGTTATACCTGCTCCTCGCCTTGCTCCGACGCCGTGTGTTGTCATGGACGGTTCCCTCAATGTTGTACGGATGGGGTTTATTGTTACTGTTGTGAAGACTGAATCACGGGTTGAGAATAATATAACATGATGCTAGCTATTAGAGGATACAATAACAAGTTTTAGTTGCACATTGAGATGATGTCATCCGGGATGAACGGCTTTAGGATGTTGATTAAGGCAGCCAACGGGATCCAGTCCAGGGTACCATGGATGGTCTCAATCGCGGATCCACTGTACAGAACTCTAGCGTAGAATTCCGACTCGGAGGTTTCCCTGTTGTCTCATTAGCTAGGGTTGATCGCAAGAAACGGGCTAGAGGAAGCAGCGTACCAAATCTCGATAGCAATGTTCGATGCCATTCCCGGCCAGCGGAGAGATCTGATTCCCAACGCACCAAGAATAGGTCCAATGTCGCCGTCATGCACGAAATTGTGACTATACACTAAATCGGACCTGCTCTCTCGCACAGCCTCTAGCTTCCGCACAATTTCGCCGATAAAGAGGCCTTCCACGAGTTGGATGTATTGCGTGGCGTTCGCGTTGGTCCGCCACCAGTAGTTCCATTCCCAGTCGCCGGCGCGGAAAACTTCATTTGCCTGATCGGTTGTCACGCAGTCGGATGCATCCTCTACGCGGCAGGGGAGTTCGTAGCCGTTGCATAGGCGGGCCTGGAAATTGTCGGCGAAGTGGTCAAACGTTGAAGTCCAGGAGCCAGTGGCATTAAACATGGTAGATAAGCGCGTGCGTAATGGCTCTGTAACGGATAGATGCTCGTTCCATTCCGCGGTGGATTGGATGGATGAGAGCAGTGTGTCCCGGGCGGAACAGGAAAAGCCGCGGTCAACGGTGTCAATCCCGGAGGCCTGCTGGTGGAGCGGGATTGGCCCGGAGTGCTCGGGGAATATTCCGCGGAGGACACCGCCCGCTGAGCCCTGGGTTAGGGCAGAAGAGCTAGAGCGGAACCAGACTTTCCCCTCGGGCGAGTCGGGAATCAGGCCCAGCTGGTCGCCGTACACGGCGCGGAGATCGCGACCGTGTTGGTAACCGTCTAGAAGGCCGCCGATCGTGAGCTGGGGATACTGGCAGGATCCATTGACGTAGCTGGTCAAGAACGGGTTGGATGGGTCGGAGTAGGCTTGACCATAGACTGTCGCCGGATGGGTCCCCTGGGCAGCTGGTGCTGCGTAGAGATGAGGATGAATGTTGTCGCAATTGTAGTCTTGGTTCTGTGACAATCAGCCAATCGTTGTGGATGCTGCCGGAGGAGACGACATACCTCACCACCTGGAAGAATGTTATAGGGAGTGCGACGCTGATGGCGCTGCAGATACTCAAGATAAACCAGGCGAGCGGTAACGGAGTGATTGGCGACAGGAGGTGGCAGTGAGTATGTATCCTCAGTGGGATGCGGCATACTGCAGTAGTTGTATACACCACCTATGGCGCTGGGTTGGTCGGCCGGCGCACGGTAAGTGCCGCCGTACGTGCCAAGAGAGGCATTGGTGATGAAAGTGGTATGGTTGAGGGGCGGATAGAAGGTATCTCGAGACGCGAAAGATGGCGTCCCGGAGAGAAGGGTTAAAATGAGGGCAATCATCTTCAGAAGACCTTCGTACACTGATAGCATCATGTTGCCATTGTGCGCGTGGGTTTATTTATGGGTTGGAGAAGTTGGAATGTCACATATAATTGCATCGCAACCAGTCCACCACTCACGAGCCGCCATCTCCCACGTGGTGCGGCCCTCGGAAGTTGCCGAAACAATCAACCAATTTGAAGCCTCAATTGAACGTCACAATATACAGTCTGTGGGAAATTGCTGGAGCACGTGTGGCCTATTAAAGCTTTCTGTGGTTCAGTATAGACCATGGATTTTTCCTATGGGGCTGCTCGGCATTCTACAAGTACCTACTACCCGGTACATCATGTTGTATGTCTAGCTTGACCTAATCCAGTGGACCAAGAGTGTGATACCAGCGCTGCAAGGGCAATCGTCACGACACATGTCTAATGGGTTCGCAGCTGCATCCAGGCAAAAGGTGTAGACTCTATGTGTATATGTGACTAGGCTAGCATTGTGGTTAATGCGTACTGTCCATGAGACAATAGAAAGAGGAAAGGAGACAAGAGAAATTTCTTGATATTCCGCATTTAATTCTGGACAAGCTTGCAAAATCACCTTGGGGCAGCACTGTAATTATGTTCATATTCTGTTCAGCCGTCTCCACCATAATGACTGATAAAGGCATTTGACACGACGCCGGGATCGACTAACTACGTAATAAGTAATAAGGAGCGGCAGCCAGGCTGGGCAAACATCACACGCCTCAGGCAACAGTTTTAATTCCTGGCAAGTGGTCGAGTGACCGTTCGCCGCTAGGGCTCTTGGCGGCAGGTGAGGTGATGGGCCCTGAACTTCATTTGTTTAACGGCTCTTGAGGAGGTTCCGCTGTGGAGCTCCAGCTGGCCTATAACAAGGGCTTGGGGCTGATTCACTGGTTATCTCTGATCCGATGATGGACTTTGGTTCCAATAACAACTGTCATGTTGCCAGGGGTTATCCGCCAAAGAACGATATAACAGGGTGAGCCCCCTCTTACCTTGCGAAGAGCACCAATATGCTTCAACAGTGACAGACTCCTTTAGATTCACTGTTGACATCGGCAGGGAACGCGACTGATGATCGACTCTTTTCCATGGTTCTGATACTGCTAAAACAGGGTCCACGATGATCCAATGGATCGCCACCAGTCACTTTGCCCTACGTAAATCAATGGGCCCAAATCCCCCCACGGTTGCCGCGAAATTAGTTTTTTAGGCCCAGGAACCAACCCTTTCAGGTTGGCTCAATCCGATTAGATGAGTGGGATGGAGCAATAGATACTTCGCCCACTATCGCCCGTTAGCTGGGTCTGGCGCCTTGACTTTTAAACTTGAGTTAATCCACCTTTATCAATTTCTCCGCCACCTATCTTGTTCTTTTTCGTTCCTGACAGTTTCCCCGGTTTTCTTCTTCTCTATTATTACTTTCGTCGCTGTGGATAATTATTCTCCATGTCAGCAAACGAACGACAGCTGTTTATTTGATTGATTCACACAGCGTGGATAGAGGTTACGCCGATCACTTTTGGTCTTATCCTGAACCTTGTTTTATTGGCGTTTTAATCTATAGTGCCTCGACACGCCACCGTAGCTAATGGCGCGGAAGATGGTAACCCGCAAAACTACGACTTTCTTGATATTCATCCTACTAGTGACGATCGTGACCTCCGTGCTCAAGATCAGTCTGTCTGATACCCCCCTTTACCACCATGCCACCAGTCCGGATACAATCAAAGCAGATTACTGGGAATGGGAAACGGCCACACGTTTCGCTCCTCTTAAGAATCAGTTCACCGCCAGTTCCAGCAGTGATGACGACCACCTGTGTGACTCCTTCCCCACCTATGTGCTGTCACGGATCCAGGTCGTGCTGAAGATCGGGGCGTCCGAGCCTGCCGATCGCGTGGACGCTCAGATCTCGACCGTCACCCACTGTATTCCGAATCTCCTCGTCGTCTCGGATCGCGAAGGCGAACTCAATGGTCATCGCGTGCACGACATCCTCGCGACGCTTCCTGAATCGTTCCGCTTCAATGTGACGGACCTTGAGCCCTACGAAGCCTTAAGGCGGGGCGATGAGCAGGCAGTGGGGGGCGACGAGGGTTGGCATCTGGATCGCTTCAAGTTCTTGCCTATGGTCGAACGTGCCCATGAGATGAACCCGACCGCGCAGTGGTACGTTTTCCTGGAGTCCGATACCTACTACGTATGGGACAATCTCCTCCGCCTTCTCGATCAGTACGACCCATCGGAGTCCTTGTATTTTGGTTCGCCATCACCTGGACGGGAGATCGCTCAAGGAAAGCCCATGTATTTTGCGTACGGTGGTGCGGGGTTCGTTCTTTCTGGGGGCGCGATGAAGAAGTTGGTGCACCGGCGTCACGGTTCTATGGGTCAATACACCGAGCCATCGTTGAGTCTACAGTTTGAGGATATAGTGAAAGGCGACTGCTGTGGGGACTCCGTGTTGGGTTGGGCACTGTACCAAAAGGGCGTGAAACTGTCGGGGCTGTGGCCCATGTTTAACCCGCATCCGCTCCATAGCATCCCGTTCGACAATGCATACTGGTGCCAGCCGGTAATCAGCATGCACAAGACTGTGTTGTCAGACATGAAGGGACTGATCGAGTGGGAAAACCAACGCGATCGCAAGGTTTGTCCAAAATCAACATGTTTCCTTTTCGTCACCAAAACTAACTGAGATTGTCAGAAACCTTTGTTATACGCGGATCTGTTTGAATACACGCGCATGGGGACCTTCGAAAGCAAACCTGACTGGGATAACGGGGACTGGGGTGGTTTCGGAGAGCCCAACGAGTCGCCGGCACACGTCTCGATGGAAGCCTGCCGGACTGCATGCCATCAGCACACCGAGTGTCTGTCATACACTTATGATCATTCCGGTCATTGTATCTTTGTGCGGACGATGCGACTGGGCCATAGTAAGCCGCCCACGCAGGAGGTGCGGCTCTCTGCCGGGTGGGACGTGGAGAAAATGCGGAATTGGCGAGATTCGCATGAATGTGAGAAGCCAATGTGGGTGAAGCCAAGCATTACGCGGATCTTCTAGAGCAATGTATATCATGATTTTGTGTAAGGCGTTTGGATATTCTGGGATGTTGTGGATTATACGATGTTGTCGCTCACGACCAAGCCGTTACGATATAGAAATGCATAGTTGTCCTTTCATGGACTAGCAGGTTATATTTTCTATAACTAGAATCTGAGGACCTGTGAAAGTGGGGCTGAAAATGACGGTTTCTGCAGTCAGAAACGGCTGCCTTGGTCTGTATTAGAAATACCTGACGTTGCAGAAGAACAGTAGATTTCGGCAAGACTTCGTACTGGATGTATAGAAAAGGAGCGGGTTGTCTATCTCCAGCGAGGGAGCAGCCTCTGGTTGGAAGCAATGTGTCAAATACAGGAAATTCCGAAGAACAAATTTAGACATCACAGCCATGGTTTCTTAAAGAAGTGCCCTGATTGAAAATAGCAAGCTCTGTAACACCCGTGCGTGTTAATTATACTCCATCTGTACATTGCCACCACTCATCACCATCCGATCAATCTTTCCACCACATACTACTTGACATTGCCAAGGGAAGACTGGGACATCCCGGGCCGGCACCACACCCATAGATAGAGCGCAGACGTCCAGCCACCCAACGTCCGGTAACACGTCATAGGTCGCCATCAATTCAATGTAGAACTCTTCGATCGTGCTATATGTTGGCGTTATGACAACTCCAGTGGAGGGGGCAATACCCGTGCATGGCTGTGTGGCAAGACGATGAGCCAACTGGTGCTGTAGTAGATTTTCCAAAAGGGTGAGAGTGGATTGGATCCCATCCAGGGCACCCTGGACAAGGTTCTTCGCAGATTGGAATGGAATAGAGCCTAGGTGACGCTTCATGGTACCAGGGTCAGGTTTCGAACCGCGTAGCACACCCAAAATAGTTCGGATCTCACTTTGAATCTCCCTTAGTCGATTTCGGCAGCGAATCGTCGCGTCGATCAGCCCCATGTCTTCCGACGTGAGATACAATGAGTATGTCCGGGCGGCCAGACCAGGAACTTTCACAACCTCAATGAACGCATTTTCATGTGCCTCCCGGAAAACACTTCCGTGGCCGTGAGGATGCTCAGACCTTATTATGGCTCGGACCACTGATATCCATTCATCTCGTTCCAGGAAGCATGGTTGACCTAGAGAGAAGGATGCCCGGATGAGAAATGGCCGGAATGTGAGAAACAGCGTTCGGCTAAACCCCAGGATATATGTTGCGGCCGGGACATTGGGCAACTGCATTATTTGGGCAATGCTGTTTGTGTGAGAAATCCAGGAGCCTTGAGATAGCCCGTTTTTCATCTCATAGAGAGCAAGCAGGATTCCTCCCGCGAGGATTTCATCCGACATTGGGAGACAGCTTACCGCCCTTCTCATAGAGGCCAATGCATCGTTATACATATCTAGACTCTGGATGATAAGCAGTCTGTACTCCGTCTGGCCGAGATGCAGAGCAGCCAAGGCGCGTACTGCCGACTGGAGGAATGCCGGATGAGGACGCGCCGAATGAAGGGCGAATTCGACCCAGCCCAGGTTCACTAGTGGTCTGTAGCAGGCCCGTAGCGTTGAAAAATTCCCCTCGACACACCGAGAAAAGATGTCCAGTTCTTGCATACGAGTGGATTGTGTTGCAAGGTTTGGCATTACTCGGGTGTCCATAACTGTCGATTCGAGATCGGACCCCGCTGGACGATAGGTTCGCACACCTCTATTTCCACGGTGTGATTCTTGGCTGTTCCACGCATGCAAGTTGTAGAAAGGGAATGGCTGTGGGTAGCCTGGGCAAGTCATATTCCGTCTCACACACTCCCGGCAAGCAGGCCTTGCCTCATCACACTATCGGATGGATTAGTAAACGAGGGCCCTCTCTTGGGGTGAGGGGTCTCTGTTACCTTGACCCTCCTCTGTATGCATTTCTGACACCCCGTGCTGCGAGGAATACCAGGCATGTTGTCCCGTTGAGGATAACGCTGTCTTGTCCTTGACTACGGCTCGGACCGAATGACTCTACGCCTAGCGTCCGGAGTATTTCTGAGTGGGAGTGGAGATGATTTATTTCCGGCTAACCTCAAGTGCGCGGGGTTGGCGTTACTAATACTTCCAGCCTCGCGATCGATTAACGACCTTCGTAACTACCCCTATTCAGGATGATGGAACGGCCAAGAGCCCAGCTTCTGGGGTTCTTCTCGGTCTGTTGCTGTTGCTGTTGTCGTCTCGGTCGAACACATGAGCTATGTTTAAGACGAACTTTCTATAACAACCCTTGGAGGGCTGGTGGTGGCCCACAGGGGATGCAAATGATAGCCTCACGGCCCAACGCGACGACCGCCATTACCTAACGGTGTTGGGAAATATGGCCCCGTACCATGAGCATACCGGAATCCTGTAGCTTTACAGAATACTGAATCCTTCTGGAGCACATCAACTACCCCATGGGGAAGTATCACGCATTACCGTAAGTTACCAGTGGGGCCTACAGGATGAATCACCTGCACTCAGAGCGAGTGGCAGGCATAGGACGAGGGCCCAAGCCTCATCTGTCGATCACTTCCTAGCTCTGTGGGTCTCAACACCACTAAGGGTCCAGAGCATCCATCCATTACAGGTGGGGGTAGGTGTTTGTGGGATGAGTAACTATTATTCGCTACATGGCGTAGAAAATAATGCACAAAATAAAGAACTGACAGCATAGTAGTATAGCAGCACACCAATATGCGGGGATCCCCTCCACATCGCTCCTTCAAACATGAGGAAATATACCCGTCCAACGCGGCTGTCGATAAGCGCCCGATGGTAAGCTCCTCATGCTGATAAACGCCTCAATCGTCAGGAAGAAAATGCAGGCCACATACAAGATCATCGCGATAATGCTGACGCCCAGCAGGAAATACCGAAGCCAGATGGGAACCCTCCTGTTGGAGGAGTGGTCATACACGCTCTCATGATACAGTTCCCACAGCATCGACCAGCTTCGCAACATCATCCCGACCCGGGATCGTTTTTCAAATCTCATGCGGTACCACATTTTGATGAAGAAACTGTCGAACTCTTCATTCCAGGACATGACGAAATAGACAATCGTGGGGAATATCCCCAGCCCAATCCCAGACATGCGCCAGATGATGCGCTCCGCTGGGGTAGGAAAGTAGTTGTTCCACACGCAGAGGTGAAGGCCACCGTTAGTAATGGCTAGGATGGAGGCCCAGAGCTCAATCCGCCGTCGAAGATATTTTAAGACACTGTATGCCGCGCGAAAGAACATGTAGACCCATCCACCATGTTCGTAGTATTCTGTGAAAAACGGGAGGTCACGCGCATGGTTGGTTGTCGGCTGGGTGAGATCATGTCCCATCAGGTCAGCGCTGTCGAGCGGCAGTGGGATGGGGCGGTTGATATCCAATGGCTTAGCCCACCAGCAGCAGTATGCAACGATGGAATAGAGGATCTGGATGAGCACATGGGCCTCAAGGAGGGTGACCGGGAGTCCGGAGAGTTTTCGACCTACTGCCTGAATGACCATCCACGAGATCTGCACCGCGACAAGGAGCTTACTGATAGTATTGGCGTTGCCTTTATCCTCGATCACGCTTTGGTCAAAATGGTGTTTTTGTAGCGTCCCATCCTGAATCAGTCTTCGAATCTTCCCACCCTGCAACAGGCTTTCGAAACCCTGGGGTCCGATGGTTGTCACCAAAGGTGAGGGAGAGTCAAACGATTCAGTTATGGTATTGGGCCGCTGGAGATGACGCGAACTCTTTCCCGAGGGCAGTTCGCGCTGGGCCGTGTTGGCACGATGGTTGTAGCTCTCCGTCTCCACGACGTAACCTCCCATCACCACAAAGAATGCACCAGTCAGTCCCAGCCAATACTTCTTCTCACTATCACCCTCAAATGATTGCTCCCAGAGGTTCCGAATCTTTATGGCTCGCAGAAGCTGCTCCACTGCCATGCACACGACTAGTTCCGGGATCACGATCGCCCAGGTCATCATGAAGAACTTATAAACATTGGCGGACCAGTAGCCCTTGACAGGGAGAACATCCGGATGGACGGCAGTCCACACGCATAGGATGAATGTGGAGAAGCAGTTCCAGAATAGCGTAAGGGTTCCCCTTTGGTCCGGCTCGGCGACGTATGCGGGTTCGGGCTGGGGGCCAACCAGAGGAGCAGGGGCAGCAGAAACTGCACCAAGATCAGACAATGAATGCAGAAGGCAGTAGAAGTAAAGAAGTTTTCTGAGACCTGCCATTTCTCTGTCTTTATTGGTGCGGTGATCAAGAAAGGATGAATGAAGAACTCTCGAGTCTATCATGCTATGCCAGGCATTGCAGTGGGGTTTGCACACAGGAGGTGAGAGAGCCAGATATATACGCCATACAGACAACTGCAGTTGCTAGATGACTATCTTTACCTGGGCTTGTAAAAACCAAAACAAGTTAGTCGCAATAGCCCTCGTAACAAACAGCCTTAGTGAGGCCATCCACAAAGCATGGCAGGGGTGTTCATCCACTTCGATACTTGGGGATAGAGGAGCGGTTCTTGTTCAAGAGCATTTAACGCCAATTCTGAGTTTCGTCGTATACTTCCGAAAATGGCGACCAGGCAAATGAACAGGCCAGGCGGACTCAGCGTGCTTATTGGATCATCGATATCGCCGCAGCCTATCGTATATGTCGACCCAGAGATAGACAGATTACCCACTAGACCAAAAGTGCACCATGGGGAGCATTCTCAGTAGATGCCTACTGGACAGTCTATACTGGCTAGAGTGAGGACAGCAAGGCTGAATGTGCCCTTGACGTAATACCGATTTCGCCGGCACTGTTCTTAGTAGGGTAATGGAGCAAGACCAGGGAGCGCATGGGCTAGTGGACAGCACATGTGCCCAGTCTCGATCTATATGTCGAACCGCAAGACAACTACGGCCACTGCCAGATTCCCTTCGGCAATGCCATTTAAACCGAGTTGAATAGTTCCGCAGGTGCGTTTTTGAGAAAACAAATCTAGGGCATGTACCATAACCAGAATTATATATATATTGTCTAATAGCTATTTCTTACGACCGGTGTATCTCAGACGCCGACATCCGTCAGAGAATGAGAGCAGATCCATGAAATGTCCTCTCCCATACTCGCCTTCTGCAATCCCAGTCAGAGATCTCGTCTCGATGATAGTATTATTTTTGAGATGAGTCCAGCATAATGCCAAGGAATTCTATCCCAAGAAGGTTCGGTGTGGCTAAGGATTTGCCTGCCCTTGACTGCCATAGATTCAGATGGAAATAATATACACACAGCCAACGATCCAATGATACGATAGAGAAAGGTAAAACAATGTATAAATTACACCAAGTCTATACGGGTTGGCCGCTAGCACAGCTGGTACGGAATACGAGTTGATCTGCGGGCAGGAGCGGTAATTTCACTCGGTCTATTACTGGTCTGACGCCAGGACCTGAGATAGCACCATTGACCAAGGGGTCGTCTCGCCCCCGAGACAATTTAGAAAAATACCAGGTAACCAGTCAAACTTCTCGTATTTAAGGTGATGGCAGTTAAATAGAAAGAGAGAGGTACTGGAACGTGGGCATGCTGTGGAATAGCATCTTATCACTCCCTGTTCGGCGTCAAGTTCTCCTACTCAGTGCCAAATTTACATCCCTCTACTATTTTTCGAGTTCATTTACTCCAACCCTACTTTGTCTCCCACATTGGAACCCCCAAACCATGGAGTTTTCTTCTAGCAGTGGATTGCCTACCATTCCAGCATTCCAGCTTCCTGGACTCATCGGGTCAGTGGGCAGCGGTGTCGCAATTTGGAAGGTCCTATTCACGCTTCTTATTGCGGCTGTTGCTTATGATCAGCGTAAGTTCTGTACATGTACCAGTGAAGGTTAGGCCAGTGGCTGATAATGGGACCTTCTCATATGTAGTGAAATACATCCGGCAGAAGGGTTCAATTCCTGGCCCATCATGGAAGGTCCCCTTCACGGGACCGTTTCTGGAGTCAATGGATCCAAGATTTGAGGGATATATGGCCAAGTGGAGGAGCGGGGAGTTGAGTTGCGTGTCCATCTTTCACAAGTAAGCAATCGTCGAGCTGTCATAGAGAAAATGGAAGCGGTAGCTGATTGACTGTCATAGGTTTGTTGTCATCGCTTCGACACGCGACATGTCGGTCAAGATCTTCAACTCCCCTTTCTTCGTGAAGCCTTGTGTGGTCGACTCCGCACACAAGCTGCTAGGGAAAGACAACTGGGTATTCTTAGACGGCAAAGACCATGTTGAGTTTCGGAAAGGCTTGAATCTCCTCTTCACACGCTCTACCCTGGCTAGCTATCTCCCGCTTCAAGAAGCGGTATTTGATGCGTACTTTGAGCGGTTTCTCGCACGGTCGGCGGCTAACAAGTACAGACCACTGCCTTGGATGCCTGAATTCCGCAAGCTCATGTGTACGGTATCCTGTCGCACATTTGTGGGGCATTATATCTCCGAAAGTGCACTAGACAAGATCGCGCACAACTACTATCTCATCACTGCTGCTCTTGAATTGGTCAACTTCCCGGTTATCCTTCCATTCACCAAGGGCTGGTACGGTAAAAAGGCGGCTGACTTGGTCCTTCGAGAATTTACCCAATGTGCTGCCAAAAGCAAATTACACATAGCGGAGGGTGGTAAGATCACCTGTGTGATGGATGCCTGGATTAAAGCCCAACAAGACTCGGCAGCATACAGGAGGGACATGGCAGCAGGGGTTCGATGTGAGAAGCCGGCGCAGTTGCTTCGTGAATTCACGGACTACGAGATTGCACAAACTATCTTTACCCTCTTGTTTGCATCGCAAGATGCCAACAGTGCTGCCGCTACCTGGCTCTTCCAGCTGATGGCCGACCGCCCAGAGATCTTAAACCGACTCCGTGAAGAGAATTTAAATGCCCGTAATCGCGATCGTGAAGGGCGGTTGTCCATGGACCTGTTCGAGAGGCTACCATATACGCGCGCAGTAGTCCGGGAGACCCTGCGCTACCGCCCACCGGTGATCTTGGTCCCATACATCGCGAAGAAGGACTTCCCAATTACCGAGAATTACACGGTGGGAAAGGGATCGATGGTCCTCCCGTCCGTTTGGCCTGCCACTCACGACCCCGAAGTCTACCCGAATCCCGATTCATTCGATCCGGATAGGTGGATCACTGGGACAGCTGAACAGCATCCGAAGAACTTCCTGGTGTTTGGAACAGGACCACACTATTGTTTGGGGCAGACCTATGCCCAGATGAATCTGATGGCCATGATCGGGAAGGCGAGCCTAGCGCTGGACTGGGAACACCATACTACGCCGGAGTCGGAGGATATAAAGGTTTTTGCTACAATATTTCCAAAGGTATGGGTGGAAGTTGTGTGTGCTTGTTCGTTGGTTTAATGCTAACTTCAACTTGAGGATGACTGCCATCTAACCTTCCGTCGCCGAACTTAGAATTTGAATGGCTCTCTGTTAGAAGGCTAAGAATATAGTCGACTTAAATTGAGTGTTCTCTTACTATTCGAGGGGTTGGTGAGATTGGTCAGGTAGCAACGGGCATAATTCATTCTTCGTCGATCATTAGAGCAGTGTATTGCAAAATTTGGTACTTTTTCTGTTTGTTTGTCACAGTGCAAGGAGATAACCGAGGCCTTCAATCATGATCCTCTTCTAGATTTGGAATCATTAGGATAGTGAAGGCTCTGCGGTGAGCATTTTTTTTTTCTTATTATCCGGCTATGCCTCCAGGTGTGGTGGACCTAGTCTTCTAACAGTTTACTCAAAACTAGAAGTAGCTAATTAAATCTGGGGTTGTGGATATAAGTCCGCCTGTAGCCCCTCCTTTGGGGGCCTTTTCTGCTACATTTAAGAATAAAGATTATTACAGGAGAGTTTGTACTTCTACCATCTGTATTTCGGTCTCTTATGTCAGTTATCTTAGCTTTCTGAACGACCAGGTTTACTATATAATCTATACTGGCTCTTTTTATCATGGCAAATATTTAAAGCAACCATAGTCTTTGGGGTTCCTTTTACAGTATTATATTCCAGGTTTTGATTATGCTCCACGGCCGGTCAGGTCAACCCAGATGGAAGTGAAGTGCAGGACAGATATGGTACGGTAGGTACCGGTAAGTCATATATATAGCTCGCATGTAAAACATAAGCACCGGACAACAATCCCATCATACTGACTTTTTGCAATGCTGCAATGTCTACGGTTGGGAGCAGTTGGTTTAGTTGGTTTAATGTGCATATATTGGGCATAAATTGTCTTTGACCGTGTGTGTAGAGTACACCCCATCATCATTTAGCATGATCTATGATAGGCTAAAATATAATCTCATAGCACTGCACATAGTGTGAGCCACGCCTTCCATTCTATGGTACTACGACCATTCCTAAGCATCTATTTCAGTGTTACTTATTAAGTTATACCCTATATAACCCAAGAGCCTAGACTTAGGGCAAGCTAGCACTTACTACCATTGGAAAAATTGTGATTTGGCATTGTTATCTGGAGAAGCATACACAGAGTGAGTTCAGGGTGGGACAGGAGTATTTTGGACACATGCAAGGGCCTTGGGATGGTGTATACAGTCTAGTGTATCGTGGAAAAGGACCAATTGGTGGGTGGTCTGGCAAGATACACGGATTTCCAACCTACACCTTGCACACACAGGATAGGTCTAGTCTCTAGATTCGGAGAAAAGTCGATTGGGCGCCCAGGGTCAACAAGGGAACAATACTCGAAAGTGTTTCCCGAGGCAAGGGGGAGAGGAACGGGGTAACCTAAAGTTACATGTTGAGAATTTTGAAAGGGTGTGTCATTGCGAGCAGAGGAACCAAAGTCAAGGGATGCCCGCGTTTTACAGACATACAAGGGGTATTTGACTGGCATGTGGTACGGTACAGCCCCATTATGCTCACTTTATGTTATGCAGGTGCATCAAGGCATCTTGTGCCAACACGTACATATGCAGGATCCGACATCAATTCTCCTGCATGATCCACCTCTTAGCAATGTAGATCTTGCCATCCTAGCGGGATTAGGGGGGTTGAGCCATTTGAACGCAAGTCGGCCTATGCGTTATAAAAGTCTTCGCGTAGCTGAACAGCATTTTCCAGTCATCGCTTTATTACTGTTCCATAAGTGAATATACTGTGAAAGGTGTATGGCATATATTTTGGGTACCACCTAAGAGCTTCCTTACGACTGTTGCTCTTGCTACACGGCTCTGAATGGTTGCCCAAAGTTCACAATGACTGCTTGTAACAGGTGGTAAGTCTTGACATAACCCCTCATGGAACCTGCTATCGCGGGCAGTGACCAAATGCCTTAAAGTGCTGCTATAGGTGAGCTTGAAAATTCAACTTCCGTGCTCGAGGATGGTTATATACTGTAGATGATGTCTGAAATGGATCTATAAGATAGTGCATCGAATCTAAATGATGGTCTGAAGCCTTCAATATCGTGAAGTTGCCTTGAGCTTCCTTGTTCTTGGGCTCTTTTGTTTTCTTTTTTTTTTTAAAAAAAAAGAAAAAGAAAAAGAAAAAAAACATGCCTGCAGAGTAAAAGTAAAGTAAATGGGCTTGACTGTTTGCATTCAACAGAGCTAGTTGTACTCGGCGAACAGCCACTATTATCAACCAAATTTATTCAGAATCGGCTGGAGATATACCTAGTCGTCCACGGCGAAAGATATATATCTCAGAATCGAACTAGTCGATAATCCACCTGACTGTTATCGTTCGTAGAAAGAACATAATTGACTGATACCGATACTGGAACCCTATGAATAGATCTAATTGGCCAAGAAATTGAGTGTTGGTACGACGTAGTGGTAAAGTTGGTAATATGTTACATTGTCCGGAACTTGGATTTAGTCCGCCGTAATCTAGGTGAGAATGACCCGGTACTAGCGGGCATGGCGACTCTTACGGAGTACACGATGTGGAATAAGGCATACCACAGGCTCATTGAATATCCAATTATGGTAGAGTAGAGTAGCGCTGTGCCCCACGTCCAATTCAGCCACTTCTTGGCATGGCATTTGCATGCCGTCAGACTCCGTCCTGCTCCCCAGTCCTACCCTTCTTAACATCTTATCATTTTACCGATTCATATTGTATGGACGACCTGCATCTAATACGCCAGGCAGAGAATCTGAGATGGACAAGGCATTTTGCTTCATAGATGGACTCCAACCTGACAGGGTGTCACGGAAACTGATGCGCCGTCACGTCATGAAGGGTAAAAATGCTGGGAAAAAGGTTCACCGAGCCTCAAGAAAAGAGCTATTAATGAATTTGCATCAGCCAAAACCTGTTGATGTTCCGGGCCTTTATGGCGGGCCCTGTGACGGTAATAAAAGCGTGGATCTGGGTCCAGTCGACAGGAAATTCGGCGATACCATCCTCACGAGCTCGCTTCCCCCGGTCGAAGTCAACCCATGGTCCCTAACTATTATCAATCAATGTGAGGGTCTGGACGCTCGACATGACCACATTAAAGCTGACACCGGCGTTCCAATCTTCGACCTGACTACTGAACGGCTATATCCCATCAGCCTTGGCTTTTCATTATGTGAAGTTAAGCTTCTATGGCTCCGGGTTCTGTTCACCGACGAGGCCGGTAAGATCGGATACTCGTATGGTTTAATATAACGCTAACCTAACCCTAGCCTATTATTGTAATATCAGTCTGATGCAGGCATGCAACGAAATATACCTAGGAAATGGCACCAGTAACACCAAAGCTTTGTACCACTTGTCCCAGTCACTCACCCAGATCCAAAGGAGGCTCGCAAGCTGCGATGCTCTCTCAGATTCCACTATGGGACTGGTTATATCTCTCATCACGCAAGAGCAAATCAGAGGTCAAGGTTCTGCTGCTGAAGTGCATGCCAAGGGGCTGCGAAAGATGGTGGAGCTGCGTGGAGGCCTCAGTGACCTCGATGGGAACCTCACCCTCGTCCTGAAAGTGTGCAAGTAGGTGGAGCCGTGAAAAGGTGTTCGGCGTTTGGCTAACTTTTGTGATTGAAGAGCAGATATAATGCTCTCTTTACAGTGCGGAAGACCGACAATGTTCTTCCGAGACCATATGGCTGAAGTGTGGACGAAGCTTGCCTCGAGTGGACACCGTCTCCATGGTGCTCCAGTCACACCCTGGAATGATTTGCATCCATATCTTCATGCCATACTTTCAGACATCATGAACCTCTCTTATCTACTGAACTGTGCTCCACGCCAGCCAATCCTTGATCTTTTGGGATTCGAAGAGACATTTGTTTCAATTTGCTATCGCCTACTGCGGTTTATTCCAATGCAGGACTCCGTCCGAGTCGACACTCAAACTGCGTGCCACCTTGGACTGCTCATGTTTACTATGGCTACATTTTTCCAAATCGGACAGAAGCGAATCATTGAGTTTAACATACTGTCTCTACGTTTCCAGAATTTCCTAACCAGTGACCGCTGCGAGGTCGCGGATAGCATGATTCTTTGGCTCATTACTGTTGGTGGCATTTGGTGTTCAAAGGATCTAAACAATGATTTAGTTACGTCTGAAATACACCTACTGGCTCAAAAGCAAGGAATTCGCAGCTGGAGCGAGCTTCGAGAGTATCTTGGGGAATTTCCGTGGATACATGCTCTACATGACCAACCTGGCCTTACGCTATGGAATCAAGTGCAGCGCAGCCATTAGACATTGAGTATTTAATCTGAGCCTACAATCCCACTTGGCTTTTTCCAAATTAATTGAGGTCGCGCCCAAGGGACTACTCACCATGTGAAAGTCTGTCCGACCAATTGCTCAGAGACATCCCAGAGCTTCTCAGCCTCCTGACTAGACACTGCAAGAGGGTGAGCGTTACCACTAATCTGGCAATTATCCAGGTACGATCCCCAATTTTCACTCCCGTCTTTCTCTTTTCCGACACCGTGAGCCAGCTTCGGGTCCAACGCGGCGACCAAGCTAGTAGAAGCTCCCGCGCCCAACGTCTTTGGTTTGAAGATGCTCTTTCTCAAGTCAGCAAATGCTTCCAGATCTTCCGGCGACATGTCCCGGCCCAGCTCAGTCTCTATGACTCCCGGGTGTAAGGACAGGGTCAAGATTCCGTACTTCTCGAACAGCCGCTTGTTTGCAGCGATTCCGAAAAGCACATTTGCAACCTTGCTACGGTTGTAGCCATCGAGAGGAACATACGAGGCTTCTTCAATGTCCCGGCATCCACACATCGCGAACCACTGATAGTCAGGCTGTTCTTCCTTTGGCAGGTCTTTGTTCTTTGTGTCGAAGTTTATGTCACTCCAACGCACACCGGACACCTGAGGCGAAGCAGAGCTTACGTTGACGATCCGTGTGGCGCCAATGGGGTTGCTCTCGGCAGCTTTGATCAGCTTTGGCATGATCAGACAGGCGAGGAGCCAGTGTCCCAGGTGGTTGGTTGCAAAGTGCAGCTCGATGCCATCCTTGCTTAATGTGCGTTCCTGTATGCCCATTATTCCGGCACTGTTGACAACAATGTTGATCATGGGCACGTCAGCCCAGTTCAGGACCTCGGTAGCTGCATTCCGAACCGATTGCTGATTGGAGAGGTCCACGCAGAGGCCACGATAGTTCACAGCAGGGAACTCAGCTCTGAGGGCGCTGATAGAGTCCTGGATTTTGCTGGGGTTGCGACCGGTGATAATGAGAAGGGAGGGCGATTGAGAGGCCTGGTCAGTCAATATGGGCGACGTGTATGACACACAGGCGTGGTAACTTACGAACGCTTGGGCCGTCGAGAACCCGATCCCACCGCGATTGACACCTGTCACTATAATAGTCTTGCCACGGATCCTAGAAGCAAATGCCTCTGCGACCTCGAGGGCTTCGGTCTTCTTGTTGAATTTGGAATAAGTTGTAGTAGCCATTTTGCGTATGTCTTTGAAAGGTGAGAGGCAGGTTATCTATGGGAACAAGGGAAACAAAGACACTTGCACTGTCGACTAGGGTCTCCTTTATCGCAGCAGAGACGGCGCCATTTATATCTTCCCTGGGGGTTGGGCATATGCTTCCAATGTGGTAGTAACATGAGCCATGAAGCTCGATTGAACCAATGAGAGACTCACTGCCGATTTTGGATAAGCCGTATCCCGCTCAGCCAATGAGAGATTGATTGCCTGATCGGGTTAAGACGACCTTAGCCCTGAGGTCACGAGGCTTCCGACGACTAGTAACAAGTAAGACTACTAGGAGATGTAGGCAACGAGTGGCCGAAGCAATATACCTTGGTTTATCTATGGTTGTGCATGCCCTAGTTACGCATGGAGATCAGAAATGGTCCTTACTCACTTCAGTATCCGAGAGCAGGCTGCTAATTTCGTCAAGCCCATTAGAGTCTGGTTTAAAGCAGGAAACAGCCAGCTTTGCCAAAATAATCCTGGTTTCAGTGATACCCATACTGATATTGTGTGAGCTCAAGCAGCGGGCAAGACCATTTACAGCATCTAAAGGTAGCCCTAATAAGCCCCAAGTTTAAGGACTATAGTATCTAAAGAAAATATCCGCCGTACTATCCGTCGCGAGATACGAACTCACGTCCCACCAAACTATATGCATCCGGAGTAGATCTTGAATGGTTGGGGACTCATACATAGTTGCGATATATATTTTGCACTAAGGCTGCAAGCTCATGGACTGCATGTTCACCCTTTCGTTTCCTTCCATACTATGATCGTGTCTGTGACTATTTCTACTGACGCCGACCAACCCAGTACAACATCTCGCTCTCCAAGTCCTGGTTTACTCTGATTATGAATTTCGGACGTGGCAAAATATTTATGAATAATCCGTGCCCATGGAGACAGCATTCACGCGCTTCGCCCAGAAGAGTACTGGCCAAGTACGTCTAGCAGGATTGTTCTTTCTCATAGTCTGTATGGCCGCTCGCTTGTCATGTGATATTTGCAGCTCAGACGAACTGTTGGATGTGGCTGATCTTAATATTTGAATTCCTTTATTCGTGTATGCCTCTTATTCCATCGGTGCCGTGATTGTCTTACAAAACCTTAAATTTGTCCTGGCTATAGACCAGTCTCTCGACACGGAGCTCCCTCGAAATCCTGGCAAGACAACAGAACAACTTCACTTAGCAAAGCAAAGTGCGTTGCCTTCCGTAGACATTTTGCTGCTGTGTTGTCGGGAGCCACTGGATATAGTTCTAGATACTATACGCGCTATTTGTGTCATCGACTACCCCTAGTCCTCATTTCGGGCTCTCGTCCTGGATGATGGAAATTCAATCCAGTTGCGACAGGGGGTGGAGGAGCTACGCTGTACGTGGCCATATCTCCTCTACTACACCAGAGGGTTTATGCCGACCCAAAAGGTCGTTGCTAAAGCAGGAAACCTAGACTACGCCCTCTTTGACATCTATGGGAAGATGAAACAGCCACCCGAATTCATCGTCGGATTCGACTGTGACTTTTTTCCTGCGGCAAACTTCCTGCGTGTCGCACTTCCCCATTTACTGAAAGATGATACTGTTGGACTAGTGTGTGCACATCAAGACTTTTATAACCTACCCCTCGGAGATCCGCTCCACCAAGATCTGGTGTTTTGCCGGGAAGTCATTTTTCCTAGAAGAAATGAATTGGGCTCAAGTATAGCAACTGGCTCTGGGTTTGTTATGCGCCGCCAGTTAGCGGTCCAAGTGGGGGGGTTTTCTACGATCAACGAAATTGAGGATGTTACATTATCAGTCATCCTACCAGCACATGGAAAGCGTGTACTAGCCCTGCAAGAGATGCTTCAGCTTGGACGCGTGCCGCCCTCCTTGGAAGGCCACGTCCGGCAGAGGCGACGGCGGGTGACTGGTTGTACCCAAATGATCGCCACTCCCTGGGCGGCAAGTAGGGAATCCATTCCCTCTGCCTCGAGGACCCTTCTGACATGCATTGGTTTCGTGTGCCTTTGGGTACCTCTACGTCAGAGTGTCGGGTGTTCTATGATCATTCCTGCTTTGATATCAGGGAGACCTCTAGTGCCAGGCGTGTTCCTAAGACTTTAAATTACATTGTCTCTGGTCACCTTCGGGCTTGTGTGGCCATGCGAATGGCTTAAGGCGGCAGCAACGGGATTTCGACTATCAACGTTCGCTCATTTACATGATCTTTGGATGTGTGCTGGTAAGTCTGTTGCATATGTCGGTGCTTCAATGCGAATGACTAACAGGTTTGCAAGACCAACTATGCACTGTCATTCGGTTTCATGTCTTCAGGTCGCAGAGCGGAAGCTGTCTAGTGACGGGAAACTCCCAGAACAACTGGAACAACCCTAACAACGTGTCCACCCGACTTGTACAGCTCAATTGTGACTTATGGGATTCTGCAGTTGCCTTCTGTCTACTTTTCACGCTTGGGACCCTTGCCGGAGTAATATATTCCGCCGTAGCCTGCACGAGAGCAACTCCGACTCGCAGATTCATGCAATGACTACCCTGCTCTTCCCTCCTGTTACCCTCATATGCTGCATAACATTGTCCTGCCATATGGCCGCACTTCAATGTGTGATTTGGCCGCCTCGTTATCCCCTTTGTGAGGTTACCCTAGACACACATCCAAGTGATGCCCGTGCAGTATTTCCTTGTGAGGAAGTCCGACAATACAATGTCCGGCAAAGGCTGGCACCTCTTGGGTATTGTGGACATTTATTGCTCATCCTGGCTTATACCACAACCATGGTCATTTGTCATTTTCTGTATCTTTGAGATCAGCTGAGGAAGGGGCTACAATAACAATAATTGCCTCGGCATTGCAGAGGGCATGAAGTGATATTCACATCTCACAGATTTTATAGCTGATCGCAAATGTCATAGCAGCTCTACTTCAAAATAGTGTACCGGCCATATTGCGTCTCAATTATCTTCCCTGCTGGCTGAATGAATAGACTCTCGCGGCTCTGGTTTGTGAAAACATGTCTTGGTAGGTAATTAGCACCGTGTGTTGAGCTAAAAAGTCGAGATGAGACGTAGGTTAGTTAGTCCAGTTCGGAGAGTAAGTTAAAGTACTGCAAAGTGATAGTTGATTACTACTCCAATCACTGTTTCTATCTATATATCTCGCTTAGCACGTTTAATGTACTAGCACCGAACTTGATGCTTTCCATGATGTAGCTCAGAGAAGCCGCCGGACTATGGAAAACCATGCAATACCTACTCATAATCCGCAACCTCTTCAACAATTTGATCTTCGTGAACCTCGAATGCGTCGTCACCGTAGCTCTCGTCGCCCTCGGCCTCGTCACTCTGACTTTCCACGCCATCAATGCCCGCAACGCCGATCGTGGCATTAGAAAAGGTAGCCTGATAGACCAAATCTCCCACCTTTGCTCCATCAGGAATAAAGATAATCTCACCACTGGCAAGACGGTAGTAGCCACTCGTGTCAACCTCTTCCTCACGCTTCGCTGGTCCTTTCTTGGTGTATTCGTTCCCGTCGTTCTTGCAGTTTGGCTTCTTCTTGCAGTACTTGTACTTACTAAACCTTTTGAAGCCAATTTTGAACTGGCACGGCGCCTTCCCCTTGCACCCTTTGTTCTTGAAATCCCCACGAGAATAGTAGAAGTTCTGCAGGACAGCCCCTTGGCCTGGACTGTGTTAACCACTGTTTCGTAAAAATGAAAGTATGGCTGAACTAACGGCTGTTGTAGTGGCTCTTGACGCATCGGTTCACCTGGTTGCCTTTGTCTGCCTGCTTGACAGACTTGAACGGAAACTCGTCACACTGGTACCCTTTGCCATAGGGTGCTTTGCTGCATCGGTTGCCAGACCCACAGCCCGCGCCACGGCTACGCTTACCCTCGGTCGACCTATTGGGCTTGTCCCAGGTAAGCGTAGTGCCGAGTTTCTTGCATTTTGCCCCTGGCAATAGAAGGTTATGTTTTTGTTCCCTATATCCGAACGGGGAATCATACCGTAGCACATATTCAGGCACGTATCTACGTACAGTTAGTCTCTCAGCTCTGGCTCCTCATAGATCAGTCGAGAATTGGGCCGCATACCGCCGACCTGTCCATCAGAGCAATCAAAGGTCAGAATCTTCGCCGTGGCAGCTGCCACCTGTGCGTCTGGAGCCTGAGTGTCGGGGGCTGGTGAGCCGAGTGAAAGGGCACACAGACCAAGCCATAGCAGGAAGGGCTTCATGATGCCGTCTTTGCGATTGGGATAAATTCTTCTCTAGAAATGTGGGATTTGCGAGCCTTGTGTTGCTGCTTTGGGTTCGTTTATGATGGTAGCTGGCGGCCTATTTATGTCTTTCCTTTTCTTCTACTAGCCCTCCATCTCAGCTCAGAGAGCCGCGGAAAAGATCCCGTGCTCACTCATCCTCACTTGCACGCGGCTGTGTATTGACCTGATAGCAGAGTCACAGAGTGACAGTCCTGCATGTGCGCTAACTTGAAGGCGCGAAATGGTGTAACATTCATGCTGCAGGGCGCCTTGAGCTATTGATGACCGCATTGCAGGTTCGGGAGTACATGCTGATCATCTATGTCCATGGTAGTATTGAATAGGGGCATCTTTGTTTCCTGGAGTGCACATTGCTGTGTTTACAGTGTGATTGCTTCTTTCATGGCTGTGCTTTGATGGCCAGAGTGTTTGTTGGCTGAGTCAGACGCCCGAATAGTCCGCTAGATGTCTTATCTGGGTGCGTATGGACCTGCAGATCGTAGGATGATCAAATACGCCATATACCTGTCTCTCTTAAGTAATACGCACGTCAGGCACCCCCCACGCGACAGTATGAGAGGGTCCAAAGTAGCTCAGCGGTGAGGAGAGGGTTACATTGAAAGGCACGGCAATTACCCTATTAGGCTAGTCGGCCATGATACCAAAGTGACAAACGATCGATGCCGAGAGAAAAGGCAAAAGCAAAAAGAAGAAAAAAGGAGGTGGAGAAAAGAAGAGGGTCAGCAATAAGCCCTAGAAGGAAACCAAGGCTGTGCCCTTGCAGGGTTCATGTTATAACCTTGGTACTAGTATCTATGCTTATGGATTAGGTCAGAGCGGAAGAGAGTGCCTTTGGACACTAGCCAATCATTACCCCTGTATGATCATGGCCATTCAATTGGATTTGAGGATAATCTGGGATCTCATCGCCAGCCTCACTGCCGACGAGTACGAAGAATTAGGGTTGACCCGATCGGAAAGCAGCCCTATTGGCCCGCATGGCTGCCGCCTGACCTCTACCTAAAGGTGACATAATTCAACTTACAACCCCTGCATATATTTGCTGCTACGGAAAGTCAGCTGTTGGAAATCTTCATTTCCACCTCCAAAGCATCGACCTGTATCAACGGCAGTCTGGAGTCGAGACCTGGCAAAATAAACCTGTCACATATTATCCCAACCAAAACAACCACTCCGCCCTAGCCAAGACCATGTCCCTCGACCTTTCACTCCCGCCCACTTGCCCCGCTCTCTGTGGTTACGGCGATTACAGCTGGGACCAGGCCACCTTCGCCCTATACACACTTATTGACCTTTCACCAGAGGAAACAACCAAGCTACTGTCCATCCTAAACAAAGAATGGCTCGAAGACAGTCCTAACCCGATTGTTCGCACCCCAAAAGTCCACAACCTAGCCGGTAAAACCCTCAAGGACGTCGTCCAGGCTCATGTGAACCTTGACAAGGAAATCAGCCCCGTCTCCGGCGGCGAGGCAAAGGGGGACTTAGGCTGGTATCCAACGGCGTTCATCGTGGTGACGACGCGAGACTGGGTCAATCGGGGATTACTCGTTGTATATCTGGATGATACCGATGATGAGGAGGGCAATAAGCCGGATCCGGAGGTTCGGAGAATGGATAAGTTTTTCTTTGAGGTTGGGGATGCGTCGCTGTTACTGGCGAGCTTTAGTTTCGGGGACTTGGCTTTTGTGGATGCTAAGGAGCAGTATGGGCTTGAGTAGGGGGTTTTGGTTCCTTTCGGGAGTTTTGGTGGATGCGTGGGCTCTTCGACAAGAGTTGCATATGTAGGAAATAGCCTTTTGTATGCCGTGATGTTGTTGAGTGTGGGATTTTGCTTGGCCTCTATTGCGAGGGGATGGGGCCTGTATGCCTAGGGGTTAGGGTTCATTTTATCCACTGCTCTCCATAGCCAACAATTTGATAATGAGGAAATATCTGCCAATCAATGAAAACCTCGGACGCACCTCTTCGAGTCAACGAAAACGCCAATGTCGAATGCTAGTCTGACTATGAACCACTTTGCTCTCTACTCCTATATCTAGATCTGGACGACTGCGAAGAGGAACGATTTCGAGACGAATCAGTACCCTGGAATGTGATTTTACTACCTGTTGACCCATGATTAGTTAGGGTATAGCTTGCGTATACCGTCGTTATATAACCTGAGAAGCTCCTCCTCTATTACTTTGGTTGGCGAGCGTCTATCTTCTGTTTTTTTCCACATCAAAATACGGAGAGGTTTGCTTCTCAAGCCCCCCGCGTTTGCCAGATAGTGGATATTTTCACGCCACGCATTTGCTCTCTCATATTTTCCTGGACATCAAGAGACCACCATACACTGCGAATAACAACCAATAATGAAGATCTGTGTTCTGCACTACGCTTCGGAAAGTCGCGTCGAGGACACGGAAGGATTGTGGTCTGATCCTGGCCTATTTGTCGCTGAGCACACGTTTGAGCATCGATTATCAAAAAGTACACCTCAGAGGCTCAAATCGATGCCGTTGTCGCCGAAGGCTTTGATTTCTATATCAACTTCATGTGGGGCATGCTTGACAACAACTTCGCCGGTATGGCTGCAATTAAATACCTGGAATCTCTGGATCTTCCATTTGCAGGCATCCAGAGTTTCGAAAGAGAGCGGACCAAGTTCAAGTTTTGTGTTGAAGCTAGACGCCTTGGAACCCCAGCCGTGCCGCGTACTACCAACTTCCCTTTATTTGTCAGGCCGGCAATTGATATGCCACACAGAAGAAGAACTGGCATTCACGATCAGTCGCTTGCATGGTAAGATGAGGGCTGTCCGGAAACGAAGAGCAATAGCACTAGGTGTAGACGATCCAGATGACTATGTGCGAGAGTGTGAGGCTGCCGGGAGAAATAGCAGCGACCTTGTTATTCAGGAATTTATCGATGGAGAAGAGTACGCTGTAGCTGTCCTTGCAATGGGCGACCTTCCTATCCCTCTGAGTCCCCAGGTTATCAAGCACACGGAAAGACTCCCTGGCAAGGAACAGTTTAAACCTTTGATGCCAAGTTCGACTCTAGGACTACCTATGAGCTTGTAGATGAAGAGAGCTCCCTCGAGGTATATCGGCATCTCCAGAATACGGCAGTGGAAGCATTCCGGACGTGCCAAATGCATACCACCAGGACGGGCTGCGATGTTGATCTGCGGGTTGGGTCTGACGGGACGGCATATGTTATCGAGGTTGACCCTCTCTCTGTGCATTTCTTGCCCCCGGAATCGCTATTGGAAGACAAGGATGTGGACCGAGATCTACCTGGGGACTACAGGGCTGCTGTGAATATCTTTATTACTAACTACTACCTCCACTACCCAGAAAAGAGCGCAGACAAGAGACGGCAATTGGCAGAGTTGCATGACCAGGAAGCTCCGTGGTACGATACTCTGCAATTAAACAACTCCATTATACTGCAGATCGCAGATACCCTATCAGGCAGTGTGCTAGACCTTGAATGTGGAACTGGGGTTCTAGGTCACATCCTCCGCGGAAAGCAATCACAACCACATCATATCCCCGGACTTACCGGGGTAGATATTTCCAGAGGTATGCTGACTGTGTATAAACAGGGTGGATGGTGTGATGAAATCGTTTTTGAAGATATGTTGCGGTTTCTAGCTCACTATGATACGCAAGTAGACAATGTCTTTTGCTTGTCTGCGCTTCACTTCTTTCTCTACAGAGGAACTAGATTTTATCCTTGCACGATGCTTCTTACTCGCCAAGCGGTCGATTATCCTAACGATCGATGAAGGCCTCGATAGTGTGTGTCCTAACATGAAGCAATACCTCCCAATATCTGACTACGTTACTAACCATGTAAATAAAACCAAATCTTTCGCGTTACCCTTCAGTTGGAGGTTAGCTTCTGAGATACGATGCGAGTCTTAAGAAATCGGGCTCTACGCGCAGAGCGACTACTTTCATCTTTACACGAGGAAGCGCCCTGGTATGTACAGCCTGACGTGTCCTAGATAGTGTCAGTGTTCATCTCAAGTTGCCCATGTGAGTGAAACAGTCTCCTTGTATATGGTCGACCGTGCTTGAGTATCATACATATACAACACTCCATGTGGGCAGGTGCGGCACAGTGGCAAAATGGCCAGAATGGTCCACGGGAATCTCTACCCAATTTCCGTCATTGAATATACGAACTTGCTATCGGTCAACTGGAACGCTTCAGTCGCAGCTCGGCACAAGGTTGGGTCGCCTGTAACAATTCTAGCCGGGTGTGGGGCTTCGATCGGCAGCGGGAGAAACGGGGGTCTTTCGGCGTAGGGAATGGAGAATTGAAACACCACTCTCGCTCACATAGACAAGTATCCCAAGAGATACTATATTACCGTGGTTGCACGCAATAGTATACTACAGGAGGCGTGTGTCAAGAGTACAGTACAGGATGCTATCCCGAGTTCCGGTCCATCCCGCCAGCCACACCACTACGATACAAATCTTAACAGAGCGAACGACGAATTGCTAATATAGCAGAGGATTGTAGAGCTGTACAAGGACAGCTACCTGAGCAGAAAGGAACCATAACCTTATAGGCTGTATAAATAAGTTTTAGGCTCACACCAGTCTTCTACAGCTATATATACAGTTTGAGACACAGTGAATTGATAGCGCATATAATAATCTTGAGCTGGTCTCGAAGTTTCTACCTCCCACACGTTCCCTATTCCAAGTAGCTAAAACTCAGTTCAAGGGCCTCATAGAGTCCATTCAAGGTGCCCAGCAACAAGCATAACACTCTGTCCAGCTGCTGCTTTTGGCAGGTATACGCCGTCTCTTTCGCTCCTTACAATTCCCACCATATATCACCATCCAACGGGTGATGTATATCTAAGACATTATTCGATAGATCGGGTACTCATCGGACTTCTTCACTGGCACAATGTTGAACGAGACATAGGAGTCAATGTTCTCCGGCTCTAGTGCCACCATCGCCAGCGCCGCATTTTTCTGTCTTGTGCTCACGCGAAAGCTACCTTTCGACAGCCTTAGCTCGCGCTCACTGGCTTCCGTCGTCGCCGTCACGCGAATTACGCCCTCGTAGTAGGAGGTGTCTACCTCGGCCGATGTGATCGTTAGCACCTCGACGGTCCCCTCAAACGGCTGGTCCAGTGTTTCTACTTCCAAACCAGCACTTCAAGGCGCTTGGCGAGGTCGGCCCAGGCCACGGGGATAAGGTAGGCCTCAGGGCGGGAGCGAGTGAGGTTAGCGACGGCGGGGGTCGTTGATGCGAAGCGTACGGGAGGGTAGACCACGCTACCATTCTTCACGTCGACCATAGTGAAGGGGCGAATCTCAGTCTTGCTGTAGTCAGTGAGGATAATATCGCCGTCCGACGCGATAAACTCTTTGATGCCGTCTTCGACGGTCTTGAACACCTGATCGGCATTATCGGCCGCAGTCTGGACAATACTGCCCAGCATGGTCAGGCCGGCGGCAGTGCGTCGCTGGAACTCCTGGTCGGCGATGGCAATGCCACGCATCTCAAGCAGGAAGACAACGGCCTGGGTGAGGCCCATAGCATTGCGACCAATCTTGCCATCAGTGCCCGCCTCGGCGAAGTCGGCGACGAATTCGGAACCCGAAGCAGAAGAGCCGGTCACATATGGCTCGGCACGCAGACCAACGGCTTCCATATCTTCACCGATATTCTTCGCGAAGAGCTCCTCGGCGAGGTTGCGGATCCGCTCATTGATATTGAGGTTCTTGGCGGCCGAGTACAGACCGTCGGACCCGTGGACGTACTGCCCCTCGCCAAAACGTGACGGCGCACCATACTCGTGCATATCGACTACAACATGGGGATTGAAGTTGTTCATGAGCTGTTTGATATCACGCGTCTGTTGGCGAGCAAGCTTGATATGATCGCGATTGGGGTCATAGTTCGTCGCTAGAGTGCGCTGGAAGTAGAAAACACCATCGGGATTATATCTCGCAGAACGACGAGTTCCACCTCGTCAAGAATCGAGGCAGCCCACTCCTGGTCCTCGTCGAACTTGCCAAGGAGCGCAAGTGTGGCCTCGTCGCCCGCGGGCTCGTTACCATGAACGGCGCCCTGGATCCACACGCGCACTTTAGAGGCGGAACCATCGCGGCGGAGGGAGCTGCTGCGACTGGCGGAGAGGTGAACGTAGGGGAAAGAGCGGCCCTCCTCCGAGGTGAAGTTCGCAGTGCGATAGGTCATGTAATCGTTGCGATCGGCCAGTTGCTCGAGAAATGCCTCTAATTACGGGTCAGTCTCAATAACCCAGTGCGCATCCTCGATGGTAGTACACTTACCCATGTCATTTTGAGAGGACGACCCTTGAGTGCCGTTGGGAAAACCAGGAAGCCGGGCATTGGGTGTAACAAAAGCTGGGGACAGGAGCTTAACATTGTTGACGTTCTCGAAAGCACCGGCGACTATCTCAGTGTCCGGCACGACGGGAACGTGGTTGTATCCATACATAACAGCACTCGCCATAGAGGCAAGGCCGAGAGAGAGACCGGTGGAGGCAATGGTTCTCATCTTGAAGTGGAATTGTTTCTACAGACCCTTTTCATGCGAGACAAGCGGTGAAGTAGCAGAAGAGAGACAGACGGAACCAGACTAGAATGCTTCAGAGCAGATCCTTCATCCTTTATGTACTTTCCCGCGCCCGTCGCAGCCGTCGCAAAGCAACCTCACCGTCGGCAATCAGTCGCTCTGCAACTCCACGGCTTTCCTCCGCATCCCCTCATTTCTTGATTTCCCCGCTGCCTTTGGACGTACCTGGGTTGTGCCAAGAGCGGCGGTGGAAACTTGAGTTGCCGATATGGCCAGTCACATTCGTACAATCGCTTATCACCTCGCAGCCAAGCTCTGACCTCCCCAGTTACCGGCTAACTCCGCTGATACTCCGGAGTAGATAGTAGTTCTATGTAAACAAGAGATGGAATGCCCCTATAAATCCTATGCTCCGTCTATCGCACACTGCCCTCTCCTTGGGTCCGCTCCATCATGACTTTATGCGCAGTGAGGGCTAATGGCCTAGTACCAGCCGGCCTATAAAAGGCGAAGAGTTTTGTAGTGGCTCTTCGACAGACGATGGGTCTTTCTACCGAATCTAGTTATTTCATTCCATTTGAAAGCAGGACGAAGACATAGAAGGACTATGGGTTTCAACCTGGTACGGCGCGATAACCAACGAGACCGTCTTGTAGAATCCGCTCATTATATCCGGTAGATTCACTCCCTGACGTCCATGGCAGAACAGCTTCAACCTGGTCTCTATCTAATCAAGCAGGCTAGCCTTTGGTAACATATCTTCCCTGTGGTTGACTTTCTGAACAAACACGGCAATTGACGAGAGGGAGCAGGCTCTTAGCAGCCTTGAAGATGGGACCCAGAGTAGAACAATCGATGGCGGCCCGGTGATCAGTAATGTAATGAGGGCGATAATTGCGTTCGGTGACCACCCCATCTTCCGGATCGTGGAAGGATTTTCCGGGGGGGAGTGGTCCAGTGGGATGTATAGCTCCGGTTTAGTACACAGGGCCGATCAGAGGGTTCTAGTATACAGAAATAAAGATTACACAAAGCACGGATAATACAAGGCAAGTACTACGAATATAACTATAGTTGAGCAGCTATGAATTCAAGGGCTATAACTAAGAGGCAGCGTTTGGCTACACTTCCTCTTATGTATTTTTTGTATATTCGATGTGTTGGCCTTTATACACCCCACGCCTTTTGCAAATCAGCCGTGGAAGGAGAGAAAAAAGACTGCAAACTGCTCATCTGTATTTCAAGTACTAGCGATCACCAGCAGCAAGAAGTGGAACGTCAGGACCCGTTCAAATAACTCGATGCCAGCCCCCAACCCAGCAGTGGACTGGAAACACTCTGCAAAATGACAACCCACTGTATTGCCAAACAAATAGCAAAGGCAGCCCCAATCCAACCCCGAGTCCTCTTCCCGACGAAACCCCACAACGGGCCCATAGACAAACAGATCCTAATTACACGCCCAGGCGTACTCATCCTTATAGTCGATATAGAGACTCTTCGAGCTCTGACCCATCTTCGCGACCAAGGGGGCACAGGCAAAGTTGCTGATATAGATCGGCCCCGCATACTGGCTGAATGAACCGGAGTCCTTGTCGCAGTGCTTCCCATTCGTGTCGCACACGCCTATGTACATATATTGTGCTTTGCCGACATTGTTATCGAGGATGGCGCAGCCCTTATCCTTGCCGATATAGGTGTAGAGTGTGCCGAGTCGCTGCTTGGGGTCTGTGCCTTTCGGGAGGGGAACCGCTTTGTTCAGCTCGTATCCTGAGCCGCAGACCGTGGCTGCTCGCGCTGCTAGGCTGGCTTCGTGCGCTTCTCTGGTGTCTAGGCCTTCGGCGAGGGCCAGAGAGGCTGTGGAAAGGAGGGTGATGGTGTTGAGGAGCTTCATTTTGCTGGGAGGGAGGATGTACGGGTACTTGGGAGGGTAAAGGGTGGGACTTTGGAGAGTTTATATGTTCAAAAGTCAGTTAGATAAGGTTGAGGCTCATCTGTCATGAATTCCCAGAATAGCAGCCATTCCAGCCATACGAAGTGATCTGCAGAGCCTTGTGGGTGACTCTGTGGCAAACACGAGGATTGGACATGCCTATCTGGACCTCGCAGAGTCTCAGGATATTTTGATTGGGCGACTGTGTGCAGGAAACGGGGTAGTTTACTGAAGAATAGGTATTATTGGATGGCACCTTCTCCCATGGGGAAGGGGTGGGTCAGTGCTGCTGCCCCTAATTATGGTATACGAGAAGAGACTCGTATTGATGCATTCGCATATCACGAGGAAATTAATATATATTGTATATCAGGGGCCAAACGGTTGCACACCGTTACATCGTCTGCGCTTTCTTGGACATGACATAAGGAGAGACAGAATCTCCAAACGCATCGTTTTTCATGGACTAAGGCTAGTATTCTTCTGGGGTAGAGACGAACACCATTCCCAGCCTGAACTAATAGACTCGTAGTTACGTACTACAGCGAGTATAGACGAAAGTCACAATACCATTGCCTACTGGTACCTCGCATAAGGACATTTGAAGAATAAGTGAGCGGACGTTCGGGGCAATTTTCAAGCTGAGCAAGTTATTTCATCTGCTCAATGAATGTGACCGAGGCCAGAGGAGCCTCGCAAAGTGTGCCACGAAGATTAGACTAGAGAGGATACGAGCGGCACTTTCTCCACAAGCAGATACGATCGCCATCTCCGATGGAGAGCGCCTTCATCATTCTAATACGCAGATCATTTACTTCCTGGGTATTCCGCAAGGAGGACAGATCTAATTGACAGTCATTGGTTTGAAACCAGGAGCCCTACACGATCATTCCAGTGTCCACCGACAAAGAGCAGGCATTCCAGGCATGAACCTGGAAATGCGTCCCCGTTGCTGTTGCAGATATGGGTGGCGATCAGCTCGGCGCCATTGCATGGGCCAATACTGCCCTATACCTGCTGGCAGACAGCATGTGGTTGGCTCACACGATACTACCTGCGAGCAGCTCAACTTTGGCAATCTGACAAGCCCTCGAATACCTCTTCCAAGACTAATGAAGTATACCACACCGTGTATTCATCACGTGACCGCGATGGGAAATGATTGGATGCGGTCATCCCAGTGGAGAGACGGAAAATGGACTTTCAAAGGTACGGAATTGTATTGACGTGTCTGCAAAATCCATTTTAGACATGTCGGGGCCTGACAGGTCTCAGTGGGCATGGATGGACAGTACATCCCCTGTCGCTTCTAGGTCCCTATAAGTTGACCCCTTAAACCTCGACATAGGTCAAGGGTGGATGGTTATAATAGCGGAATGTTGACCTTTCCCATTGCGAGGTGATCTACACCATTTTTCCCGAACACGACTGTTGGACATAGCATCTCCTTACGGTCGCTTTTGACTTCGGGAGCTGCTACCCGCACGGCGTCCAGCCTTACGGGGCACACTCTGTTTCTGCACAGCGAAAGATATTTCTCCAAAGAAATATCTCAGTTCTGAGAAAGATTTCTAATCTTCTAGATAAAATCCCAACTCCCAAGACTCATAGTCGTGTCCCCTGATCTATGTTAGGATGGAGGGGACCTGGCATTTGCGGCCTGGAATCGGATATCATTGTCTCTTGGAGTGCGCAACCATGTGGGGAACTTGTGCCACTCTTAGCACAACGATTCAAGGCAGTGATCGGCAGTCGCTGTGTTTAGGCTGATCTCATAGGAGGCCTTCCGATTATCAGATAGTAAATATGGAGCGGCAGCATGGCGGGGCAGCTGAATGGCGGGGCCTTGATGAACTGGCAGCCAAGCAGCCAAGTCTGGTGTACAGTATTACCCCTCCTACAATGTGCCCCCAGGGTATTTATATCTCGTTGTCCCGTGGGAATTGCTTTCCTTCTTCCTGCATCTTATCTTTCTCTTCTGATCTAAATTTTCAAAAAGCAAGCCACCATGTCTTTCCACGAATCGTGTCTGGACATTCGTATCGAAGTCCGTGACGGTTACACTGTACTTCTCGCCGGAGCTGGGGTTGGTGGTGACGAGTATGTTCCTGCGGAGTTAAATCTTGACGATGGCATCGGTAATAGTGATGGTAAGGATTATAGATCTTGAGGAGCTGTGAGGGTCATCTCTAATCTAGAATCGTCCCAATGTATATAGGTTTCTTCAGCCGGGATGGCGCCAATTTCACAGACAGCGCTCAAAACATTGATCTGTCATTCCGGGACGATGGCGTTTGGTTAGAGGCAGATCTTCCAGAAGTTGATGGGGGGGAAAGAGGGCGCCAGGGCATCAACTTGTCCCAACACATCGAGAACCAGGGTGGCAATCTTGTCTTTATTGTAAGTTGGCTATAGAGCCTTATGAATCCGACTGTAATACTGCCATGCTAACCTGTGTTCTTCCGTTGACAGTAATGGAGGAATAAACTAGTTATATGATTAGCTGGAGACTGCTGGACATAATCTTATTCGGTGTTTTTGTTTATAGTCCATACTGTGGAGTAGTCATACTAGAATGAATATAACGGGTAGTCACGCTTAGGCAGATTCTTTTGGGCTTCTTTTTTTTTTCACGCATGATATTGGACATAGTCTACTCCGCGGCTAGGCGCAGGAACGGTAACCTGAGAGTTAAACCAAAAAAAAAAGGGCACGATCTTTAACGCTACAGACTGTAGTAAGTATCCTTTTCATTGTACAAAATTATAAAGCTTACACTGCCAAGGGCATGCAGAATATATACTGGTCACGACTTTGTTGAAGTGTAGATACAGTGTAGCGCCAACCTGGTAGAAAGTATATATCTTGCTCCGAGAGGGGCTCGGGTGCCGAGTCACCCGAGGATAAGCATAATCCACAGAACCCTGGTCTCTCGCAGTCAGAAGTACAAGTCATGACTGACTTCATAATTAAGCTATCAATCTATCAGATCGACAGGCGACGACGCCAATTCGCGGGGTCTCCAAGGAAGGATTCCGCGCGTCCCGAGGGAACCCGTCGGACTGCATTCCGACGTTCCGAGCAGCGATATGTGGCTTATCTCAATATGGAAATTGTTACGCTGCCTTCATGCATAATAAGCGCGCCTCGTCCTACCTCTTGTCTTCTTTCTTCCTCAGACTCTCATCAGATTCACATTAACCATGGCGCCTCATCCCCTTGCCATTCTCTCCGAGGAGGAGACAAACATTGCCCGCGACGTCGTTGTCGCTGCCCACCCGAACACAGTCCTTCACTTCCGCGAGATTTACTTGTCGGAACCTCCCAAAGACCAACTTCAAGAGTTCCTGGCTCTGGAACATGCTGGACGTCTGAGTCCCACCACTCCGCGTCCCGCTCGTCTGGCCTTGTGTCAGTACGACGTGATCAGCGGCGACCGCATTCCAGTCTATCAAGAAGCGGAGATCGATGTGAACACCCGCAAGCGTGTGCAGCACAAGATTATTGGAAAGGAGCATCATGCTGCTTTAACCCTGTACGTCTCGACCACACTCAATCATTGTCCACAGATGACTAACAAGAACTCACAGGGCCGAGTTCGATGTTTTGGTCGAGCGCTGCCTCGCGTCCCCGTTGTTCCAGAAAGCGATGGCGGACTTCGACCTCCCCGAGGGCTTCGAGGTGGTCATTGAGCCCTGGCCATACGGTGGCCGAGACTATTCCGATCCCAACCGGCGGTTCTTCCAGGCCCTGTGTTTCGCCACAAACGCCGCCAAGAATAACGCAGATGCGAACTTTTACTCGTACCCTCTGCCCATCATCCCCGTGATGGACGCCGTCACCCAGGAAATTGTCCGCATTGACCGTCCCGCGACGGGAGGTAAGGGCGAGGGATTGCACGAGCAGACCTTCTCCCGGGACATCATCGGCCATTGCAAGGACTCCGACTATGTGCCAGAACTGCTTCCAAATGGAAGCCGGAAAGACCTGAAGCCGCTGAACGTGGTGCAGCCGGAAGGCCCTTCGTTTAAGATCACCAACGAATCGCTCGTCGAATGGCAGAAGTGGCGGTTCCGTGTCGCGTTCAACCCGCGCGAGGGCGCGACGATCCACGATGTCTGGTACGACGGCCGTAGTGTCATGTACCGACTGGCTGTTAGTGAGATGGTGAGTTAACTGGCTTTGGGCCCACGCCTACGGAAGTACTGACAGCAGTAGACCGTCCCATACGCCGACCCGCGGCCCCCGTACCATCGTAAGCAGGCTTTCGACTTCGGCGATGGCGGCGGTGGTAACATGGCCAACAACCTGTCTATTGGTTGCGACTGCCTGGGTGTCATCAAGTACTTCGATGCCGTCATCACCGGCGCAGATGGAAAGGCCCAGAAGCTGCCCAATGCAATCTGCTTGCACGAACAGGACAATGGCATTGGCTGGAAGCATTCCAACTGGCGGACAGGCCGCGCTGTCGTGACTCGCCACCGGGAGCTCGTCGTGCAGTTCATCATCACCCTCGCAAACTACGAGTACATTTTCGCCTACAAGTTCGACCAAGCCGGCGGCATCACGGTCGAGTCGCGTGCCACGGGGATTCTGAACGTCGTCAACATTGACCCGGGCAAGACGAGCGATTACGGAAACGTGGTCAGTGGAGGTGTCCTGGCCCAGAACCACCAGCACATCTTCTGTGTCCGGATGGACCCTGCCGTGGACGGGGCGAACAACTCCGTTGTCATCGAGGAATCCCACCCCGTGCCAATGAACGAAGCTACCAACCCCAACGGCAACTACTACAGGGTTACGAATCAGACGATCGAGCGCGCCACTTATCTGGATGCCGCCCCGCAGCTGAACCGAGTGGTCAAGATGGTCAATCCGAACAAGACCAACCCGATCAGCCAGAAGCCTGTGGCGTATAAATTCACCCCGCTGGCCACCCAGACGCTCTTGGCGGATCCGAACTCCATCCAGGCTCGCCGTGCCCAGTTTGCCCAGCACCATGTCTGGGTCACCAAGTACCGGGATGCTGAGCTGTATGCTGGCGGTCGCTACACACTGCAGAGCCAGGTCGAGGTAGACGGGGTGGCAGACGCCGTCAAGCGAGGAGATGCCGTCGATAACACAGATGTCGTTGTGTGGAGCACGTTCGGTATCACTCACAACCCTCGGGTGGAGGACTGGCCCGTGATGTAAGTTGACCTTGCTCCCTCGTTGTTGGAAATCTAATGCTAACAAATAAACAGGCCAGTCGAGATCTTCCAGCTCATGATCCGCCCATCCGACTTCTTCACCGAAAACCCGGCGATTGATGTTCCGTCCGGCAAGAATGCGGCCTCTCGCGTCGTGCAGTCGGAATGCTGCCGGAACTCGCATATTTAGGTGACGGGACTGGAAGGATATCCCGCTTGATGATTTCTTACTCTCTGTACAGTACATAGTTAGCGTTGGGCTTGGCAGTTGCTGTACGGTCGGACTGCCAGCGTAAATAGGCCGATTTGGACTTTTCGAGCGATAGAAGCTTGGACCCGTGAATTCAATTATCTTGCATTTCAACATCTTGATTCTCACTGTGCCTTTTTGCCAATCACCCTGTAATTAACCTTGCAAAATAAGATCATACAGGGGACAAAAGGCCGTGAGCAAACCAACACCAACAAATCATATCGCATGCTCCTACGCGAGATGCAAATGACTCGTATCAAGTGCAAGCCTACCCAATGAATCCCCAGCACGGCGACCCCACATTCGAGACTAAACATTGGCTTGCATTAGAGCAACTGAATCCTGCGAAGTGAGGATAACCCGCAGAGCTACCCCTCATGGGAATGCCGTTGAAGCCGGAAGTTGGCTATTTTCCTACCTGTGCATTCTGTACAAGTTGTGTCTGTCTGTGTGGAGTTGTAACGTTGCAAAGATGTCGGCGTCGCCATATCGGACTCGTTCCAGTCGCTCCATTGTTACCATCAAACCCCAGTCCGATTCACCTGTAACGGACTCCTCTGACTCTGACAATTTATCAGATCCGTCAGACTCCAGCGACGCTTCCGACTCACCTGAAGCTCCCGTCGGGAACAAGAGCTCCTCTGCGCCGGCGGCTCGGGGTAAGCGGACCTCGTTGCCACTCCTGCCCGAGAAGACTAAAGTCAAGACTGGGCGTTTGGCATTTAGGAGCCCTGATAGAGACAGCTCTTGGGGGAGGGGCCAGGGGCTTCCCAAACAGGTGGAACAAGCAAATGAGACATTAGCAAAGCTTCGTGACAGACGAATAAAAAATCTCAATCGACTGAAATCCCTAGGCAGGGATCTACTAGTGGAAGGACTGCCAGACATAATCCGATGGGAAAGGAAAGAAGCCCAGTTAAGTGAAGAAAAAAGGGACAAGGTGAGCGAGGTGGAGATTGTGCTTATAAAGGTGCTGGAAGATCACAATCTGGAGACAACCATCGACGCACAGAAGGGGCTGGAAAAGGCAGCGGTCAATCGCAACGAAAGCACAACAATACAAGAAGAGAACATTCCAAGAGACACGCCAGAAGAGGCAATACCACGAGCAGAACGATTGTTGGTAGTCAAAGAAAAGAGAATACAGCGCGCATGGATGAACACTGGGGAAAGGCTGATCAAAGCCGAGAAAATCAGAAAGAGGATACTTCACGCGAAAGCCATACGAGACGTATTTGCGAGGGAGTTACACCTCGAGAGGTCTATTCCACGGAAGACCAAGGCCAAGGCTTCATCCAACGGTGCAAAGCCGTACAATGGCACGAAGCAAGCTCAGTTCTCATATGATGCGATTGATCCCGGCCAACTTAGGGTCCTTGTTCTGCATCCCGCGAAGAGCACCTCGTCTCCCCTTATCTGCACACTTCAGACCAAATCTCTAAAGGAAGGCCGCAGCCTCAACTATGCTGCACTTTCCTATTGTTGGGGGACAGATTTGGACCAGCGGAGACTGTTGATCTTCCAAGGCTCTAAGCAGAAGGCAACCAAGTGGAAATATGTTGCACGCTATGCCAAAGAGATACCAATTCGGAAGAACCTCTTCCAGGCATTGCTTCGATTACGAAGAAAGGACGTACCGATCGCTTTATGGGCCGATGCAGTATGCATCAACCAGGAGGACCAAAAGGAGAAGACAGAGCAACTTCAGCAAATGGCCACCATCTACCGGATGGCGAACCATGTGTGTGTTTGGCTAGGCGAAGCGGATAGCGATGGGAGAAGTGATCGTGCGATGGAGTTTATCACAAAGATTATGGACTTTGCATTTCTCGAGAGACTAGCGAACGACAAAGGACAAGCCGGGAACTGGTATGCTCTGGCCGAGCTGATGAGAGACCGCTGGTTCTCTCGTCGTTGGGTTGTCCAAGAGATCTCACTAGCGAAGTCGGCAGCAGTGCACTGTGGCACCAAGACCGTGCAATGGGCAGAATTCGCGGACGCAGTTTCGATTTTTGTAGCGACTCGGGACAAGATTAGAGAGTTGTTTGATTTTGAAACGTGGAAGGAGGGTCCCCAGACGTTAGGAGAGGTCCAGTCATTCGGAGCGAGTATTCTGCTTGAAGCAACAAGCAGACTGTTTTTACGAACACCGGGTGGTGAAATCCTTCGACCCCTCAAGGGAATTGAGGCTCTAGTTACCTCTCTCAATACGTTCGACACTGCCGACCCGCGTGATATCGTGTACAGCCTTGTGTCCATCGCCAGCGATACACGAGACGTTGCTGCTTATGTCGATAAGAAGGAGCGCGAGCAACAACCCATATCCCATCAACTCGTCATTGACTACAGACTAGATGAGATTGAAGTTTACCAGAACTTCACTAGATACTGTATCGAGACGTCAAAATCGCTGGATATCATTTGCCGCTCTTGGGCAATGCCACCGAAGACCGCAAAAGGATCCTTGCCCTCATGGATTCGGCTTCTCCGTGATTCCGAGTTCGGCGAGCCGGAAGAGGTCTATGAGGGACGAAAGAACGGAGAATCTCTCGTAGGGCCCGTGGGCAATTCACGCTATAGTGCCTCTGGTGGTACGCAGTTTGAGCCGGTAAGGTCCGGAATGGAGAGACAGGACACTCATCAAAAAGACGGTTCGCCACTACATGCGCAACAGGAAACGCCATCGACCTTGATGGTCAAGGGGTTCAAGCTGGCCAGCATTGATCATGTATCACTGGTAAATGCACCAGGCTTAATTCCACGAACATCCCTACGGGACATAGGTGGCTGGCCGGGCATTAGCAAGAGCCCTGAAAGTGTACCAGACCACATATGGCGGACACTGATAGCAGATAGAGACTCCGAAGGCCAAATCCCGCCCGCCTGGTATCAAAGAGCGTGCCTGCGATGCTTGGAGATTGCCGATACCTTTAATAATGGCGATCTCAACGTCGGTCAGCTGCTCCAAGGTCCATCAGATATGCTTCGCGGCTACCTCACGCGCGTCCGCAATATTACATGGAACAGGAGGTTCTTCAGGGCTGTGATGAGCACTGCTCAAGGGCATGTCACTCCAGAGAAACAGAACTCGAGAAAGGCAGACAACATACCAACGTCACCTGGTGCATCTGATGTCGAGTCTATATCCGAAGAGGATACTACGGAGAGCGTGGACGGCGAGGAACGAGATTTCTGGGCCGACGGTGGTCTTGTTGGACTCTGTCCGCCAGGCACCAAACGAGGCGATTTTATTTGCATCTTGTATGGCTGCAGCGTCCCGCTCATCTTGCGAGAGTCCTCGAAAAAGGCAAGACGGAACTGTTTCAGGGTGATCGGTGAAGCTTATGTTCATGGTAAAATGGACGGTGAGGCACTAGTGGACTGTAAGAGTGGAAATGCCTTGGGCCCAGAGGAGGTCTTTGCCTTGATATAGAGCCCCGTTCTCCTTCTTCTTGCAATCGCTATGCCGTGGAAGAGAGGGTGGGATCTACACTCTTCAACTCCCCAACCTAAGCCTTAATGAATATTTCCGTTCTACCATTTTGGGAAGGGGACTGCCCAGGAATTAAGGCATTCCATCGCTATTCAATCTATTCAATTATCGAATGGAGGCTTTTTCGTCACCAATTGTCAACCGTTAATCATTCGATTATCCTGTGATATAATTAGGCAGATTGTGTTATAGGTCTGAGGTAACAATATTTAGGTTGTGAGCGACAATCTCGAACGGGACTCTCAGAATGAATGCCCTGTCCGGATTCGCAAAAGTATCTATCAGCCAAAAATGCCTGGTTAGAATCTTCAACTTGACTTCAAGATACATAGTTCGGTAGCGATTTTGAAAGGTCATCATGCTACGATGTGATATGCTCACATAAATATTAATCTATATTAGTACTACATGCGTGAGCGATCGTTGACTGTATTCTGAGTCCGTCTCAAATCTTTCTCAAATCTTCAGCAGTGCACCCTTGACGGCACGGCTCAGCTGAGCAGTCCAGAGCGTATTCTCGTTGAGAATAAACATTTGGCCATTACGACCAAAGGAAAAGTTAGCCGCTCCATTTTTGATCAGAATCTTTCCCAGGAGGACGCCACCTGGCGACCAGACGTTGATACCATCGCCACAGCCAGCATAAACGTTCCCTTCCATATCAAGCTTGATTCCATCGGGGAGACCGGTATCAGCCATCGCAAAAACACGTCGATTGGTGAGAAACTGTTCCCCATTGATCGTAGACAAGTCGAAAGCGTAGCTAATGCAGGCAATTAGACAGGGCAAAATGGGATTGAGTGGCTGGATAAGGAAATTGACTTACATGGTGGCCGGGCCCGTGGGATCATTGGTGCCATCACCCGGAGTAGACCCTGTATCCGTGATATACACCGTCTTCTCATCTGGCGAGAAAGCAATACCATTCGGCCGACCGAATCCGTCGGCAACAACGCGCACGTTCTTCGTAGCAGGGTCAAAACGGTAGACCTGATTCGGCAACTGGGGCTTTGGACGGAATCCTTGTTTCGAACCGTAGATGGGATCGGTAAACCAGATTGATCCATCACCATGCACGACCACGTCATTGGGCGAGTTGAATTGCCGGCCGTAAAAGCCACTGACGAGTACCTCTGCCTCGTACGGAGAGTCAATTGACATCTGGTATAAGCCGCTCGTTTCGGTTTGGTTTCCTTGACCGCAGAAGAGGATCCCGTCGCCATGGTTTACAGCTCCGTTCGCCATGGGGATCGTAGTGTTGATCACTTCACTGGTAACCGGCTGAGCGTTCACCTTGACTTTCGAAATTTGAATCGTGGAATGGTTAGTGACGGGGTCGGTAAAGATATTGCTGGTCAGGAAGAGCTCGTCGGTAGAGGGGATAAAGACGCTTGCTTCGTGCGCAAAAGGGACATCATCGTTCTTGAGAAGGACCTCCAGCGTAGGGGACGAGCCGATAAGATTGTAGAATCGGTTGTCGTGGATCTCAAATGTGGAGGAGATCTGTGAGATGTTGGCCGGATGGCCTGGGAAGGTCAAATTGCTGGCCATGGTGACTGTAGTCTAGTTGACACGTAACATCCAGGAGTTTGGGGGGGGGAATGTACACCTTATATTGAGCCACGGCCCGAAACCACGCTAGTGAATCCTAGATCGACTGGGCTTCCTCTTTGAGCTTCATGGTCGATCAGGCCCATCGGATTCGGATTCAGGATCCACTTGCCCAGATTGACTTTTCATCCCCTGGGTTAGTCATAAGAATGGGATCGCGGAAATATTCTCCGAAGTTCTCCCGTGCAGATCAGCAGCGAGATGGTTCTCCATACGCGATCAAGGCAAGAACAATCAAGGGCATGCGGCATTGATCTCATAGCCCTACTCTTTGGTGTCGCACTGGGGGCTTATAGCCAGCGGCGAGCCACTATCACGGTGGCCGCAGAATTCAACTTAGGGTAGAGTCCAGCGGGTCCTCGTACATAAAAGCGGAGCCATGCCTCCACAGTAGTTTTCTGGTGTCATCATGCTCGATGACCGAGACACTAGATTCCTTCCGGTCATATTGTGGGTACGGAGTAAATAAACAGAAAATAGGAACACAAGTGCTGATGGAGACACGGTCTGTCCCAGGCTTGCACTCCGCCCTGTATACAGGATTATATTATTAAAGCGGTAAATATCTTCGGGGCCACACTGGTTGGGAATCCATATATAGACAGTTATAATTGGAAGATAATATAGTGGACCTAAATCAATTGATCGAATTGGCTTATATATAGTATGCTTGCTAAGCTTGGGTTGTCCTTGAGTAATGATGATGATGATGATGATGATGACACCAAGAGCACACTGACTACATCCGGCCAGCCGCTCCAGCATCGTCACTGATGAGTGACCGAACAACCTGATCCAATTCTTCCTTTTCCAAGCCCAACCTGACATTCCAGGAGCCACCCGGCACTCGACTCCAATCGCCATACGGTCCATCTGGGAATTTCGCCAATCCCGCCGCCAGGTTCAAGATCCGTGCCCCCGCGAGGTCGCCGTTGTTAAACCGCTCGGTGCTTTCCTTGATGAGAGGTTGGAGGTCCACGTGGTCAACCTTCCATTTCTCGTCCGTGGCCGTCTCGAGGGCCTGGAGCACATCGTTCTGCGTGACGGTGAATGATTCCACGTAGACGTATTGGTTTTTCGTGGCTTCCGCATTCTGCAGAATGGCAACAAGAGCACGGCCAATTTGGGGCAGGGTGCTGACAGAAGCCGGGGTGACACCTTCATCGTAGATGGTCGCTTCGCGGGACTGGAGGTCAAACCCCAAGAATCCAATCTTGAGAGCCTGGGGGCGAGGGTATTAGACTCGTCATCTTTAGTTTCGGAAGGGGGGTACATAGACAAAGGGCTGTTCTTGCAAGAAACGCGCCTGGCACATTCAACTCACATAATCGAAGAAGGCACCTGTGATGACTGTCGTCCAGCTCATCCGGTCCTCTCTCTCCCTCAAGTAATCGACTTTGGCCTTCTTGCCCTCTAGAATTGGCGCCACGCCCGGACTCTGGCATCTGCCGAGTTGTTACCGAACTCGGCGGGAATGAACCGTTTCACTCCAGCTGCCAGCGCCGCATCGACCAATTTCTGCTGGTGGGCATACCCGCCTCGTCCTACGACGCTGATGACAGCATCCTGGCCCTGGAACGCCGAGACAAGGGATTCAGGACTATAGTCCGACCGGATCACGGGCAGACCGTCCGGGAACACACTGGCAGAGGATTCTCTCGAAAGCACGGTGACGTTGAATGCATCCGAGGCAAGGAACGCTTGGAGAACATGCGAGCCCAAGTTTCCTCCAGCCTAACAGAATATTAGGTCAGCGCCTCTAGATAGGGCTGGGGGGCTGCATAGATGGGGAGCCACATTTAACTCGTATCGATTAACTTACCCCGACTATCACCACATTTCTCAGAGCGGATGCCATTTTCTTTAGATGTTATTGCTGGGATTGCTTTGCGGAATTGGTGCCTTGCAAATATGCGGGCGATTGTCTGATCCTCAGTCGAGCTATTCTGAGAGAGCCTTAATCGTATGCCCTTCTAGCACTTATATACCCATTATCCTGTCGCCATTTGTAAGCATGTACATGATACCATCGCAGACCTGTGCATCGGGTTCTGGACAACCATAAATGCCGGGCCGATATACCTTCATGAAAGTGGAGCCTGAATTACAAAGCCCCAGCCTAAACCATTCCGGGCGAAAAAGTGCGATTGGTCGAACCGTAGTGTACCGTATACTCGAAGGAGAGCAACTCAGATCTTGCCGACAGTAGTAGCAGACAGCGCCAGATCCCGTTCAGTGCATCCTCACCTTAATTAATAAGCGTCCGAGTGGGGCATTCCTCCTGCAAGACCAATATAGGCGATACTTCTGGAGCTTGTTTTCTATCCCGTGCGTTCTTGCCTCTTGAGCAATTCCACGCTATCCCCACAAAACATGACACGCCGAGACATTCAACGTGCGAGAAGGACAATCAAATCCCGTGGTAAATCATTTTACCTGCCATCCCAATGGTGCAAGAATCTGCTGACAAATAGCACAGCTGGATGTGCGCGGTGTAAGCAACGCGTAGGCCCCATCCCACCCAGCGCTCATGTTGATTACGCCCCTGTATACTAGTCGCTTTGGACTTCAAATCACGCTGATGCCAACAAGCGAATCAAATGTGATGAGAGAAGGCCGTGGTGCCTAGAATGCTCGACGAGAGGATACGATTGCCCGGGATACGACAAACCCCTCAAATGGTCGGTGAGGCATGAGGCCAGGGAGTCTTCTTTCCAGCACATGGAACGGTCCACACTTCCGTCAGGGACCGTTGAAACTCGCACATGCTGGTTCTATGAGCCAGCGGAGAAACTGCGTGCTGCTTTACAAAGCCATCTCCAGCCCTCGCTTGAACATGTCTCGTCCCCTGGGAGTGGTAAGCAGTCATTGCCCCCTAGTACCAATGAGCGATTAACAAGACCTGTGAATACACAATGCTCTAGAGGATTTGACCCTTGCACATCGGTCCGTACAAATGACCATACGGGTGGATCTGAGGGTTTAGTTCTTGACACAGATTGCCCCATCATAACGCGGACCTCCTGGAATGATCGGATCGTACGGAACGATGATCAGGACGTTCACCTGGTCTCATCACCCAAGACCGATTCCTCGACGATCTTGCGAGGATATTATTTCGCTCATACATGTCGCATCCTCTCCGGATTTGACTCGCCAACGAATCCGCTGCGCGAATGGGTTTCGACGCTCTCCACGCAGAATGCCGTGGTCCATTTCTGCGTGCTGTCCATCTCCGCCGCCCACCTCTCGCAACAGCAAAAGTATCCCGAACTGAGCATGCTGGCTTTGAGCCATCACACGGACGTGCTCTCAAGCCTTGCGGCCGCAGTTGCGAATCTAGATGCGCGGTCTTTGTCCCTTGAGCCCGAGTCGGTTGTGAGGTCCCCTCAATCATCGGCGGCGGCATTGCTTCTCGGGATCATCATGTTCGGCATGACCTCGGTATGTGGCAGTTACTCTAGTCTGACGTTGAAACTTCTCAGTCTGGCATATCTCACAGGGCCCCTTTTTTTTACAGTCGTGGCATGATCCTTCCTCCCTCGGTTCGCAGCACCTCCAAGCGGCCCGGGCGATTTTCCAGGGGCTATATTCCGAACGAGTCGGCGCTCGATCTTCATTCCTCCCGGGTTCGGTCCGCTCGCCTGCTGAGCGTTTCTTCGTGGGCGCTTGGCCTACTGGGAAGCTTTGACGTCTTTCGTCGTGGACCAACGAGACCTATGTCCGGCCGCCTACCTCCTGCCGCTCTGTACCCCGAATGAACCGTGGGGCTTGATAAACCCCTGGAGCGGGCTCTCGACCAGACTGTTCATTCACCTATCTGAGGTGGGTGCTATTGCTCGACAGCTCCATCATCTACGGTGGAAGATTTCATCGTCATCGTCATCTCCTACCAGGGCGGCCTCGAAGACAGCACTTTCCCTTCCCGACGCAAGACAACCACTGCTGTCGCAGGCAAGACATCTCGAAACCTTGTTCACTGAGTATCGTCTCCCCGCCTCGGAATCGGTCCCTGAGACGGGCGATCCGTCTGCCCCGGTCCCACATTTCCGGATTCTCGCGCGTGTGTACCAGCTCGCGGCCCTGCTGGAGCTCTACCGGATGTTCCCCGAGTTACTCGTACGGCGTCAAAGACCATCGCTGTCGGGGCGGGAAAGGGTCCCTGAACTAGACGACATCGATTCCGAATCGCACAGCAGCCAGTTGAACTCCCTAGCAATCACGATTCTTGCCCTGATCGCGTCGATCCCCGAGACCTCCGGCACGCGCGCGACGCAGATGCTAGCGCTCGTGATTGCGGGCAGTACCCTCCGGCGTCCGAGAACCGGCGACGATGGAGGAACCGTTTCGGCAGGCGGTCACCGTGTGTTTGCATTTGCGCCGACACCGGCAGCGGAGATCGAGCATTGGCGGTCGTTTGTAGCGTCTCGACTCCAAAACCTGGTCTGCTATGTCGGGTTACACGCTGTGCAGCAGGCGGGCTTGATTGTCAGGGAGTCGTGGATAAGAGCGGACCAGGCGGTACCTGTGTGCGGGAGGGGGCTTCCGATCGTACATTGGATTGATGTTATGGCTGAGCGAGGGCTTGAAACTATTCTAGGTTAAGTAGGGTGGTGTAGCGTAGGAGTGATCATTTGGGCGTGTCAGGACACGCTTATCTGTCATTTCTTTTTCATTATCGTGAAGGTAGGCTTTTTGAAGCCGAAAGCACGGTAGATTGCAGAACAAGAGAATTAGCATATTGGAGCATAGAAAGCAACAGCGTAATCGACGTGACAGATCCGAGAAACTGGGACCTTACTGATCTGGGGATAGGATCTACATCGGCCGGAGGAGAAAGGCTCTAGGGCCGGACATGCTGCCAGACCTAGAACAAAAACACAACACAAGTCGAAAGAGCATGATCGATTCTAGATTACGCTATTGCTTTGCTACCGACTAGATACACGATGTACCGTGCTGCTTGAGGTATATTTTTTGAACCCTACCTTGTGGGAAGGGCCTGAAAGACATGGTACTTCGACCCGTCGACGAAATGGTTGTTTTCCGCAGGAATTCTGTTCATAGTGGCTCACTTTGGGTGAGATGGAGAGCATCAAGCGCATTACTCCTGGTATCGGTTGCTCACATTGCGCCCTCTAGGTTAAAATAACCTTCTCTAGACCACTCATCATGTAATGCATATTAGTAGATCCAGCATGACCATGGGTTATCTAGTCCGATATGAAAAAGGGTGCGAGGCCCCGGTGAAACTTTCGAGGGTTGATCGGGATATGCTATAGAAAATAATACAACATAAGTATCCATAAAGAGTAAGACAGGAAAAGAAAAGACAAGATCAGAAAAGAAAGTAAAGAAAAAGAAAAAGGGAAGGAAAGGAAAGGGAAAAAAAAGACACCGGTATCATCACTGGTAATACCTAGTACTAGCATCACCTCACAGTATATACATGTTCATCTTTTCTGTAGTTGATACGTCAGAGTTTGAACAATACCAATCGTTTTTTTTGGGGGGTCGCTTGTCCTGCCTGCGCAGCAAGTTGAACAGCCATTAGCGGAGCAACCCATAATCCGTTTGGCTGGAGGTGATTCCAATATGTGCTATAGTGATGCAGCTCGTCCTTTGGAGCCTTTTCAAGGCAAGTGCGAGCTTTACAGCATGCCCAACAAGTGGATAGTACCCACTTGGCTTAGGGTCGACCCGTCCGGCGATCTCCCGACTGGGGTCTGGAGTTGGATGGATCGAGTTTGCAGGGATTGAATCCCATATGCACTGAGTCATTCGCACAGACTATCAACTATGTTAGTATGCAGAGGACGAGGCTGGCGGTGGTTCGAAACATTACCGCTCACCACACTTATCCCCCTCATACCTGTGTGGACCAAGCACCAGGTATTCTCTTGTGGCTACGTAAGGCGCGATACGTGAACCTTTGCGAAGAAAAACAAGATATCGACCGAAGTACAACGGCCGTAGCAATTTGGTTCTTGCGAAGTGAAAATGCAATGGAACCGAGATCGACAGTAGTCTACCAGCAGTTCATGGGGCATCCCTATATTCTGATTCGACCGGGCTCCACTCTTGGTCTTGCTGCATTGATGACTTGGCGCGTTCTCCATCAACTTCCTCGAATAGCTTGACAAACAGTTTCAAAGGAGGGGTGGATTCAGCTTCATCATCGATCGGAGATGTGGTGCTCCTATGCAAAATAGCCATATATATGGATGTTCGTGGCGGCGACGGACAGCACATCCGGATCATCGTCCTTTACCTGCTAGACACGACTTCGGAGATGGGCTGGTTCCCAACACAACTAGACTCGGAAGAGTCGAAATGGCATTTTGATATTCTCATTCTTCTCGCGGTCATTGGCAGCTCTGCCACTCAAAAGCACATGCCCTCCATCACTGCCTCAGCCTTCGGTCTATTTCCTCGCCTTTTGCCAGCTCCCGAAACCCTTCTCGATACTCGGCGGCTGTATCGTCTACCTTCAGCGGCCAATGTCGATGTCGTTGGTGTACATTCTGGTACCGTTCTTACAGAACTAAACTACTTTGCGACTCTAGTACACAAAATCGAAGATCTCGAACCTTTTGAGTTCCGATCCTGCAAAATTGAACACAACCTCGGGCACGATCGGGAAAAGGGAGAATCAAACAAGCCCATCCGTGTCAAAACCATGTCCTTGCTGAACGTAATTACAATTGTATCGATTTTCATGTCGGTGGGTCTGTTGGTCTTTGCCGGTGTAATCCACGACGGCGTAGCGCTGGTCGGCGTCAGCACCATGGCCCTGTCTACTAGTGCCGCTAGTCTTTCGGCCCACTGGTCTCCAAAGCTCTCTGAGCGGGACCAGAATGCTAAGATGCCTCCTGCCGATGTGGTCATTCGCACTCGTGGAGGAGCGTTCATTGTGGTCCGTGGGGATGAGTATGTGATCCGAGAACTGTACAAGGGGATGGATTCCTGCCAGTATGAATATCCGGACAAAGTGCGCCAGGTCTTCTTGGCTCTGAGCACACTTCTCCTGATGACATCGGTGATTATGTTCAGCAACAGCAGCGAAAAGATCCAGATCGCCGTTGGTGCTGCGTATTTCATCCTGAACATCCTTTACTGGGGGTTGGCATTGCTGGTGGAGCCTGGTGATGTCTGGGATATGAGCCGATATGATATCCAGCACGACATGCCTCAAAAGAAGGGTAATTATACGGAAGTGTTATGGTTGGCCATTTTGGAGACCAGGTCGATTGATTGGGTGAGGAGGGCAAACATTGCACCAAAAACAGCCCCCTGGGATGAATGGCTCCGGGAGGCATTGCAGAACGCTTTGAGCGGAAATACGACGTGGCCGGCAGTTGCCAGAAAAGATTCAATAATAGGGGTGCATCCTCGAGAGCCTTCGCATCAGGATGCGAACGGGGTACCCTCCCAGGTTTGATATTGTTCTGCCAACGTCCTTTTTGCTATGGGATTTGTATAGAAATGAGAAAGACACTCCCTTGTATAATCCAATTTACTTGGATAGAGATAGATTCCAGTTTAAACGATTAACATTTCTATGATTTGATCGACCAAGCTTTCACTAAAAACCACAACCGCACGTATCTCGTTGGTCGGTCGCAAGACGAGTATGCAGAGTCTAGGGCTAGAACGGGGCGGCCAGACAGTGCAGTGGACACGCGGCTGAAGTCGAGGTGGCGGAGCTTCCTCCACGCATGGACTTCTCTGCTCTATTGGCTAGCCAATAGAGATCATATCCTCACCGCTATGGGCCAGTAGCCGTAGCGTATTTCGTGTAGTAAAGATCTATCTACCGAATACAAGGCTGACTGGACTTTTGTCCGGAGAGGAATATGACCTCCCTTGGAATAGTCATGAGAGTGAGGACTCGCAGTACCAGCTCTCCTCGGTTTTCCTCTTGTTCTTCTTATTCGTCGTCTTCTTTTACTTCTTGGGCTGTCAGATGCCAGGTCATCAGCGCTAAGATTTGACGATCATTGGCCATCAATGCTGCACTCCACTTGGCTTCGTATTTCCAGTCTGTCCCTGGCTAGGGCCATCGTTAGTGACTGGAGACGGTTGCAGTCAGGTGAAATTCATAAATGACCCACCATAACCATATCAGAAAAATGATGGAGACGACATTGCAACACCTCACATCGGCCTGGACAATTGTCAAGGGGGTTCGTTCCATGGGAGGCTGGGCTTGCGTTTAGCGCGGGCGCACCGAGGCGGAGTCAAACCTGTAGGGCTTTTTTTTTCTTGCTTGCTACATAAACCCCTCATCCCCCCAAGAGCGCTGGCTGACGGCCCAACTTCCTTCCTGACAGCCCCTGCGCCACAGTCAGAAAAGCCGCCATGCCGAAAAAGAACTTCCAGTGGATGATCGATTGTATTGTCAACTGGTTGCGAAAAGTCACGGATTTCGATCATGGGTCGGAATTAGCAGAAATCATCCGTCGCGGCGAACTGGAGACTTTGAGCGACGAAAAAGCCGTGCGGCTTTTGTACCGCCAGTTCAGATCTGAATTCGTTCGCCTCAAGCGTGTCGAATACAACCTCGAGCAGGGCGACGGGGATCCTCCGAAGGGAAGTTTAGGTGGGAAAGCCCTTACGCCGTCGCAGTTTCTGTTTCGTGACGATTTCGCCGAGATAAACCGAACGGTGGTCAATTTCCTGTCATTAAAGTGGCTCCTCGAGGATAACTATCAGGCTTTTACGGCACATCAGCCCGGTGTCGTGAAGCTGTCCCCAGAAACATTCACACGCTTTCGCCAGCTAGCGCGGGAGATCTTGAGAAAGAATGACGATATACTGGGCTTGGTCGTATCCTTGATACTTGGAGATGTGGGAAAGGATCCCGAGCTAGAAGACTTCGTGCACAGGAAGGATGGAAAGAAGCCAAACCATGACCAGATCTTAGCCAGGGCCATTGAGCTGGGTCAGTTTGATAAGCCGCTGCGCTTACTCTCGGACAAAAAACGAGAGGAGATGCTGCTAGGGGTCGAGGTCGGCGCAAAGCTCAACATTCCACAATTGACACAAGGTGAGAACGTCCCAGGAAGTTTGGTGAGTATTCTCATGCTACAAGGAAAGCCACAGGCATTTAGGATGAAATATCTCGAGATTATGTTGGATGTATCGGGCGCAGGTGGCCATGTTGACGCGCGCGGTGCCGTTCGCATGATCGAGCCGGTCTGCCAGTCCTTTCTGTCCGCCTACCCGGTGCTGATGAATGTCATTACCGGCAAGCTTTCAGTGCGCGACGCGTATAACACGGTCCTGCAAAATCGAGGTCAGCTACTAGCCGAACAAGGCTTCCATGCATTATCCACAAATAGTCGCAGCGACCGTGCCTTTCTCCGCCTCTGTGCGATGGGTAGGGTAGCGGATAAACATCTAGCTGAACTGTTTGAGAAAGCATTCATAGATCTCCCGCAACCTACACTAACAGAGCTCGTGAATGGATTGAACGTCGACGGATGCAATGACGAAGATGCGGTAATCCTTTACTACATGCCTGCCATATTTGCGGAGGCATTAAGGGTCACTCGTTCTGCACCCGATGTAAAGAAAATCCAAGTTCTTCAGAGCCTCATGTCATTCATGGCACGAACATACAATGATACAAGGCCCGTTGATGGACATCACGGTGTCATTCTTGAACGTGACGTATCTGGGGCGAAGGACTATATACGAAGAGACGGCTTCATCGACGATCCTACCATTTTGAACCAATGCGTTCCTCCAGTAGCGACATGTTAATGCAGGCCTTCTGTACTTGAATTTGTCCCCGAAACCCCATAATATTAAGGTTCAATCACTATTTGATCAGCCAACATGCGAGATTAACGAGAAATGAGGCCATGACTTTCGATTATTCTTACTTCAATTCTTTACCATTCGGAGCTCATGTTCTATTGCCGCGCGGACTGAGTAGTTTGTCGATTCTTACTCGACGATCCTATGATACGGCCTTTTGCGTATTTTTGTTTATAATGACGCTATCGCGCTGACTGTGAATCTGTCTTATGAGGGAGGCTATTTTGCTTTCTCAACTTCGGTCTATTGATCTGTTTGAAAACGATATTAAAATGTTTAAATGTGCTCCGCAGATGCTTGGATCAATATGAAAAAAAAAAAATCTCTCATTCATGTATCTAAACTCCAGTATCTGGTAGCGATAAGATAAGCTGTGGCGATAAGATAAAGCGCTCTTCAATCTCAGGCAACAAGGTTTACATTTTCACGCCCTCGGGATCGCTCGGAATTGGATTCCACTTCTGCGCTTCACCATCATTCTTGGTAACCCCGTTATTCCGCACCACGATTGCCTGATCACCTCTCGGGATCATTCATCCGGCCCATCAGGGTCTATTCTACGATCTACTCGACTTAGTTGATTCCTCTAGATCTCATCCATGCAGTCGGAATCTCCCACGCACAGCTACGTCACCTCGGAACCCCCTCGGAAAAAGCGAGCCAAATACACTCAGGTCGCTTGGTGCGCCCATCACCTTATAACAGGACTACGTTGGAAGATACATGGCTGATTGAATCCTGCCAGTAATGAATGCAAAAGGCGTAAATTGAAATGCAGTGGTGAGCCAACGTGTTCACGGTGCGCTCGCGATGGCGTGCCATGCATTTATACGCCTAGCGCTTATGCGCTGAGTAACGCTACGACTTCGGTGGAGGAACCAAATGATGAAGGGTACGCGAAGCTTCATATCTGAGTTGAGCTCTGGGCTGACAAGAATAGGGTATCTGCGAGGTTCCAATCAGTTGATCGCCAAATCGAGTCGCTTCAGCATGAGATGCGCGCGATGGCTGCTCGTTTAC